TCTTTAGAGAAACGGTCCCCTAAAAGTAACGAAAGCCGAAATGTCCAGCAGCTTGCATGCGCCATTTTGAAATGTGTGAATTCGCTTATTTCCAATTTATGTACACCTGCACGAAATGTCACCTGTACCCAATACTTCATCGCATTTATTGAACATAAACATTGGATCAAAGTAATAACTTGTTTGTCTCTTTCATAAAACATATCCCATTCAAACTAATTCTGTATCTTTTCATCAACTAGACATATAAAAAGAGAGTGTACATGTTTGTCTCGTTCTTAAAAAATGTGTCCCATTATTGCTTTATGAGGTGGGGCAAGAAATTTAGAAAATGTATTGCTTTTTTGCGCTGAGACCACCAAACCAATTCCCAGTACAATATGTGTTCCATTAAATTGCTAATGCTAATGCTCGTCGAAACACGTCACCCGGCCTTTTTACCTTCTATTTTAACAATTGCCTGAGAGTCCCTGTGAACTACATTAGTCGTTTTGCTTACATAGAGTGACCACCAAAGTCGGCTGGGAATGACACTAATCGTTTCCACTTACATAGAGTAGTTATCCAAAATCGACTATTTCAACATGGCCGCCGCGTACTACTAAACCTTACACGTTCATGTTCTGTGAAACTGCAATGAACCAGCTCGTTTATGTATACTTGTACGATTGAACGCCATTATAACAAACAGGATGGATATACAAGGCAATACGGCCCATCTAATTATCTGAATGCGTAGCCAAGAACCAACCTGGATTCCTCATAACATATAATGTTGAACTGTCGCTATTCAAACAATGCCTACAAGCCTGGAAAATTAAGGATACCTATCTTGGATTTTTTGGTAAGAAAGTTTCCATGAACATTACGAAGATTACCATTTACTGATAATCGAATACAACTCGTTGGCCATTCAAATCAAAACCTCACACTACAACAAGTGTTAGCCCTGCAGAGCTGCTGTATGGAAGGACAATCCGAACCAAAATTCCAGAGTTTGGAAGCACTGAGGAGGAAGGAGAGATTCCTGGTACTACAGACTAGCAGGCACGGGACCAGGATGCTGAATATAATCAGAGAAGTGCTGATGGTGCAAACAAAAGAGCTATTGAGTCTGATGTTTCGGAAGGAGAAAAGGTGCTGATGAGGAAGAAAGAGCAAAAGCTGTCTGCAACGTATGATCCAGAGCCATATAGGTTAGTTTCTAAGAGAGGAGATCTGGTGGTCATTGAGCGAGGTGAAACCCTACTTAAGAGTAGTGTAGGTCCTGTGAAAAAGTGCATCCTACCCGCACCAAGGGAATCTCAACAACAACGAGAACCAACACAGCAACTGGAGCAGAGGCCACCAATGGAGCCAGTTATCCTTACCAACCCTGAACCCAGTGTCACTCCAGCAGAGTGGCCCGTGTCTGAACCTACTGCTGAGCCTGGCTTGCCGCACCCTAGTGCTAAGATGCCAGACCAAGCTGTTGAACCTCGAAGGTCTACCCGCATGAGAGCCGAGCCAAGCTGGCTTAAAGACTATTTCACATGAAAGATTGAGCCAAGCTGGCCTATTGAGAGTATGTTGCTTAAAAGACTAGTTGATCTTGAAATAAGGACTTCGCTAAGTTTTTTTGACCAAGAGAAATTTTGCTAAGAAGAAACTACTCGTTGGACTCTTCAAAGATAGTTTTATTAATACTACTTACGGGATTGTTACAGTTCTAGCTTAGAGTTTATTTGTTTCATCGTCTATTGCTTCATTTCATAAAAAGGGGGAGATGTAATGATCGTATAGTGGGTTTCCTGTACCCGTGCTTGTAATGCTTTGTGGGAAGAGTGTGAATAATATATATGGCGGACTGAAAATGTGCGTTGTTTACTGAGAATGTAATCCGTCATAATCATCGAGGACCTGTCTGGAGTGCAGACACTACAAATCCTAACAGGTCAAACAACATGAAATAAAATTCTACTTTGTTATCAGTGTTCGTCAGAATTGTCTTATTTTCCTGAACTTTTTTTTTCGAGTTTTAGCCCTTCATGCGTCGTTCGACGACATAATTTAATTTGCTTCCAAAGAAACTTCTCTGTAATTCCTACACCACATATATTTAAAACTGCTGTAGGTTGCTTTCGAATAATTCCTTAATTGTCCCTGTACAGGGCAAAACTTGCTTTACTACCCACCATCTATTTTCGGTCCCCCTGGGTGTACGAATTCTAGGCTGTTTGTAACCCCCGTCTTGTTCGTCCCTCACCACGCTTGTACCCTCCCATATTTGAGCACGAATGATGGCCTGTTTCAAGGCTTTATTCAACAGCTAACGACAGAAAACTGACACATCGACTTAGGGCCCGTTTACATGGAGGAGGGGGACCCCAGGTAGGTGAGGTAACCTGCTTATGTGGAGTAAAAAAATAACCCTCCTTTACATGCAATCTTACAACCCCGCCATCCCGGGGTGCACTTTCTCAAGATTATTGAATGGTCGCTAAGCACGTAAACAAGAAAAATGCTGGCAAACCACGTGTTTTGGCGATTAATGCACTTCTACACTCACTTGTTGCTCTTGCTGCAACCTTCAGTGCAATGGCTTTCTATTGTTAACTTTAATAATGATGCAAAGCCACCGCCAAAGTGAATTTTGCGCGAATTTGATGTATCACGAATCCGACCCCGGCCAGGCGGGTTACCCCACCTTGAAACGTTTACATGGCAAAATTTGACCCCGGCTGAGAGGGTAACCCGGTCTGGTAGACCGGGCTACCCGCCTTGGCGGGTCACCCCACCTATCATGTAAACGTGATCAAATTAAAATGAGAGATTATATGGACAGCCGGGTTACCGGACCTAAGCTAGTTACCTCACCTACCTGGGGTCCCCCACCTCCATGTAAACAGGCCCTTAAAAACCAAGTTCTTTACATCCACGACCCAAGGGAATAACACAGCGCAAAGATTCCTTTACAAATTTACATATCGTAACATGGCCAAAAGACTGTTTCGTTATTCCTGCTCTACTGGGACAACTTCCGGGTTATTTTGCAGAACGTCGAATAGTTCCTGAACTCCAAATGACCCTGAAGTTTAGTGATTAGGGTTAGGAAACTGAGTGAATCAGGTTCCATTTAAGTCCGCTGCCAAAGGTCTCGCCCATTTCACAGACCATGCGAGTTCAGGCTGTTTTCCTAACACCACTCTATGCAGTCTATGCAACGGTGGTGATCCGCAGTAGTTTGGAGCGCTTTAAAAAGTTTGAGTTTAGTTGAGCCATATTAAACTTGGAAGTTGACCAAAGTGTAATAGAAGACAGGAGCGTGTATATGTTACAAGCAAAACCGTTAATACGTTACAGGAATTCATGTTTCAGTTGTTTTGTTATGTATATTTGAACTTGGGCTTGAAAAAAGATATCAAGTTTTTGACCGGGAAATTTCAGCAAATCGTCGTGGTCTAGTGGTATGGAAGAGAGACAGGTACGTCAGAGCCACAGGGAAGAGTTAGTTCAAATCTCTCCGACTACCGAGAAACAAAAGAAAAGGAAAGCGGGGGCTCTGGAGAGAGTGGTGGTAAAAGAGAGGGGGAAAAAAGAAAAAGAGAAGGGTATAAGTAGAAAAAGAAATGACAGAAATTGAAATCCTTTTTTATTAACGCAGCAAGCATTCATTACCGATGTATATATACAATACTCTGGGGAATTCGTCATTTTCTTGGAAGACAATAAGGCGGATACATAATTAATGAAACAGAATGCATAATTAATGTTAGGGTTTAGCATAGAGATATTGGGAGTATATTGAAGTCCAGATATTGCTTGCATGCGAAAATTGATCGTCTGTTTTTTTCTATTGATCGTTGTTTTGAGGTTTGAAAAATTTCCATTTGAACTGAAGGTTGATGCTCTCAAGGGCATTGCTTAATTGCTTATTCTGGCTACCTCGTCCCCAGTCACTCGCGATCGCGTTTTGGTGGGCCACGTTCTTGCTTGTTCCGTGCTCCCCACTTAGCCTTGTGAAAGCCTTTGGAGGATCGAGGCAGTTTCTCTGGGGTAACATAACCTGGTCTGCGATGGGAAAAAAATCATACAAGCTAAAGAGGTCTATTTTTGTATCTCGATATCAACACCATGCTAAAAACCCCTTAAACCACCAAGAGTATAATTCTCGGGAAGCGAATTTATAATCTCGTCGCGTGCGAAGCGCGTGTACCGCGCTTGGTCTTAGCTAGCTGCAAACTCGAACGCCCCATCTTTCTGTTTATAAATCTATATCTTGGTGTCCGCCCTGACGTCACCTAATGTGTGACGTAACGGAGCATTTTATATAGAGCGTTTTCACATGACGTCACGGCGGCCATATTTGTGTACAAAACAATGAATCAGCGGCCATGTTTGTGTGCAAAAAAGAAATTCTGTGGGAATTAAACTCTTTGCACATGTTAAAACTATCTTTTATTCGAAGCAATTTGCAAAGCTGATGAACACGTGGCTGAAAACGATAGCTTAAGAAACTTAAGTTTTTTAAATTTATATATTTTCTTCCCTATTGCCTTATTTCGGGCTTATTTCCCTTTCAATTTCTTGCCGTTCCCCCGATGCCGATATGTTTCGCGAGGTCCTGCGATTCACGTATTTCTAGCATTAATGTATGCACTGCAAAGCACTGCATTTAATCGCCGCTCTTCCCTCACGCGTGCTCTTGATCTAGTGTGTGACTCAAAAGAAAATGAGTCAAAAAGGTAGAGAAGAGACCATCCTCGGAGACCCAGGGGCAGTTAGTCGGGTCGATAAAATGTTCGTGGTGAAAGTTTACTCTAAGATCGAGACGAGCTCGTCTCGAACATTTTATCGACCCGACTAACTGCCCCTGGGTCTCCGAGGATGAGAAGAGACGAGCCCAAGTTCTGTCACGCAACGCAAACGCAGGACTCACTGCTGTGTGACATCGATCCGCGAATGCGAGAAAATGATTGGTTGGGAGGAGTGTGGAGTACGTCGGTACAAACAAAAATTGCATCAGATCAACCGACGAAGTTTTCAAGATGGTAGAGTGGGCCCCTCTTAAAATTCCGCTGAAAAGGAGAGTTCAGACGTTTTTTGTGATGTTCCAAGTTTATATGTTTCTCTTTGGACACATCTTCGGAACTTGTCTTCTATTGTTGTTACTGTTGAATGCATACACCCGTATTTTTGCTGCGCTTTATATCGGCTGGGCCTTCATCTTGAATTCTCGAACTCCAAGTCGCGGGGGACGTTCCTTTCAGCTGGCAAGAAGGTGTAAGATGTGGAAATATTACTGTGATTACTTCCCAATACGTCTGATAAAAACGGCAGAATTGGATCCCACGGAAAACTATATTTTTGGCTATCACCCACATGGAATTATTGGTTTGGGAGCATTGGGGAACTTCTGTGGGGAGGGAACCGGATTCTCGGAAAAGTTCCCCGGGATTTATCCTCATCTACTGACGCTCACAGTGAACTTCAAGTTCCCCTTTAGCAGAGAATATTGCATGGCGATGGGTGTGTGTTCCGTTGATAAAGATAGTATTGAGTACATTCTAACAAAGATGGGTCCTGGTCATTCTGCCGCCATTGTAATCGGAGGAGCAGCAGAGTCTTTGGAAGCTCGTCCAGGAAACTTTAAATTAACCCTGAAAGATAGGAAAGGTTTTGTCAAACTTGCATTACGTAATGGGTTAGTGTGACCGATTCAAAACCAGGATCAGAATTTATGGGTAAGATCACTTGGATCCAGACCTTCAGATAAGGGGGTGGGCCGGTCATCCAGACCCTGAGATGAGGGAGGGATGGGCGACTCGGTCTCAAAAAAATGTTTTTTCCGCCCTTCAGGCCTCTCAGTTTGGTCCAAAAATAAGGGGGGCCCCAGGCCCCTCCCCTAGATCCGCCACTGCATGGGGCTAGAATGGGATTTAACGCGGGTTCCTAATTGACAGGGCTGTCAACCCCACACATCTTCAAATGTTGAGAATTGATGGGGAAGGGGCGATAGATGACATCATAATGCATGGCACATGACGTCATTTGTGTTAAAAAAAAAACGTGTGAAAAAGATGTTCATTGTTGGAATCGTGACCTAATTGGTTTACATTATTGCTTATATTACAATGGCATACCGGAGTTTGTGAGGAAACGTTCGATGTTAATACAGTCAACTCCCGTTATAGCGGACACCCTCGGGACCGCGATTTGGTGTCCGTAATAGCGAGAGTCCGTAATAGCGGGGTGCGAGAAAATTTTTACTTTAAACCATATTTACAGAAAGGGGTCACATGTGTGTTCATTTTTATTAACTCCAGTACCTTTTTCAGACCCGTTGTCGCAAGTAAAGAGCGTCAGAACTTTATTTACAAACAGTACAGAACTTAACAGAACAGGAGTTACGTACCCTTTGTGTTCAGTAGTTCTTCTAAGTACGTAAAAAACAGTCATCGTATGTTGCAGAAATGCCCACACATGCATCGTTTTGGTTTCCTACTGTACTGAAGTACAGTAAACTACATCTCTAAAAAAAATATTTTCAAGGAAAAAATTATTTTCAAGGAAAAACCAGGCCTTAAAAGAGAAAAAGATGAGGGAATTTTGACTGATGGACAGAAGAAGCGGAAATCGACCAAAAAAGACAAAGACAGTCTCAAAAAGCAGAAAAAATACACTTGATATGTGTGCAAATATTCCAAGATGCTGCTCGGTGTCTGCTATAACGAGAGAGAAAACAATAAAATTGTGACGTTGGGACCGAATAAAGTGTCGGTAAGTCCGAAGTAGCGAGAGTCCGTAATAGCGGGATTTGATTTCAGTCAAACATCTGTAACTTTCCCCGGGGATTTTGCTGCGGTCCGTAATAGCGGGGTGTCCGTAATAGCGAGGTGTCCGCAAGGGGGGAGTTGACTGTAGTAAAATAGCTCAAAAAACACAAAACATTTGAAATTTCATTGTCGAATCTACAAGAAATGGCAAACTTCGGCAACTTCAATAATATTATAGACCAGGAGAAACGGTTCAAAACCTGGAGTCTCCCAGATTATCCGGGAGAGTTGACAGCTCTGAATTATTGATGCCCCCATACCTGCCAATATCCGGAGTACAAAAATCTGGAGGCATCTAGAAATCTTTCCATTGTAAGAATGTTATTTTCGACAATGTCTGACTACTCTCCGAAAATCACCTGAACCCGAAGGCCTTCTGAATGTTCTCAACGTTGATAACAGCATACAAAAACAGCACAAACTTTCTACCATGTATTGTGTAATTTGATTCGTTGAATTCTAACCAATTATGATACTCGTTAAACATATATTAAATTTATCAAATTGATTACGCTATTTTACGTTTTCCGATCGAGAAGAGAGCAAAGAAGAGCACTAAATACATTTCTTGTTTTATTTTCTTTTTTAACATCTCAAAAATAATGAAATAAAATAATTAATTGGAAAAAGATTTTGAAAAAGGCCACAGTAGGTATTTCCTGGGAGATTTGGTCCTCTAACCAGGTGCCTGGGAGATTTGATGAAAAACTTGAAGACTCCTCGAAAACTGGGAGAGTTGGCAGGTACGTGCCCTATGCCATGATCCGAGTGATCTTGGATCTTGAATCCTGATCCAGATCACTCTAAAGGAACACGCCCTTGAAGACTTTATATTTATTGTTATGTATAAGGTGGACAATTACCTGGTTTAGCTTTGCATGGTTTGGTATTGGGGATGCATGTTAAGGGATATTGGAATTATGTTAGAATTGAGATAGGGGGTAAAATGACACATTTTTTAGTAGGAGTATCATGGAGAAAAGAATAATTTGTTTCAATTATGTAATGAATGCATTTTATAACAAGACTAGATGGTGAAAGTGATGTCACCTTATTTTTACTCTAGTTGCTCATCTAGTTACCTACTTGTGTTGCCTGTGAACAAAAGATTACTTCTGATTAGCCCTTCTCTCCCCCCTCCATATAAGCCCCCCTCCAAATATATTGAAGTGAATGCCATTTATTATGACAATTTTAAGTGCAAAACATGATTCATGATTAGCACTGCTATACATTCTTTTAAAGCACTTTTCCTTTATATGCAGTGCTAAGTTCCCTTGGATATAAGCCTTCCTAAAACCCCTAAGGAAGACAGGGTGTGCATATAAGCAGCAGCTAACGTTGGACTGTTGGAAGGGGACAGATGGCAAATTGTCGTTGCTGGAAATATTGGCATGTCCTAACTGTTTATCAAAAAGATGCTTACATATGTGCAAATGTTCCATTAATTTTTTGGCTTCATTAAATCCTTAATATCATATTAATGTAGAACATTTTAGAAGGAGCCACCCACAATGTGAGCACAATGTATAAGTGGCATAGTTTCAGATCAGCGAATGCTAATTACATCACTTAGTTATATAACTGTGCATTGGTCATATTTTCAGTGCATCTTTAGTTCCTGTATTTTCCTTTGGAGAAAATGACTTATATGATCAAGTGAGTAACCCCTCTGGCTCAGCACTGCGTCATTGGCAAACAAAGGTAAAAGAACTGATGGGATTTGCACCTCCACTCTTCCATGGCCGTGGAGTCTTCCAATACACTTTTGGATTGCTTCCATATAGAAGACCAATTCACACTGTCTGTAAGTTATGTTTAGCTGTTCCTTCTTCATAAAAATATAATGTTCGTCTTGTAGTATAAACTCTTGCTAATCACATGAAAAAAGGTACATTAAGCATTGTTGCTAATTATTCCTTATTTTACTCCTTATATATGATGTAACTGGTATGACGATATTAATTTTTAATGAATCACATTGCATCCAGTCTTTTATCATCAGAGCATGCAGACATTAGTTTGGGGGATAATGATTGAAATACTATTGTTCAAGTAGTATTTTAAATACTATTTTAAAAGCATTACTCCACATCCTATTTTACACATTCTTAGTCACTTTGACCACAGTGCGATGTCTGAGAAAAATGCATGCCCAAAGTTCAGGTAAAAGCTGTTTTTCTCAAGCTGTACTGATTGACTGGACAACTTTTATTGTGTCTTATAGATGTCTGCTCTATTGTAGAGTGCAAATTAAAAAAAAATTAATTTATATATATAATTTAGTTTGGTTTCAAACTGAAGCATTCGTCTATTTCTCAATATTTCTTTTTCTAGTTGGTGCACCCATCAATGTTAACAAAGTTAAGAGCCCTACAGCAGAGGAGGTGGATAAACTTCATTGTCAGTACATCACAGCATTACAAGATTTGTTTGATAAACACAAAAGAAATTATGGAATTGATGAAGACAAGTGTTTGATCATCTGTTGATGGAAGGAAGCTTGTTGTACCATAATTGTTTAGAGCAATATTGATCACTATTTAAGATTAACAGAATTAACATTTTTTTTTCTTGTTTTAGGACAGGGGCTTAAAATTAAGTGAACAAATATAAGAAAAATAGAATGATGTTACGTAGCCCTTGAAATAGATACTTACATCTACACAGTTCTATACTCTAGCTGATTTCATAATTTTGTTTTGTTTACTTCTAACTGTTTGGCACTAATTGTTAGATATTGTTTCACGGGTTAAGAGTGATTTCACTCAACCTGTGAAATAGGTAATAGAATACTATGCACTATTATGCACTAATTCCATTGTTTTGTTTTGTTTACCTCTTGCTGCTATTTTGCACTATTATTTGTTAGTATCTGTTTCACAGTTCAAGTGAAATCACTCTACTTGTTTCTGGTCCGTGATTGCATGTACTGTTAGTTTAAATTCTATTTACTGTATTGTAGTGTCTTCACTGTTATTTAGTCCATCTATATGTAAATCTTGTTTTGTAATATGTCTTCAGCTCCCCCCGCCTCGATTAGTTCAGAAGCTATTTGCAGGTGGGAAAGTAATGTAATAATTTATTTTCCAATTTTCAATTAAAATTTTTTGTTTTTTTGTTGTTGTTTTTTTGTTGTTTGTTGTTTTTTGTTTTTTTTTATCCAATCCTAGGAAATTCCTTGAGGTTATTTAATTATTAGAATCTGTTAAATAAAAGATTTGCTAAAACAGTTTTATTTAATACGAAATATACACTTACGCTTGAACAATTTAAAAGATTAAAAAGATCCTAAAGCATTCATAGTAATAATTTTTGCAATGGTGGTCTATTCGGGGTTTAAGGGACCTGTCATTTATTAGAGGGGGAGGGGGGGGAGGGCTGGTGCAATTCTTTTTTCCCAGGCAAATTATTTTTATGCCCTCCCCCAATTTCCTGCAGAAAAAAATGTAACCCTCCCCCTTGTATGGCCCAAAATAGTTATGACCCTCCCCACACTAAAAGATATGGCAGGGATTATTAAAAGAGATCAACTTTTACCTTGTGATGAAGGGAGGCGCCAATACGACATTCAGGAACAGGTATCTAAGATCACCTCACACATTGATGCAATATTGAGCACGAACAATCCTCGTGCTGCTAGAAAATTTTACACGACCGATTATGTTCTTGTCCCAGCTGATCTGTTAATACTGAGGGCGAACATTATGAAGCTAGAGAACATATCAGATATGGATAGACGCATTAAAGCTCACCTTTACAACCTATTTCACACGAGGAGAAGAGTATTCTAAATGAGAAACTTGATCAATGCAAAGACATGATTCGTGGTGTGTTACTGTTGAAAAACAAAATAATCAAGAAAAAGATCACAGAAACAGAACAAAAGGAAGAGCAAAGAAGGAAACAACAGAGAGAAAGTAAAAATTTTAAACTGCTTCATCAGCTTTTGTCAGCAGACTTAAATTCAGATGTTATTGACAATGTGAATGTAGAATCTCTTGCATGCCTTTCAGTTAGGTCAGGTGGCTGACAAAAATGGCAAAGAATGGTCACTTGACAGAAAGAGCCATTACAACAGCACAAGACTATCTAGATGGTTTTATGGAAGAAAGTAAGGAAGAACTGGATACAGATGAAAGTCTCTCTGGGTAAGATAGTGACAGCTTGACAGAGAACTGAAGAGTGTACAGGTGACTAAACCTTAAATATTGCGATGCTCCACTGAGGGGTTTAATGTGAGCTGGATTAATCTATACTGTTTCAACATTTAATATGTGTTGATTAGTTGGTTCTCATAGAAAATCTTCAAGAACGTTTAGATATAAAATGTTTTGTTTGATATTTAAAGACCGCTTTTGTGCAACAGTTGACATACATGTAGGGTTGTTGGGTTGTTCAGGTTGATCATTATTAAAGTTTAAAATGCTTACTGTGCAAGGGACTTGTTTGTTAAATAATATATTTTATTCGTTTATTTATTTTTGTTTTAAGTGAACAGCAATGTCACTGCTAAAAATGGTATGCCCCTCCCCAAAGCCCAGCTTAAATTTTTGGTGACCCTCCCCTTTTTGGCTACATAAAATTTAATGACCCTCCCCCCATTTGCACCAGCCCTCCCCCCTCTAATAAATGAGAGCAACTCAATTTCACTAGAAAGTCTAGAAAGGAGAAACCCACAGATTTAATAGCTGTTTTTAGTTAGCTTAGAGCAGTTTTCACTTGACTGTCGTAAAACCAAAATCAAAGTAAATACACTAGCCAACCAAAGGGCGTAGTAAAACCAAAACCAAAACCAAAACCAATCCCTTTCGACGGTCAAGTGAAAACCAAATCCTGCAGATGTATACTCGATTATTTAAAAAAAAAAGGTTTCACTTGAAACGTGCTGAATCTTCACTTAACTGATGAGCAATGAAGACGTTGACGTAACGAGGTCGAAATATTTCGCCTGTGTCCGTTTATATTTTTTAAATAATTGAATAACGATAAAGGTCGAATCCAGGATAGAAAGGTCGTTTCGCCCGAAAGTAGATTCCCCTGGGGGAGCTTCGGCCTGATTTAGGTCGATTCTTTCGTGTTCACAGCCTAAAATAAAATTTAAAGAGAAGCGAGCAAAGACGGTGATTGCAAAGCCGTGTGTTTCAGAGTGTTTCAACAACTTTTTCTTTTGCAAATTACCACTCATTTCTTCTGCTCCCTTTCGTGACAGGTGGGTACTAATTCTTTCCCAGAGTTCTCCGCGCTCTCCCCTTTTGTCACGAATAAGAGATGTACAGCAGCACTGCATAGTAGCAAGCCTGGTAGCAAGCTATATTCAGCACGGCTGAACCGATTTTTGGCTTCTTTAGGATGATACGATGAACGGGGAAGTGTAATATTTCAGCAGGAACCGATCGGAGGATAACAAATTTGAACGTGACTTTCTGAATCCTGACTTAAAAGATTCCACCAGGTGAGGAACAAAGAACAAAGCTCGCGATCATGCATGCTATAAGACTTGATGTTTGTTTTATGGAATGAAGTAAACTATTTCCTTAGAGCTATTATAGTTTATTGAGGATGGTATCCAGGGCTCAAAAACAGAATACTTTTGTTTCGAGCACTGTAAGGAGGACTCAAACAAAGTTTCGTGACCAAAGCTTACGGTCACACCTGCAGGAGAGCCCGTCGTGCGCTCGTGTCAAAATTTCGAATATTTTATGAAGGGTCAACAAACAACCTTCCAACATCATCAGTTGAACTTAGCGTTCTAACCATTTTGGGAGGACTTTAAGCTACATCTGGCAAAGAATTGACATTTATCTTGTGCATGCTAGGGCCCAAGTTTGAAATTGGTGTACTGAATGTTGCGTGAACGCTTATTTTTTACAGGCAATTAAGCCTTCAATTCAAATATCACGACATCTTTTTGACGGTTGCGCTTTTGATCGATTTCAGACATTCGGGTAGATAACCGACCGAAGTGACCTGTAAAACTCTTTAAGCTAATGTATAAATGACTTTGGAGTTTCAATGGCTGACAATGTAACTGAAAAAGGCCTGTATACCGCTTGGCTGAAGTGTCAGACTAGACTCAGACGTCAGTCTTCCCACCCTAATCGCGCGCTGGCTTTTTGACAGTGCCCAAGTTACTTGAACGAATTCTTCCTATTTCACGGCGTAGTCAATGGAACAAAATCGAACGAACATTTAATCTAACTCAATTGTCATTGGAAAAATAATTTTTATGAAAAAAAAAAATATTCGCTCACCATCTTCCTCTGGGTTTGTTAGTCAGATGATGACTACGGTTTTCTGATCTTCACCTTTTCCTATTTTATGACCTAGCAGTAACCGATGGTTAGGAAGTGCGGGCTAGCCTGGGACCAGGCTCCGCAGTTGGGGAAAAAGTCATGAAACGGGGATATTTTAAATAGGAAAAATATCCGGGGGAGCGAAGCAAGTTGAGCGGTGGCCTGTAGAGGGGGAAATGGCGGCAGAGCCTGGAGACATGCCTTTGATGCTGCGTTCCATGATACCACGGGTAACCAACGCTCTGTGATAGTACCATAGTACGGTTCCAGTAAAATTACAGTGTTTGTATGGGGTAAAAATACCATCCTAAAATTTCTAGGAAATACTAAACAAAGATCGATGAAACTTACTCTGCAGTTAGTTGTTGTTGTCCTTATTGCTCCAACGAAGTTTCGTGATAATTTGCGGTAATTTGTTCAAATTCACTCTATATACAATAATAATATACAAGGTAGGAGACACGAGATGCCATCTTCGCCGCCATGCCCTCACTCAACTGCAACTTTTTCCACGAAATTCGAACTCCAACAGAAAATAAATATGCCAGGATCGCAGTAATAGGATAGCAGCAGATATAGAAACCAATGAAGCTTTCCCAGATAGAAAATGAATCCCGCAGACTTTAACAAACTGGAAGGATGTAATCCAAAAAGGCCGAGAATATGCTCGCCGAAGTAGCCGGGCCAGATCAACGCGCGGCCAAGAAAATGAGGCCTGGGCACTGTTTACTTGAGAAAAACACGACTCGCCCAAGCAAACTACATGTTCCAGTGCAAGCGTTAAAATAAGAAAAAATGCACGTGCATCACGCTTTTTTAAAATATCAAACAATCAAATTAAGTGTGATGGTGTGATGGTGTGATGCACATTCCAAGCTGATGTTTAGCTATAAAATTGGTGTTTGTTGTTAATGTTGTCGCTGTCGTCGTGGTCAGTTAAGCTTTTGCGCTTTGAAAATTGGAATTTTTCGAGAGTTAAAAAAATTGCCTGATGCAAACATCACCTTTTACATGTTTCCTTTTTTTTCATTTTGACGCGTGCACGGGAACATATAGTTTGCTTGGGCGAGTCGCATTTGTCTCAAGTCAACAATAGCCGTCGAGCAGATGTATTTCCAGCAGGGGTGGCTAACTTTGGTAAAGCTATGTATCGGTCCCTAGAAAGGTCAACCCAGGACACCCGAGATGGATTTTTTTTGTACAGTGCCCAGGCCTCATTTTCTTGGCCGCGCGTTGATCTGGCCCGGCTACTTCGGAGAGCATATTCTCGGCCTTTTTGGATTACATCGTTCGAGTTTTCTGCGGGATTCATCTTCTATCTGGGAAAGCTTCATTGGCTTCTATATCTGCTGCTATCCTATTGCTGCGATCCTGGCATGTTTATTTTCTGTTGGAGTTCGAATTTCGGGGAAAAAGTTGCAGTTGAATGAGGGCATGGCGGCGAAGATGGCATCTCGTGTCTCCTACCTTGTATATTATTATTGTATATAGAGTGAATTTGAACAAATTACTGCAAATTATCACGAAACTTCGTTGGAGCAATAAGGACAACAACAACTAACTGCAGAGTAAGTTTCATTGATCTTTATTTAGTATTTCCTAGAAATTTTAGGATGATATTTTTACCCCATACAAACACTGTAATTTTACTGGAACCGTACTGTGGTACTATCACAGAGCATGGTGACCTGTGCTAAAACTATGGCCACGTCATTGTCACTTGATATTTATTCCGATCTCCCAAAAAATAATATCATAACAAAGTTTAGTCTATGTGTAATACATGTGTTATAATGGTTTCACCATGAAGATCAATTTGTTTAAGTATAAGAGATTCAAAGGTGGGACTTGTCGCTGCAAAGTTATTGTATCGAGCCACCTTCGGTTATTGAATCCGTGCTCAGTGGCCAAGGTCGTTGAGACGCAATAGAAAATAATGAAAAAAAAAAGGTTATTGATCAGAAGCTTTCAGAGGACGAGCGACCAAAACATGCTTTGAAACGTGACATTGTATAAAGGTATAAAAACCATGTACTTCAGCTTAATCTGAATTGATATAATGTGGATAGATATTGTGGAAAAACTACGCTTTTAATACGGTTTATAAAGTACCGTTGACCAGGAATGGTGTGCACGCTGATGAGCCCCAATAAGGGCGAAACAGCTGTCCATGGCTGCTCCTGCCCGATCGATATGGCTGTGCGCATGCGTGAGGTACTGGCCAGGCCGTGGGTTGGTGTGTGTGTGCCCCTTGCTTTAAAGTACGGTAAAACGGGCAACAAAAACTTGCAACTTGTTTAGCAATATTACTGCAAAACGAGTTAAAAAGCGATGCTGCGCGTTTTACCACCCGCATTCAACCTGTCTTGCAACAAATCAGGTTGTTGCAGTTTGCGAAAAGTTGTTGCAGAAAGTAAAGAGTACTTCACTTTTTGCAACAAAATCTGTACATGCTGAGCGTTTTAGCGGCCCGAGGTAAACTTGTTTTGCAGGAAGTGACGTAATTCCTGTGTATGGCATGGCTCCCGCATAATTTTATCCAATCAGAAGTCAGTATTCACGCAACCCTCAACAACCTTCATTTGTTGCTAGACAGGTTTGAATATGGGTGGTAAAACGTGCAACATCGCTTTTCAACCAAAACAAGTTGCACGTTTTTGTTGCTCGTTTTACCGTGTCTCTAGGTTCGTCTCACTTTTGTTCGCCTGCGATTATTTATGCTAACAGGGAAATGGCCATAAAGAACATGACTGAAGCTGGAAGTGTAATAAATCTGGATGGAAGTGAAGATGTTGAATTTGATAAAGCGGGCAATCATGAAACGGAGCTGATGTTAGGAGACCATAAAGACAGAAGAGTCAGTGATGCTGGAATTTTACCAACACCTATGGCTCAGGCAACATTTTTCTCAAAGTATTTCTCATTTTGGTAAGGATTATGCAAGTAAAACTTTCATCCTGTCAGTTGATAAGTATTTTAGGGTGTACCTGGAGTATCGGAAATAACAAACAAAAAACAGGCGTTACGGTGCCTATGGGAATTTTGACAAAGTGGATGAATAAAAAAAATATATACCTGGAGTTCTGAAAACCGGGTTGGCAAAAAAAATCAACTCATCATTCTACTACTTGGCAATTTAAAACAATAAAAAATCATTCAAAGGCCGATTAGTAGTAAAAGCCCTTAACTGACGCCGAGCAGTAAGTTAGTGGTCCCTACAGGCATTTCAGCGAGTCCAAACTTAAAATGACGCAAATTTTAGAACATTTATACAGTAGTGTGACTCCGTGAGATTTCAAACCGGTATCATTTCAGTCTAGAAATTTTTAAGTTGAGTGAAATGCAGCCAAAATGTACAAGGTTAAAGTTTACGTAACAACTTAAAAAGTTAGCAAAATGCTGCTTTTTTCGCGGTCCGATAAACGACAGGATTTTGCATGGAAAAGACAACAAACTGATTGAAACACAGTACACGAATTATCACCTTCTTATCTGCAAAAACCGGCCTATGGTTCAACGCCAAGAGCCTGCTGAAACTATAGACCTAGATCTAATTTTCCTGAGTCGAGAATTGGTTTTCCAAGGCACAATCAGCAAAGCTAAACACCGACGAAGCGTTTTTATGGCTGGCACAGAATATTTTGGTGCAACAGCTCAACCACGCCACCACATACCTGAGTTCTGCCTGTCAACACCATGCGAAAATCACACAATCACACACTTTCCCAGCGCTGATGAGACTATCCACAACCGCGCACACTCTCCTCATGTTTAACACAAGCGGAATATCATCAAATAACTCGGAAAACTCAGCCTATTGGCAGATAAACACCTCTGGACTTTTCTCTTACACTTGTCTTATTCAAGTTCGCAGATGTACAGTCACACGGTAGGCAGACCAGCATAGACCCCGTTTTCACACCAGAAAGTCTTGGCCGGGGTCAAATGTCACCTGCAAGTTTGCTCTCGCCTTATTCATTTGACTCCTAACAGGGGCGGATCCAGGATTTTTTTTGGGAGGGGGTGCACTCGTCTCTTGCTCTACTTCAACACCAATAAACCACATTTTTTTTTTTTCTTTTTGCAGAATACCAGTCGTATTAGAAAACCGCAGGTCATCTCAGGGGGGGGGGGGGTGCGCACCCCCTGCACCCTCCCCCTAGATCCGCCCCTGCCTAAGAGCCGGTTCCCGAGGCCAAAGACTTAGTAGTGGTCACCTTAGAAAAGCGAACAATATCGTAACTTTCTGTCTCAGCCCGGATCAGGGTGATTGATCCGTTTAGTCAAATAAAACGAGAATACAATACGACATTGGGCGATGCTGACTCTGCGAATTACATAACTTTGTCCTATCCGGCTCACAGCTTTACATGATGCTCTCCGGAAAACGTTTCTTAAGGTGACCAAGAACGAAATGTTAACTGCTCAACGGCACCGAAAACAGCTTTAGGCGAGTTTAGGCGCGCACTGATTTCAAATAACTGTCACTTGTGTTAGACAGAGAATTGTGGGTAGGACCGGAAAAAAAAAAACAAAACCACAAAACCAAACAAAGAGGGAGAGAGGAGGAGGGGGGGGGTGGGTGGTAGATAGAAATTCGCAAAATTCTGTCTACAGCCACGTCTACACAATCCCTAATCACAAAATAACCAAAAAAAACCGACATAAGCAAACAACACAGTAAACAAGCTGAAACAGGGAGAAGTTGAGAGAACTTGCAAAATTTTTGCTAACCCGGTTTTCATAAATCCAAGGGGAAATATCTCATTGGGCTTACTTGCATGTTTTTGAGAACCTTCACCCTGTAGCTGCCAAAAGTAGGTGCTTTTAGTCGCTTGTCAACAGTTCAAAGGAGGGCCCTACCTATTTTCTTAGCTTTAGTAGAAAAGAGCCACTTATCAAGTGCTTGCAAAAATGAATATATGCGCCACACGGTCAGCAATACAAGCAGAGGCAATGTGACGCATAAACGCTACGTCCTGTCTACGTCACGGATCGAGAGAGGAAGGGAAAAAATTACAAAAGTCCAGGATCTGCTAAGAAAAGACCTAGGAAATTGGAGAATAGATTAAAACATGTACTATTTTTGGAGTCGATTTTGTCATGTTAGGATTAGTATCAGGGCTTTGGATTGTGATATCCACGTCAGCGTCTGACTTGCGCGGCTAAAGTAATCTTCTGTACTGATAATTCTCGCTATCAAAGGTGATATTTATATGCATTTGTCTTATAAGGTGGTTAAATGATCTTCTGTCTCTCGGAGCCAAGCGCCCCTTACAAGCTGAGGATCTGTATGGACTACTTGACAGGGAAAAAACTGATGCTCTTACAGATTCTTTGGAAAGGTATTAATATTCCGGTGCTTCCGTGTAACAATTGAAAACCCTTCTGATAATCGTAGGGATGTTTTTAAATAGTTAAACGGAAATGTTCCGTTAACTGTGTTGTCCGTAGCATCTTTGGGTACATTCAATTAGTCATAGTGCAGAATACATAGATCGCTATCTGTCCATCCATCGGAGCTTTGAAGCCACTGTACTTAGCAAATAGTATGGTACAGTTCTTTATGAATGGGTGCCCTTCCAAGCCATATGGGCATAAGTGTAATTGTGGGCGATTTCAGATCATTTTAAATTCGGGGAAGCGCTGTTTATAAGTGGGGTCAGCTCGTTGTGGACCATGATGGTTTGATTGAATTGTAAGCAGCAATTTAATTTAGTGAGTGAAAACCATGTATACAGAATGATTCAGAATTCCATGTAGATTTGATTTCATTGTAACAGATTTGTCATAAGTTCTTGTGTGTTTGCTAAATATTTCAGAGAATGGGAGAAGGAAGAGTATAACGCGCAACAGAACGGCACTCGCCCCAGCTTTTTGCGGACAATAATCAGAGCCTTTGGTTTTGGTTATTCTCTGTTAGGAATAGTGGCTCTTCTACATGTAAGTACCAGTAGGTGTAAGATGTTTATTTATTGATATCATATGTTTTTCCCAGCCCATGTAGTGACACAATTACTGTCAGTTGTAATTTGTTTTAACGTTATCACTCACTTAAGCTCGTCAAATTAGAAAACGTCGTTTAAGCAGTGAGAAGAAACAGTCATCAATATTTTACCCCCTTTCTTAGATTTCTTAAGCAATGTTTTGACAATTTTTTTTTTTTTGAAAAAAGTTGTGCCACAGTAGTACCTGCTTAATAACTAACTATTATCAAATTTTACAGGATCTCCTAAAACTTGCTCAGCCCATATTGTTGGGTCAACTAGTACTCTACTTTGTAGAAGATTCGCGTATTTCCACAAGGGATGCCTACCTTTACGCTTTGGGCCTCAGTTTATTTGCTTTTGTCTCCAGTATTGTAAATGCACCGTACTCCTTTATGAGGCAAGTTTATGGAATGAGAATAAGAGTTGCATGCACTGGTCTTGTTTATAGAAAGGTAAGTTACATGCCAAGGCGTTTGAAGTAACCGCCATGTTATTCAAAATTTAAAATGGCCGTGGTGTTAATTCCAGGTTAGTAGATGGTCGTTAGGAGGGTAGATTTGAAGAAAGATGTTGGTGAAGGAACTCGTTGTTTTAAATAGACCGTCTGAAAACGGTTCCGCAAGTAAAGCAAGTTTCATGAAAATCGTCAGTTTCACCAGTTGCAGTTGTTCTCGAGGTTTCTTTTTGCACAAGGCAACACTAGGAAATGAAATTTCTGGTCTTTGCAGTTCTTCTCGCAGAAAAATATTACAAGTTTATATGGACAGAATTGCGACTGTATGTTCTCGCCGTAGTTTGAAGAATATTTTTATGTAGAATGCATCAAATCAGCGTCTGGTTTTATTTCCTGCAGGCTCTTAAACTGAGTATATCTGCCCTACATGGCACAACAACCGGAAACATTGTCAATCTAGTTTCTAGTGATGCACAGAAGTTTGATTGGGTGAGTAGCCATGCCGATTTTATAGACTGTCCAGATCCTTAATTAGTTTGTTTCTTAGCAAGATAGAACTGACATAGATCATAGAAAACGGCTAAGTCAATGACTTGTTGCGTATGCTCAACCAAGAGCGTAATTTCCTAATTCAATCTTCACCTTTAGGCATGGGATTTGACGTTATTTGTTATTCTCCGGTATTTCTAACTTGATTCTCCCTACTTTATGTTCTCTCGGTTTTTTTATAAACTATCCTGTGGTGAATGAGTCACCCTTTCGGCGACGATGGATGATATACTCAGGCTCGTTCAGTGATTATTTTACTGTTCATAAAAAACCTTTCCAAGCACATAGCACCCTTAACTCTGCTTAGAATTTCTTCAAAACATTCACCAGTTCCTGCGCAGGTAGCCCAAGCTCACGAGTGAGCCGTAAGTCAGAGAGAAAAACGGTTAAACTACTAAAACTCGCTGGAATTTCTCTGGAACGAATCAAATTGGCAAGAACACGCATTAATAAAAATAAAGGCTAGGTAATGAATTCTGCTGAATTTTTACTCTTAAATAGTGATGGCCATTTTTTTTTATATGTCACGCGAAAACGATTTTGACTTTTGAGCTTCGTTCAATAATTTTCCTATTATTTGTTTGTTGACGTCATTTATCGACTAACAGGATGTTTGTTAGAACGCTGATTTAATCTTTCAAATTTGGTCAGCGCTATGAACAAAATAGCCGGGCGACTTAAGCCATTCAGAAAAAGAGAAATGTCTTAAGCAACTACAAATCGAATTGCTTGTTTTCAAGAGAGGATAAAGGGGACAGAGAAGGCATCCCCCATACACACCCTATTCCATAGGTAATTCGTCTCGAGTTATTTTTAAGACCACAGATCCCAAGGGGGATTAGACAACAGCCAATCACATAGCGCGATTGTGTTCCGCGTGGATGACCCACACTCAGAGCCACGCGTCCTTCACGAATTGAGGCAGAAAAAAGTGGCGGTAGACGCGGAGAGCAATATTGCTATTCGTTTTGTCGACGAAAACGACTAAAGAGAGATTTCTGCTAAAGCTGTGTCAGCGAAACGGAAATTAAAAAAGAATTGCCCTTCCTCTCTTGTATAGAGCTAACAGTACAGCAGGGAAATCCTTAACACAGTGAATATTCTCTCAGGATCATTTATAATTTACAGTTTGAAGAGAGCAATTTCTGGTTTGATATTTATTCTTTTATTAGTCTTTTATTATTCAACAAAAATAACACGTGGCGTCCTATAATAATAATAATTTAATAACTTCTAGAGCGCTATTTACATTCACTGATCAACAGCGCTTAACAACTTAAAAAAAATTACAATAAAATTCAAATTTGTAACTAATTACATGCACATGAATATTACTTGCTACTTGCTTTATTGTACAAACGACCGGTTTCAATAGACCGGCGAAATTTCTCATTTTATTAAAGCACTGAGGTTACGATAACTTCGAGTTAGACTGATTTCACGGGTTGTCAAAGAGTCGAGCAATTCCCTTTTCCCAGGTGAGCGCCGACCCATTTCGCTTCAATATTCAGAAATGCTCTCGATCTCTTTACGCTTTCATTGCCTTTTGCCCGACATGTTTTGCATGGCGTTTAGTCATGCAAAACCTCCACGAAACATCCACGCAGCGCGCGAGGTAACTTTATCCCGATTCTAAAAACAACTCGAGACGAATTACCTATGGAATAGGGTGTGTATGGGGGATGCCTTCTTTGTCTCCTTTATCCTCTCTTGCTTTTTTTCTATTGATACGATTTCATTGCTCGACGCTGTTTCTTTTCACACTGTATAGTTCGCTTAAACGTTAGATCTTAGAAAGAAAATGTTTATCACTGTAGAAATACGTTCTTATACACCACACTTTCAAATCACATAAAATCCTCAAAACCATAGCGATAATTCACCAATTAATTTCTTCCTCGCCCTTATATAAATGGTAAGATTAGTCAGTTATTATAGCTCAGAGCTGTTTTGCAAACCGAACTTCGCGAAATAGAATTGTTTTCAAGAAGGAGGAATAACATAACTAGGTTTTGTAATTTAGTCCGGTCAAAGTGATACGCCCCCATGGTTTTAATGTACTTAATTATTTTACATATCATATGTACCCGGTAATGTATTACAAATTTGAACTGAAACGGAAAACTGAAAAAAAAGAATGATACTCATGAGAATCTTGAGGACCTGCATTGGCTTGGCTTGACCTGGTGGACATTAAACTATTTTGATATGGCGACCTGATTGGCGGTGTTTTGACATTGTTATATTACCTATATTACATTACCGAAAATACAAAGGTGGAATCCCTTAGATATGCCTTTTAAAAAACAACATATTTGTTTACCTTGTCACAAAGCAAGGAAAAGAACAGTGGTTTTTTTTGTTTATTGTTTTTAGAGTACACCTTTCCTGCACTATTTAGTGGTTGGCCCAATCGTATCTGCTATCGTTTTAGCGTTGCTATGGATACAAATTGGTCCACCAGCCCTAGCTGGCATGGGATTGATTGTTCTTTTGGCTCCATTGCAACTTAAAATGGGAAACATGCTATTCGTATTTAGGTAAGTCATCACATGATCTAGTCACCATAATCATTGTGTTTTAAGTGATAAAGGGCCTTTTTTTACACACTTCTTTACTGTTATATCCCGCAGTTATTAACTGATTTACTATAATTAAGTGATAAGAGAATATCTAACGTTTATAAAACAAAGTCATGTGATTTGTTTGAAATATTTTCCTAGACTGCACGTAGGTAAAATAACAACTTAAAATGATGCTCGGAGTCTATTTTCTTTTAAGTTAATACTGAGATTTCTCAGTGCTATGGATTTGGGCGAGGCAAAGGGTTTGCATCATCGGGGTGAAGGAATCAAAAGCTCGGGGTAAAAGATAGTTTTGTATAAAGACAAGGAAGCAAGAACACAATGTAATGGGTTTTTCCTGGATTCTACTCTGATGACACTGTTATTGTTTGTCATAGTGCCAACCACTCCTCCATATTTGAACTTTTGCCGTACGATTTACATATTCATATTACTTACTCTAGAAAATATCCATTGTCCTTATTTATTTTTGTTATTGTAACGTACAAATTGCAGTTTTGTATATAGTATATTTTATTTCAATATTTTTGCTTTTTGTACATATTTGTGTATATTTTCCTCTTACTTATTTTTTTAGAGGACCGTCTCCCTCTTTAAATAAAGTTATTGTATTGTATTGTGTTGTATTATGTTGTATTGTGTGACTGTGAGACTCCCTCTCTGTCCTATGATTTCCTGGTGTTAAAAACCTCGGCTGCGCCTCAACCCGGCGGAAGCGCTTTGTGTGCTATGATTAGTGTAACTATTCTTCACACTTTTCACATTGCTCATAGAACAAAGGCAATACGTTGGATGGATGAACGAGTCAAAGTCATGAATGAAATAATTGCTGGTATGCGAGTTATCAAGATGTACACCTGGGAAGACTCATTTTCAAAGTGGATAAGACAGATAAGAAGGTTAGATAAATAAGCTATTGGGTGTTCCCTGACAGTTTTTAATGCCTAATAGATTTGAGCATAGTTAATTGAGTGGAATGGTTATGAAACCCGTCAGACTCCTTTGTTATATGTTTTTGTGGACCTGAAAGTGCACAACGTTCAAAAGAATTTCTATCATTTTGATTGTATTGACCAATAAAAACGTTGCATTAATTTATTCCGTAACAATTTGCCAACAGAAAACAAAGGATTGTGCACTTTCACGGTACTTCCAACATAAACTGCAGCACTGTTGTTCTTATCGTTGATGTTTGCCGCTTTTCATAACCAGTTTCCTCTCATAACTATGATTTGGGTGACCGATTTCGAACTAATTCAAGTTTCTAAAAATCACACTCGTTTCAGGTACATGTAGAATCCAAAACATGGTGAGACAACAAATGAGCCAAATTGCAATTAAGATATTTCCTTTTTTTTAAGAAATTCAGTAACTAAATGGCTTTGTCTTGCTTATGAGCGTTGTACTAATCTTTAAGGATACAGTCTTCAGTTAATTAGAATTCGCCTTGATTTCATTAGCCTGCGTGGCAGGCGCAAAAAGGGGAGGAGGAGGGGGGAGGAAGAAAGGGAAAAGGGAAGGGAGCGCCGTGTCGCTACACTCGCCATTGCAGAAAAACATTACACTCACGGACTAAAAAGAAATTCGCTTAGTTATTCAGATCTAGAAGGCACTTTGGAGAAAATTGGAACCCTTATTCAGCCGTAATAAAAAAAGAAAAAGAGGTCAAAGAAATTGCGCTTGCATCAGAGGGCAAATCCTGCCGACCAGAAAACAATAACTACAGTCAATCGATAGGCGCACCAGTTAACCAAAATAACATTTGCTCAGTAGAATTTATTGGAATAAGCTTTGGCGTTAACTCATCGTCGTGGAACACATTAACGCCGATGACGTTTCAGTGGCGAAATGACGAGAATTTTTTCTTTATCTCAAACCTTTGAATAAAAACCTCGCCACTGTTCTAAAGAGCTATTATCTCTCAAAGACCAACATCCACGTTGGTTTGTTGATTTGTAAACGCGCATTTCAATATGGCATGAACAACTGGAAAAGCCAACAACGGCCGTACAGTAGCCGAATCTCATTAACTTGTACAAATGAGGAAGGTAAAACCTCGAAACAATAAAAACGGCCGTACAGTAGCCGTACAAATGAGGAAGGTAGAAACAATAAAAATGAGGAGGAGGGAAAGCAGTAGAAATGTGGTGGTGCTGGGGGCCTGGTGCTGGTGGTGGAGGGAAAGTGAAAAATGTTAGGAGGAGAGAAATAAAAGCTGAATTGTGGAGGAGTACTTCGTTTACTGCTTGAAAGTGCCAGTTTGCCTTCGAACCTAGAAATATGTTTGCACGCCAAGAATCACTGAACCGGGTCTGGCACAATTTGTTGTCTACAATTGCAAATGAAAGAAGCAAGAAATAGAACTTTCATAATTACGTCACGGCTAAGTGAATTTAAGTCACGTGCGATTTGCTTCTTATTCCTTTGACAACATGAATGAACCAGTGAACACTTTTCTTAGTTTTTAGTCAACCAATAAAAACCTAAGCATTGATTGAGCCAAAAATACCCTTCGAACTGGTTGAACCACCTAACAATAGCACGTGGTCTTAACTTAATAAGATTCCACCGCATTTTATTCATGTGATAAAGGCAAATGGCTATGATGTCATTGTCGTTTATGTGTTCCACCGCAAGTTAATGAGATTCCAAAAAGGGTCTGACTAGTGCGCCCTACTTACTAGAATATGCAATTGCAGGCACTATTATTAACATTAAGTACAATGTAACGTATCCTTGTTTTTTCTTCCTGCCAACAGAGATGAACTGAAGTGGTTTTTGAAGTTGAACTTTATTCAAGGGGCGTTTATGTCCTTGTTCTTCAGTGCGTCCGCAGTTATTAGTTTTGTTACCTTCATGACGTATGTACTGACTGGTCAGATTTTAACGGCGCAAAAAGTGTTCACTTGCATCTCGCTTTTCAATATGATTCGTGTTGTCATGGCGTTGCATTTTCCAATTGCTCTGTCCCTTCTGAATGAATGCAGGGTGTCAATACAGAGAATGGAGGTTAGTGCGGAGGTGTTCTAAATGCTAATATCAAAACACTTGAATGTTCCGCTACTTCAAATTATGTATGATTCTTCTTTTCTATTAATTTACTTTTTAAACATCGAAACGCCGTCGTTTTTAACTATGTTTTTAAATTCCTCAAATCATTTTAAGGCATATTTTACCGCAGCTTTTTATAGTTAAATGATAAGATACCTACCCTGAATATTAACAGATGTAAAAACGTTGCTATTCTTCAGGACGTCCTGGTATTACGTGATATGCACTCGGAGGGTCGGATTACATCAAAACTGCGACCAAAACCTGAAAAATGTTATGTGGATGTAAAGAACGTGACAGCCTTCTGGAACCATGTACGTTATGAAGATAAGACATTTTAGTAAAATCCAACTAGTGGTCTATTATCAATCCTGCGTTCTGATTGGTTGAGCTACTACTAGGCTATATGTTATAGCCCACTAGTAGCGAAAAGCGCGGGCTTTAAAAACCAAAACAATAGCGGCTGAATCGCGCTTTGCTTGCTAAAGTTGTTTTGTCGCGATATTTTGGACCAGCTAGTTGGATTTTATTAAAACAATTATTCCTCTCGCCCTTATGGCCTCTTGAGTCAATAGCCCATTCGGCCTTCGGCCTAATGGGCTATTGACTCAGAGCCCATTCGGGCTCGAGGAATAATTGTTAAATATATGTTGGTGCAGCGTACCCTGTTGATTAGCTGTGCGTGTTTCTGCACAGTTATTATATTTATGCGTCAGAAACACTTTCCTACAATGATCCTGAAACAGATGTCTCTTTTTTTCTGTGAAACGTTATACTGCCACACTTGTCAACGAATCACCCTCGACCTCCACCCTCGTCATGGAAACCGTATCAAAGAGTATTAATTCCAATGGCCGTTCTTATACTAGAGGACGCATTATCCGTCCAGGCGGATAATGCGTCTATGACCGTTTTTATACTAAGGACGCATTATCCGTCTGGACGAACTTGGGCAAACATTTGTAGCTCGTCTGGTTATGCGTCTCAAGTATAAAGACGGGTACAAGACGCATTATGCGTCTGGGCGAAGTTTCCCTCGGACTACGTCTTGAACGACGCACTACGAAAGGTAGTTCGTCTGGACGCATAATGCGTCTCGTACTCGTCTTTATACTAGAGACGCATAACCCTGACGAACTACCAAATCATTGCCCAACTTCGTCGAGACGGATGATGCGTCCTCAGTATAAAAACGGCCTTTCTCATATTTTTCTTCAGTTTACCATTGCCCTGCATGTTTCAGTTGGATAAACTGATTTATAACTGTCAATGATGTTTTTTCAGTCAGTCATACCAAAATTCTCCCGATAGAAGTCGAACCTCACCTTCTGGATACTAGTCCCACAGGTGGCCCAAGCTCGAAATATGAGCATTGGCGAACATCGGCGTTGTTGCGTAGCATTGATTTGGAAATATAAGGATTTGTATGGGAAAAAAACCTACTGTTTCCGTAACCTACGAAAATGAAAGGATTTCAATAAAAAACAGCTTACCTTACATTAAATGTGTGTTACGTCTCTCCTGGGTTGTTCATGCGCCATTTTATGGGCTGTACAGTAAACGGTCTTCTCTCTATATAAAGGTTTACCAAGGCTGGGGACTCCAGCGAAGCGGCCCGACGGATCCACCGAAGGTAAACGGCCGTAAATTCGCTCCAACGGCTTCAGTCGCCTCCAAATTTCGCCTAGGTAACAGGCGATAGTTCTCCTTTTCATTGGTTATCTTGCTTCAAGACGCCTTTGTACCGAGAGCGAATCAAAGGTCGCAAATCTCTGCAACCTTTCATTCGCTCTCGGTGCAAAGGCATCTTGAAGCAAGATCACGAATGGAAAGCAGAACTATCGCGTGTTACCTAGTCGGAATTTGGAGGCGACTGGAGCCATTGGAGCGAATTTAGGGCCGTTTTCCTTTGGTGGATCCGTCGGGCCGCTTCGATGGAGTCCCCAACCTTGGTAAACCTTTATATAGAGAGAACTCCGTTTACAGTACAACCCATTAAACGGCCACAAATCGGCCCATGGACCACACAGGAGAAACGAAACACATATTTATGTAAGATAAGCTGTTTTTTATTGAAATCCTTTCATTTTCGTAGGTTATGGAAACGATAGGTTTTTTTTCCATACAAATCAGGGGCACCCAACTACAATTTTTGGAAAATATCTGTTCGGAAGACGATTTGAGATCTAGAATTTTCGGAACATTTCTTGTTAAATTTCTTGCTTGCATGCCTCTCCTAGGATTTTCGAACCTCCCAAACATGGTATAAATTGCCCATTTTTAACGGATTTTTAGCGTAAAAAGGTCACCTAGAATTTTCGGGAGCCTTTTTTCTGGCTGAAATTTTCGAAAAGGTAAGTTTTGATCCCTATAATTTTCGGATCACTAGACTTTCAGCTAGGAAATCCGAACAGATGAAAGATTTTTAGGGGATGAAAATATGCCTATATCTACTGTTTAAATACTAGTCTAATACTAAAATACGTTCAACAATGCTATGTTTAAGTGGTTTTGAACTATATTCTCGTTGGGTGCCCCTGACAAATCCTTATATTTCGAATGTTATGCAACAATGTCGATGTTCGTCGATGCTTATATTTCGAGCTTGGGCTACCTGTGGTAGTCCAAATGCTCTGCCACCAATCTCAGGCCATTTAAACTGAACTGAAACTAGGTTGCGGTTCTTTTAACAACATACTCTTGGGACTCTAGTTGATTTCGATATTTGGCACTTTTTAAATGACGTTAAAGTGATGTTGAATAACCCTTACTAGTACTGTTCCATAAAATCGTTTATTCCACTATTTAGAAACTTGTTGTTTTTACTTTGATAATGCCTTTATGTTTCAGAACTTATCTCCAACCTTAGAAAATCTAACTTTCAGAGTACCTCAAGTAAGTTGCTTCTAGGTAATATAATGTAATCCATTCGTTTCCTTGTGTTCAAATCAGTGTGCCTTCCAGATAAAGATTTTTTTCTTTACGGATCATTTCAAAAACAGGTAGTTTTTAACTCGTGGATACGCGAAGTATAGGAGCGAGTTTTTGTGGGCACTTTGATTAGCAAATGTGTTACTCAGTTACTTAATCGTGAACCGTCCTCTCAATTAGGCAGGACCGAACTGGAAAGATCCCGCTGCTGATCCGAAACGACACTGTGCTTCACTCAGGCAACCTCGCGATTCCTCATGAGAGAACCCGGCAGAGGGCAGTCACGTTTATTTGTATAGCGACTTCTGATCTCCGACTGGCATCTATTTATTTGCCAAGGTTTAAAAACCAAATGTCATAACGAAATTGCCATAAGGTGAAAGTTGTATCAGAAGTGAGAGTTTCGTGAGTGGTTGCATTTTCTCACCTTGCTAACAGCGTGATTTCCGATATTTCAAACTACAGTTTAAAAATATTCATTACTTCTTATACAACTCAAACAACGCCCAAAAATAGTACATATGGTCTCGCATGTTTTCGCTTTTTGTCTGAAAGTGTCGACAAGCGTTAAAGTTAACTTTAGGACAGCCGGAATTTTTCTTGGGTATCTCGTTGCAACTTCGAATAAACACTTTCAAGCAATTATTCACATGATACAAAACTGCCATAGTGGAAAGCAAAAGACGCGCTGGGAAAAGACAAACAAAGGAAATTACCATTCAGTTAGCCTGGGACCAGGCTCCGCATCGGGGGGGAAGAGGAGAAAAAAATTGGCGTGGGCGAAAACAAAAATAGGCGAGCAAAGCGAGCCGAGAGGTAGTCTGTTGAGGGGGAAAGGGTGGCGGAGGCTCCGCCACCCTTTCCCCCTCCCCAGGCAACCGCTCGGCTCGCTTCGTTCGCCGATATTTTTCCTATTTAACCCCGTTTTTTGCCTCCCCCCCCCCCTGCGGATCCTGGTCCCACGCTACCATTCAGTCAAAGGATGTATGCCTTTGCTTTCCAACATATCGGTTTTGTGCCACGTGAATGTGCAAAGGGCCTATTTTCTTTTCTCATCTGACTATAAGGACGCATCCACGAGCTACCCACAGTTACTTTATTCTCCTCCTTACAATCTCCTATTTTACTTTCTTTACCCGTTTTTTCGCCATGTGCCTTTTGTTAGTAACTTAAACCGCTATGGCTCTGGGCATTTTGTAGCTTAAAAGCAAGGCAGAACTGTATTAATACAAGCTAATATTTCTCCCGGCGATTAGGGTGAACTGCTCGGTGTTATTGGCACTGTTGGATCTGGAAAGGTAAAATATTTCATTTTTTTGTATTTTGTACTATACTTTCTCAAAACGTGTTGATTTATTATTTTTCTGGCTCCCACAGTCTTCCCTCTTAATGGCAATTTTGGGTGAGCTTCCATTGTCCGGGGGAACTATAACCGTAAAGGGAAAGATCGGTTATGCCTCGCAGCAAGCTTGGATTTACAATGGCTCTCTCCGCCAAAATATCCTGTTTGGACAAGAATATGACGAAGACAGATTCACTGCAGTTATTCAAGCTTGTGCTTTAGAAAAGGTAGAATTTACCTGTCAAGGCTAGATTCTGCATGACATCTTTACTCTGACATTTGTGCCAACACTAATTATACATTAAGAGGCTTACTTTAAGGCAGAGACTTTTCCAATCTGTTCCGCGGTATAGCATGTAAGCAATCTTCTGTCGAAAAACAATTATGATTTCTTGCAATGAAAGGTTTTTGAAAGATGTTGAATGTCCACAAATCGTCAGAAAGCCACCCTCAAGAAATTCTCCAATAAATAGTCATTTAAGAGTGTCAAGTCTTAAGAAACTCCAGAGACAAACAACTTTTGGATTGTTCAAAACAATGCACAAATACTGGCTTATGTTTTAATCTATCTGCAGCTCTTCCCCCTAACAAACTGTAACCTTAATTAGAAACAATTTTCGCAGCTGAATAAAAAGGAAAGAGTTTCCTTGTTTATTTTCAAGTTTTGTCAGTTGTGGTATTTTTGTTTTAGGACATTGAGTTGCTACCAGATGGTGATATGACTTTGGTGGGTGAGCGAGGTGTGTCCTTAAGTGGAGGACAAAGAGCAAGGGTCAACTTGGCAAGGTACTAACTTTATTTTGCTGCCGGCTAATTGCAGCAGATAAGATATCATGATTTGTGGCTCAAATGATTCAAACATTTCGCTGACTATCACGAGTCTTATGAGTAATCCGACATTTGAACGGGCAAAGTCTGTTTTCATGTTTGTGTCTGTGTCATCTTTTTCTTTTATCACTTGGATTTCTATCTTGTTGGCTTGCCTAATTCATGTGGATAGGTTAAATCTAGTGTTTGCAGTTAGTTATTAGGGACCTTTAGCATTAACTGTAAACGGCAAACCTGAGGCAAACCACGTTTTGCGGTGGCGTTTGCAGTTAGCTGTTTACGTTTGAACGGCACAAAGGGCTTCCAGCAGTAAGGATTTTGACAGTAACGTAACTTAAGCGGATATACGTGAAAATGAGTCATATTTTGAACTGCGGATAAAGATATCAAAGTGGAAATGATCGCGGGGTTGAATAAACAACCTAAGCGGTTGAAAAAAAACCTGTAAAAAAATCAGGCTTGATTAGCTTACTGGATAGAGAATTAGCCAGCGTTGCGTCCGGTCATCGCAAGATTCAGAGTTAGATTCCTGGTCAAGCCTGAATTTTTTCAGGTTCTTTTTCAACCTTTTAGGTTGTTTATTCAACTGCGAGGATAATTTCCACTTTGACAGTAATGTAACTGTTATGCCTCATTTAAACGAGCAAGTTTTCCTTGTGCACCGTCAGGGAGTTTCCAACATAAACTGCACCAGCGTTGTTTTGATCTTTGATGTCTGCCACCTTTTATAACCAGTCTCCCCCACTAACCATGCGAAAGGTGATGGTTTAATAATTTGGGCATAATCACTAACGCGCTTCAATGTTTCGTGTTCTGTACATAAGATAAGAACATGACTGCGAATATCACAAATGCATGACTCTTGATGAGTGCATTTAGCTTGATGCCACTTCATCCATGGTTTCTCGCCTGCATTTTCTTACTTTCTAGTGAATAGTAAATCTTCTTCCGGAGCCATTTTCACTATGATGGGGCTACTTAGTTCCCCTGAGTGGAATCTAATCTGGCAAACCTTATAATTATTATCCTAGATCATTTTCTTAGTAAGAAAATCGAATATTTTCGTCTGTGTTCAAAAGAACTTTGGGATATTGTATGAATTCCTCTTTTGATACTTTGGTTTGCCAACGTATTTCAGCTGTACATGTAAGAGCTGACTACCGAAAAAACGCGAATTAAATTACCGACTACCGACAATATGAACAAACATTATCTATATTTTTTTTTTGATAGAAGAGCATATTGTATTTTCTTCTACGTTTCTGGGAAGCAACCAAAGATACCACCGACTTTATGAATTTTATTGAAAGGAAAAAGGTGAAAAACCCAACATTTCTTGTTTCGATGGACGTCACAAGTCTTTTCATACAAATATATATCACCAAACGAGGGTGTTGAAGTAGTTTGCAGAGCGCGGTATGAAAATTTCTACAATTCAGCCCACCTATTCCAACACATTACCTGCGAGAAATGCTTAGATTAATCCTCAAAGAAAATTGTTTCCAGTTAATGGGAAGCTCCACCCACAAACTCACGGTACCGCGATGGGCACAAGGACAGCGGCTTTGCTTTGCCAACATTTTCATGGCACATATTGAAACACAAAGTCTAAGAAAAATTGTCTTTAGACCAACTGTTTGGAAACGCTACATGGATGACATTTTTTTGCTGTGGGACAGTAAACCAGACATCGTAGCTTTCTTCGAACAAGCAAACTTACATTACCCTACCATTAAATTCACCACCGAAATTCACTGAGACAATGTTTTTAGACGCAGTTGTCTACAAAGGCACAAGATTCAACGAAAAAGCTATGCTTGATGTAAAGACACATTTTAAACAAACAAAGAAGAAGCCTTAAGCCTTAAACAACGTTTGAGGAAAGTATTTCAAATTTCCAAAAAAAAAGCCTTGATGGACAGAGGCTACCAACACAGTTTGACAGAAAAATTGCTATCAGAAATAAATAAAACTCATAGAAACTGGAAATCTTCGCTGCTGAAACAAAACACTACTTTGCCAATTTTTAAAGAACCGCCTATTACTTCCTACAAGAAAGGAAAATCATTGCAAAGAGCTACCTACCCCACGAGTAGAGGTTTCTCTCTTGCATGGCTTTTAACGTTTACGAAGTCATTCGGCTTGTCTGTCAAGCCACTCGAACGACTTCGTAAACGCTAAAAAGCCTCTGTTTATTACGTTTTATACTGCCTGTACCAACAGAGAAACCAAGTTCGCATTTGCAATGAAAAGCTTTGGTGATTTTATCGGTACTGTATAATATGAAGTTTAAGGTCAATCAAATGATGCATTTTACAATTTTTACACGTTTTATAGAATTCAAAGTTCTGAAGTGAGTGAAGTACATAGCAATTGTTAATAATCAACATGCATTTCTACTTATTAACTGAGATTTACCGACAAATATTGAAATTTTAACTGACTATCGACAAAATAACTGTATTTTAACCGAGACCCGACAAGAGATCCCCCCCCTCCCCCATTCAGACCCTCATGTAAATCCATGTTCTCTCTAGTAGAAGACTGGAAATGTTATGTTGGCTGGCATGCTTGTTTCAGGGCAGTGTATTCCGATGCTGACATTTATTTGATGGACGATCCTTTGAGTGCTGTAGATGCAAATGTTGGACGGCACCTGTTTGAGAAGTAAGAACGTTCTGCCTGAATATTTAAAAAATATAGCAAATAATTTCAAATCTAGTCAGTAATACCGTCGCTTTTAAGGTTATGAAAGGCCTTAGGTACAGTAACCTTTGCTCTTAACTGATAATTATTGCAGTTATTTAGATGGCTTTTAAGAGGGAAATTTGCATTTTTGAGACTCGTTAAACATTGTGAAGAGATCAATCTCTTTAAGCCAAAGTTGTGTTTTACCTGCAAGGAAAGAATGTATTTTATTTTAAAAGGTGCATCTGTGGGTATTTGGCAAGCAAACCACGCATCTTAGTTACCCATCAGTTGCAGCATATTGGTAAAGCAGATGAAATACTTGTACTTGATCAGGTAAGCAGACTTCTTTACTGCTGAAACAGATGAGCTGTAGCATTACATAGTCACTTAATGCGCAGTTTTGAAGATGCACGACTGTGGCTGACGGTAATGTAAGGTCAGTAATCAATGAATTTCAAGTGAACAAAGACATTCATCGACCTAAATATGACAAGAAAATCTTTCAAACCAGTTAAATCACGATAAAATAGCACATTACCTTATTTTAATGAGATTCGTCTGCATTTTATTCATAAGTTAAAGAATGAAGGCTATTTTGTCATTGGCGTTAAAGTATTCCGCTTCAAACGAATTAGATTCTACTGCAAGAATGAGGCTTGACCGGTGCGTCCTATACTACCAGCATCTTTACGAGATGTTTTAAAGATTGTTGTAACGCACTATCAATTCACATCAGTCACTGTGCTAACGGAAAAAGGAAGATTTCAAGCAAATTCTTACAGGACACTAATTTTCTTACTTTTTTGTTTACTGAACTGCATGTAATTTATACTTGCAGTAGCCTTGACATTGTTTTCACACTACCACTAGCTTTTTTGGTGTGATTGGAGGGGTTAGCACCTCAGCCCCAAAAAACTGAATTATCAGTTTTCCAGCGTTTTGTGAGAGCTACTGATTGCGTTCCTTGACTTTCTTTGCAGTTTTAAGGGGTAAATGCTGCGGTCTTCATCGTTATGTGCAGGCGCCTTCTTTTGTCGTTAGCTGGATTGAATTTAATAGGAGACTGACGGACGGGGAATTAACGTCCTTGTTAGGGTTAAGGTTAGGGTTATCTATGCACATGAGTGCATTCACTGGTTAACTTACCATTAAACAAATAAAGTGTTGTCCAGACGAAATACCCCTGCATTAGCTGAAAGAAATATCAGCACTATTAATAACTTATTTTTTCGTGACATTATTTCTGGGTATCTTTTTTAAGGGAAAGGTCATAAGCAAAGGGAGTTACAAGGAGTTATCAGTCTGCAAAGGAAGCACCAACATAATGGCCTGTTTAGTAGATCCGGAAACAGAAGCAGCACGTCAACAGGAGGCAAAGGATGCTGAGAGACTTAAGGTTGCTAGGCAACTGAGTAGACGAGATAGTTATCAATGCCACCGTCTGAGTAAAGTAGCCGACAGCACTTATTCCATCATATCTGCCACCACAACAATGTCTGTCTATGTAAGTTTACATTATTCCCTTTTACATTTTTGTGCTTATCAAGCACTTCTTTGATACGCGCCCCTCTGGAAGTAAAAATAAAGAGCACAAGAAACAAACAAACGAAAACAACAACGAAGTTGAAGTTGCGGCAAATAAATAGTAAGTGAACTATTAATTTTCAAGGTGCCCTATACTTGGTTGTTTTGTTTGGCGTGATAACTTGTCACAATGCCTGGAGTTATCGTCCTGGTCTTGTTGTGGATGCTGGTATTCTGTTAGCGATAAGAAGGGGTCATTTGGCGTTTTACGTAGTTTTGTCGAGCTTGCAGATTGGGCCACTGTAAGTATTTTGTCAGGCCGAACAGAACAGTGCAAGTCAGCCTTATTATCATCCAGCCCGCAGCTATTCCAGGCGACCGCACAGTATTCAAACAAAGGCTACACCATCGTGAACGTTTTGGTAGGACTTTTTAAGCGAGGTTCAGTGAGGTTACGACATATATTTTTAATAGAGCTGATACGCATTTCCCAAGATAACTTTGGGTCCATTAGGACACCAAGATATTCAAACTCTCCGCCTCTAGCTCGCGTTCGATCTAAAACTTAGTCCTACTACAGTGCAACCCCGATACAACGATCCTCGATATAACGATATCCCCGGTATAACGATAAATATGCTATGTCCCAGCAAAAGTTACAGTAAAATGTATGGGACAGAACCCCGATATAACGATCTTCGATATAACGATATTCCCGATATAACGATGAGTTTTTAGCGCACAGAGCGTAAAATTTTCCCCGATATAACGATATTTATATTACAGTATACACAGATAGAATTTAAACAAAACATTGAATTTAATACAATAACATTACAGTAATCGAGTACAGTAATCTGCAACGTTTATGTCAACAGCTTTCAGTTTACGCAACTTCAAATGTTTAAGTTTTGTTTTGTTTCCCTTTTACGATTCATACCACAGACTTTGTTGTTTGACCTTGATAACGTCTAATGCGTTGCAAATTGTTTAAGGACATCGCTGCGTGCTTGAAACGCTACATTTGTGAGTCATTTGATACTCATTACTGTACAAGTTTAATTAAACAATATGTAGTAAAAAAGGTACATATTAATTTTACCCCGATATAACGGTATTTTCGGTTATTTTACGGCAATATCGTTATATCGGGAGTCTCGATATAACGATCTAATTCCACTGCTCCCTTGGCATATCGTTATATCGGGATTCCACTGTACTTTCCTTATCCTGTCCTGAAGAAAGCTTGAATAAGGAATCATTGTATGTTATTGCCTACATAGGAAGACAATCTTCTGCCAGCAGAGCAGAAACAAGAAGGAGCTGTCAGCGCTAAAACCTACCTGGCATATTTCCGCTCTTTTCCTAATCTTGGAACGGCTCTTATCATCATCTTCTTATTTGCATTTTGTCAGGTAGGCACAAAAAGCCGTCCTCCATGCCAGTTCCAGTCTATGCTTATTGTTTTTGAAAAGCTTAATATAACCTAGGTGGATCCTCGGAGACCCAGGGGAGGCTACTCAGGGCAGGATATTCACGGGGAAAATCATTGCAAAGATTACACGAAAAAAGAGCCCTGTGCACCTCTTCCGACATACCGAACCAGTTCCAGAACATTTGAATTCTCTGTTTCTTATAGGCCAGAACATTTTAAAGTACTTCTGGATCTGGTTTGGTAAAGCGTACGGGGGCGTTTTCAATACATACAGTGGTTTGGCCCGAGCTTGTTTCGTTCGATTAACTGGGTTTCCGAGGATGTCCCTAAGAGATCATATATAGCTTGGTTTCTTCTCTAAACTTGTTATGACGAATTTGGCAAGGAGTGAAAGGGAACAACTCTTCACAAGTGTGTTGCCTATTACTTATTTTGTCTTAAAAATATCTTCTTAAATTAATAAATAGCCTAATTGCATTGTTTTCTTTCATATTAGATAGTAGCGATGATTGCGGATTGGTGGCTATCCTACTGGTAAGATATTTATGTTAGGGACCAAGTTCCTGAAGGTGGGAATCCACTTTGTAAAGTGCTACTTGTGCTACTGTTGCACAGTACAGTCTACATGGCTGTACTGATATCGATAGGTTTGAAGATAACAGAGTCTCATTTATAACATGTCTATTTTTAGGTCCAATGCGGAGGAATCATACTACATAGCAACAACTGGGAACTCCACTTCAAGTGTTGTTTCTGAACCCAACAGAGGAGTGTTTCTTGGGATTTATGGTAGCATGGTACTCGGGCTATTATTCCTGTGCCTATTCTGCATTGAGCTGTTCTATGCGATGACTATAGTTGCTTCAAAAACCCTTCATAGTAACATGCTTAGTAGTCTCATGACGGCTTCCATGTATTTTTTCGATAACAATTCTATAGGTGAGTTTGACGACTTCTGTTTTTTTCTGTGAATGGTGTATACGAGATAAATAATAAGAATTACATGGATATAAAATGAAACGAAAAATTTATCCTCGTAGTTAAGAATGCAGTTGCGAAAAGAAGCTTTAAACAAGTACAGAACTCCGTGACGTCCACTTTACTCTAACCACCTGACCCTGACCTATTGTAATGTGTGTCGGGATATGCAAAGATTACTAATGGTTGAACCAAGGTATCGTTGATCAAGATTGTGCAATGGAACCAGTGTCCTTGCCCCTGTAATCCCCTTTAATCCGTACCTAAAATGCGAAATTTTGGACGCTACACCTATGAAGGCCCTAACCTTGCGTAATTGTTGGCTTGCGTGTCCCTGTGAAAAAATGAATTCAGATTGCTTAAATAGCATAAATAACGTGAAATGCGTATAATTCAGTGAACAAATTTCAAGCTGGTTTTTTGGAACTTCAAACTTGATTTTTATAAATCATTACTATCAGTATAATCTTAATTAGGATCATTTCATCATTTTATGTCTAGCGCTGTTAAAGAGCTTATCTTGTTTGACCTGCACCCTGTTGACTTCAAATTTAACGCAACCTCGGCTGTGGAGCATTTTTTCAGCTGTATTACATCCTCTTGTCTTTTATTACTGTTTGTTTTTTATATTTATTTTTTTTTTGTTTTAGGACGAATTCTGAACAGATTTTCTAAGGACATCGGCATGATAGATGATATGATGCCCATGATACTTTGTGATGTTTTACAGGTATCTCAGCTCACTTCAAACATCCGAGATGTTCAAAAGAGGTTGTGGATATTGAGCAACTGATGTTTTAGTTAGTTATCTAGAAATAATTAACCCACTTTAAAGTAGTCTTGATAAGATTTCAATGCCGTCGTTAGTCATCGAAAGCGAAAGAGATGTTGATATGGTGTACTCAGACTAGGATCTGAGCCAAAATAGACCTCCTTGTAGTAGCCTAGCTGCGAGCAGGCTCAAGTGCCAAAATTTTCTCCGAACTCGCGCAAGTGAGCCTGCTGGCATTTGATTTGAACTCTTCTTTACTTTTCTCGAAATACGACAAACTGTATTACAGTATTTTAACTGGGCTGGTGGGTTAGAGTTAGGACGATTGGATGTCTCATCTTGAGGTCGTGAGTGGGCTCCAAACCCTTTCTTTAATCGGTAGCAAAATAGAAACAACCTTACGTTTATCACCACAGTTACGTACCATTTCTTATCAAGTTACGATGGCTAATGAGCAAAACTAATATTTACGACGTAGAGACAACTATGTACAAGTGATTGCTTGTTTTGTTGCAGACTGGATTTGTTTGCCTGGGTATTTTAGGATTGGTCGCAGTCAACAATCCCGTGACATTCGTAATGGTGGTACCAGTGATCATAGCTTTTGTTTTTTTGCGGAATTATTACATGAAGTCATCTCGAGAAGTTAAGCGTATTGAAGGAATAAGTAAGTAGATGTCGTCTTTGGTTCTTATTTGTACTGTAATAGAACTGATGTGCATAAGGACTCTGAAAGGTTATAATGGCAGCTTGCGTTGGACTGAAGAAATCTTTTGACTCGCTAAAAAGAGGTAAATGCAATTGCATTTACCGTGCTGGGCTAACGTTACGTCTGGCCCTTTTTATACTTCACAGTAATAAACATTGTCTTAGTGTGATATTGACCTCATAGCCCTGTGGCTTAGAAAAAGAAAAAAGCGGTAGGTTTTTTGCTTGTTGGTTGTGAGTATGACAGTCTCTAGCTATTTATCTCCTCTTTCATGATGTTATTTCTGTGTGGTATTTTTTTTATATGTTAATAGGTAAAGAATGTAATTTATTGTTTCTAATTAATTGTATCTCCCGCTTTCAGGTCGCAGTCCGCTTTTTGGCCATTTTTCAACTACCCTACTTGGCCTTGACACTATACGTGCTTATGGGGCGGAGGAAACATTTACAGAGCAAGTAAACAGTTATCAGGATGCCCATTCAAGGGCGTGGTACACTTACATGGCCGCACAGACCTGGCTTAATGTCCGACTTGAAATGCTTACTGTGCTGTTTCTCGCTTTTGTCGCCTTTGTGTCAACAGCTATGAAAGGAAGTAAGAAGCAACATACTCCTACATTTGTATGGAAAATCTTTTTTTGAAGGTCGTAATCGAGTTTTTATTGTTACTTGAGGTGAGGTGGGGGCGGGGTAGCTACCATGTTTTTAGGGAACGTTACCCCGAACACTTAGGGCTATTTTGTTAAAAAGTTTTGTTCAAGGAAGGTTAAGTTTTTAAAAATATCAACTTAGCTGTCTGTTGAAAATTTTTAGTTTGGTGCATATGATGCACCTCTGCTGTTTTAAGACGTGCATCACTCTTTTTTGTAGAAATCTTTGCCGTCTCCGCACAACTACGACGTGAAATGACCTAATTTTAAGTGAACTTGAGAGCGGGAACGGCAAGGCGAAAAATTTTACCATATCTGTCAAGCTCGTCCCCAGGGCTTTTCCCTCCACCCTGGGGACGAGGTTGCATATCTGTCTGAACTCGGGCGCGGTCCCCTATCTTCAGATCCAACCTAAATTGTCTTCTTTCATGTAAAAGGGTGACTTGGGATAATCGCCAAATAGTTTGAACGAGTGCGAGGTCTGTTTTTCAGCGACGTTTTCATAGACGTTGCCGTTGTCGGATGGTAAGGTCCGAAATCACTCGAAGGCTAGGGTACTGTAAACTGGTCTGTTAAAGAGGGGAAGATGTTTGGATATTCGGGGCGGGGTGGGGTGGCTGGGGGGTGGAGGGGGTGGTTGCGGTGTCAACGGCATCGATAAAATAAAAAAAAAAAAACCATTTCGTAGGAATTCGTTAGACTTTTTTTGACACACTGAATTCTGTAAAGCTGCTCGTACTACGTGGAAATTAACTTTCCAAGACATCAACACGACACCGAAAGAACCGTAGACAGCTGTGATTCTGTGAGTGTTGAAGTTAAATGTCAGGGCTCTAAAACCACGTGAGCGGGTAATTTTCAGCAGAGCTTCTCTGTTTGTTGCGCCGTACTGATGAGGTACAAGAATGGCGAAACAACTGTCTATGGCTCCAACCCCGCTCTGTTTTGGGTTCTTTCGGTGTTGTAATGATGTCTTGCAAAGTTAATTTCTACGTAGTACGGTCAGCTTTGCAGAATTCAATGTGTCTACTTTGTATATTTTTGCTGATCAGATCTTCTATAAAACCCACGTTGTGCAGCATATACGTGTGCGGTCCTTTGCAGTTTACATGACTTTAATTTGGTTTGTTTCCTTTTTCAGCTGTTGATCTGAGCGCTGGTGTAGTTGGACTCACTTTGTCATATTGTGTTATGCTAACTAGTGTATTCCAGCCATTTATTGAGGAGAGTGCTGAGTTAGAAAATTTGGTGAGTTGAGTTCCTTACGCCTCAGCGTAGTGATGATGGCAACCGGGTTTATCTGCGCTGAGAGAGGTTGACGTAATGTCAGAGGCTGTTCCTCACTGGGGCGTCAAGGCATCATAAAAACTGATCCATGATCAAGCTTGGTTAAGACTACTATTCTAATATATTACGGCTTGCAGGGCTTGTAAGTTTTTAGCTTTGGTTTGATGAGGTTCAATAGAGAGGAGAAGTCGTAACGTCACGTTGCCATGGTAGCAAAATTTCTGGATGACAACAAATCAAAGCGTCACTTAAAAAGTGGATTCGCACTGTTTCAAACTTCATCAATCTTATTTAATTTCATTTAATTTGTCAAACGTTGGCGAAATCTTCTGGGTTGAATCCGAAAGGACCGTATCTAAGTTTAGAAAAGAAAAACAAAATTTTTGTGTTGTGCTCACGTAATCGATAAAGCGGGCGAGTGAAATTAGGAAGTTTCATGTCGCAGTCGTGCAACAACGGCTAAGAAATGTACAAAGAAGCGTGATGCACGTGCAAAGTTGTTCTTTTGCCAATCTAAAGTTAAGTTATGCACCCTACAAACAAAAAATTTCTTTACTACAAATTTAAATGAACAAACGCTTCTAAACACATTATTTATCATTATTTATAATCTATATTTTTATATTATCGTTGTGTATGTAGATGACATCCGTAGAACGTATCGTGGAATACTGTCACTTGGAATCTGAGGCTCCAGCAGAAACTAACACCAAACCTCCTGTTGATTGGCCGAGCCGTGGACAGATCGAGTTTGACAGCATGTCATTCACTTATCACAAAGGATTACCTGATGTTCTTCATCATATCACCTGCACTATCAAGGCAACAGAAAAGGTGTGTAGCCAAACTATATTTACCCTGTGGTACTAAAAATTATTTACAGCAATTAAAATTGCTGTAAATAATTTTTGCAATCAGCGAAGACGGGATTTTCTCGCTGGAAATCGATATGTACGATCGGTTAGAGAGTTGCATACAATATTTTTTTATGTGGACGCACATGCAATCGAGATACAGATGAAACAACATGGAAATGTAATCGTATCCTCTTGTGCCGTTCAAAGCTCTGACTGACTGACACCTGTATTTTACTTCGTCGTTATTCAATTTCTGCCCTCTAATCGGTATAATAATCTCGACCGTGGATTAAGTTTTTAGCAGCAAAAGTTTTATGAAAACGTTTTTCTTTTTCAGATCTTGAAAATGCGCGCAAATCGCACAATGCCTTTTGGTTTCTTGGCTTGTTTATAAAGCGGAGGCAATGATGAAGTCTTCTTAAAATAATCAACAATGAAAGCTATTAAAAGATTACCTAAAGAACGATAAGAGCGGGGCTTTATTGTAAGCGCGCAGAGCAGCTGTATTCTTGCTTTAGCCATTGATATGAGCTAAGTTACTTCGCCTAGGTCATCCTACCTTGACTTAATAGCTAACACTTAACAGACATCAACAGACATTATCATTATGCCGCAGTTTGAACTTTTGTATGCTATATACAGTTAAAATAGCATGACGGGGCGTTTGAGCGTAGCCCGTTGACTATAGTGAAAACTTAGCATAAAAATATATATAAAAATTAGCACCATCAATAATACTCCTTTTTTTGAAAAAAAAAAAAATTCTCTCAAGCATATCACTTATTCGGCTATAAAAATTCATCGACGATTACTTCATAACTTTAAAAGTCCAAAAGGTTTTTAAGGAGGCGATATTCATTGTTTATGTTGCAACTTTAAACCTCCGAGCGATGTTTAGTTGTTCCCGAAAGTACAGCCTTCTACATGTTATGAAGAACTCCCTTACTCTTACTTCCGACCAAGTTCTTCAGCTTGACTTCTAAGTCTTGGCACCACCCCCTTAGTAAGTCCATTATGATACCATATTGTTTCACTTCATATCCTTGGTCCTTCTGCTTCAATTCCCAACGGAGCGGTCCGTATTTCGTGGTTTTCTCCTCCTCCTTTTTCTCCCAGTTTGTAACCCATGGGCAGCTCATCTCCAGCGAGAAGACTCGCTTTGACTCGTGGTTGTTAATGCGAGCATCTACTCTGTTGGCTCTAACTTCTTGGTGCGCTGCAAATAGAGGGACATCCCAGAATGCTTGCGCATTGTTCGCCTCGAACACTGGCTTTGGTTTCAGAGGCGAGTACCAAGGTGGCACTGAGTTTACAAGGCCTAGGTCTTGCAGAACCTCGAAGAAAAGTTATTTCAAGGCTACGTTATGTCGGGTAACGTACTTGTTCTGTGCAAGGGCAGTACAACCAGCCAGGACATGGGCGACACTTTCGGGGCCTTATTACATAGCCTGCACATCACCTCACCCGTCGTATCCGTGTGCGTTTTCTGGCAGGTATGCAGCCTCGTAGGTAATAACTATCATTATTATTATTATCAATATTATTATCATTATTATTAGCATCACCAGATCACAATGTATTGTTAGGTGACATAACTGATTTCGTGGCGTTTTAGATTGGTGTGGTTGGTCGCACTGGTGCTGGAAAGTCATCCCTTCTTTCCACATTGTTCCGTTTAGCAGAACCTCGAGGGAGAATCGAAATTGATGGTGTTGACATCAAAGACCTGGGACTTAAAGATTTGAGAAGCAAATTATCCATCATTCCACAAGTACGAAAAACGTTATGATACTTTGATAAAGTAAAGGGGTCTTTCTTAGAAAGCACAAGACGTTCGCATGATAACCTAAATCTAGAAACGTAATCATAACTATTTTACAACAGGCGGCTTTTTATGTAAACTTAAGGTCATGTAGTGGCCTTCAAAAAGTGAACCTGAAAGCCACTTTCTTCTTTTGTGTAGTTTAGTGCAAAGCTAATAAGTACTGATCTTACAGCAGGTTTAAACTTTAAGACTTTGTACAAAAGCAGTCGAAGACACCTTACTTTTCGACTCAAACGAGAGTATTGATCACAATAACAAAGAATATTCTACTATACACGGCGCTCGGTATGTTTGTAACTAGGCCACCGTGCAGTTACCGTTAAAGGATATAATGAACAAGAGTTTAGTCCCGATTTAACATCTCATTTCGTTTTGTTAAGCTCTAAATTTACAGCAAACTCTGTTTAGCCATTTTGGACTTATCTAATATCAGTTAGAATGTAGACTGTGTCATATAAAATGCAATGTCCAAGCTTGATATTTAGTGGTTAAAAATCATTGATGATGGTATGACTGGTATCCATGGTTTTGGTGAGGACACAAGTATCACCCAGAACGGTCACACAGGTCGATTTAGATCGATGTTTTCGAAACATTCGTAAATGTAATAGCATTTCATTTTCCCAGAAGTTTGATAACTCGCTTGGATCGGGATTCTTTCTGTATCATTTCACGCTTATCAAGGGACACTGTTATTCCTCCATTGCATGGAGAAAATTTCTATGTACCAATGAGGTCACCAATGAATACCTATATTTCTAACATACGTTGTGTCACTCTAGGATCCTGTATTGTTCAGTGGTCCTATGAGAAGAAATCTGGATCCTTTTGGATCACACAACGATGCTGAGCTGTGGAATGTACTTGAAGAGGTAATAGCAAAACTTTACCCTTTTGGCTAAGAAAACATTTAATGAGATTAATTTGTTGTTTGCAGGTGCAACTGAAACAGGCTGTCGAGGAGTTGCCTAAAAAGCTAGATGAGGAGCTTGCTGAATCCGGATCAAATTTCAGTGTTGGACAGCGCCAGCTTGTTTGCCTAGCACGCGCAATCTTACGACACAGTCGTATTTTGGTGATTGATGAGGCCACTGCTAACGTTGACCAAAGGTTAGGGCTGTAATTCAGTTCTTTTTTTAAAATGTCTCTTTGTCTCACACTGTTGTTAACTTGTACTCCAGAAGCTTAAAGACTCATTTTACTCTGCGTTTACTTCTGCGTTTGTATCCTCAGATTCCCTTTAGAAATTGAAATCATTAGTCCAACTCGTGGAAAATTCACGTTACTGCTTGGTGCCAGTTAAATTGTTTTACCGTTTAAAAGTGATAGTTGTCAGCGACCTACTGGGAAGGAGATGAAAAGATGAAAAGAAAGGATTTAAACGAGTTCTTCTGTTCGATACTATCGTCTGATGAAGACCTGCAGTACGCGGTCGAAACGTCGCGATCAATATCTAGGTGGCAATTGTGAGACAGACGATTAATCAGTGATTATCCACGATGAACAATATCTTTCATGACAATACTTTTGTTCTTCGTTAATAGGACAGACGCTTTAATCCAGGCCACCATTCGTGAAAAGTTCAAGAACTGTACTGTGCTGACGATAGCTCACCGTCTTCACACCATAATGGATTCAGACAGAGTCATGGTCAGGTTTCACTTCATTTTATGATGGTAGCTTTGCTTTTCGTTCTTGTGACCTTGTTATAGAGGTTAGGTCAAACGTCTCCTTTTTCTTAAGTTCAGCAAACAGTTTGCTGAAAAGATGATACCGAAAAATTAGGTGTGTCAGTAAACAGTGGATTTGTATCTATCTTTTGGAAGCGAGGAAGTAAATTCGGAATTTCTTTCCTTCTTACCAGGTATTAGATGCCGGTCGTCTTAAAGAGTTTGACGCACCTTATATATTACTTGGAAATCCTCGCAGTATTTTTTCTCAGCTCGTGGAACAAACTGGGACTGGTGAGGCGAAGAGATTGTACGAGGTCGCTCGCGATAAATACCACGAGCAGCATTCCATAATATGGGAGACACCGGAGGCTGGAGTTGAAAATGACGCCAATAAGACTCAGAACCAGCTAAATGTTGATCAAAGTGATGTTGAAATCAATGTGGAAGCCAAGCCAGATGCTCAGTCTGGCCAAAAAAGCCAAGATAACATTCCCTTATGAACATAGCGACAAAGATCCTACAAATAATCTTCGTCTTAACTCTATCAAAGAGCTTTTAGATTGGATTTTCAGGATATAATATGCCCAAAATGTTAAACTATATGATATTTTAGGCTAGTTTTAGAAGAGTTTAGTTTGCGGTCTTAAGCGGTTTAGAATCACTGATGATCTGTAATGATTTAATGGAAGACATATGAGAAGACTGAACGTTTTATGAAGGCCGGGGAATCATAAACTGGCTGAAGCACAGCAGGGAAGATTTTCTTTACATACAGTTTTTATAACTCGTGCCTAAGTTATGTGAAGTGCATTTTATTCGACCTGCTTTTGTTTAGTGTGGAAATAAGTAAAATCCAAATGATCCTAATAATGCTTATGCATTGTACTTTATTTATATATTGCGACGTAGTCAAAGAGCATCTTTAGGCGGGCGTTTTTAAAGCCTGGCTCCCATCTTCTTTTTGTATAGCGATGGATCCAGTAATTGTTATGTTGACTAAAACTTGCAACTGTCGGTAAGTCAATTTAGTTCTGGTTTTTTAAAACTTGCCAAACGAAAGAAATGTCCTTTCAATCCTTTTGTCATAACCCGAAACGTCCAACTCCTCTCGTATCATATTATTGTAACTGTTCCACTAACTCAAGGGTTTAGATTCTAGCTGGAACGCTTTTGCATAAGAAGATTTGGTTATTACCTCGTTCAGCGCCACAAAAGTTAGCGTGTGGGGTATTCCAATAAAATGCCTGTGCGGGTTTGCGCCACCCAAAGGGGTCGAGATTTTGGCACCCTTAATGTCTCCCAAACTAGGACGCAGCTTCCAAATGGTGAAAGATCAACAAAAAGTAGCCAACATCTTGGCTGACCACCTCTCTACAACGGAAAATGAAATGGGTCGGACTGGGGTTAGCACCGTAACAGAGGAGGACCTAGCTAACCCCTCCAATCTTAAAAGAAAGCTGTGGTAAACGGTTCCAAGTTCTCCTTCCAACGGATCGGTTGCAGTCTGGGTAAGTCAGCCCTAGATAGAGAAACTAAATATCAAAAAAGCATCTGGTCACGATCATATCACTCCGAAAATGTTGAGGCTGGGATCAAACGGTAATGAAGACTCAATCACAAAGCTATACAATGAGAGTATATAATCAGGTAAATGGCCTAAAGCACGGGAAAAAGGCTTATGGAAGGGAGGATCGACCGAAATATGGAAAATGGCTGCTGACTCCAAAGAGTATGTAGGATTACTATCGACTGACATGACAAAACCCTTCGAATCTCTTCTTCCAGCACTCATGATAATTAAATTCAAAGCTAATGGCTTCTTAGAGGAAGCGCTTTGGCTTATAAGGTCATATTTCACTAATCGACAAAATAGGGTGAAGTTAGATTCTGTGCTGATACTGTTAGAGGCTGCCCACAAGGATCATCATTTGGACCACTCATGTGAAACAGCCAAAATGACTTAACAATAACAATAGCAATAACATTTATTATTTGTATTGCGCCTTTTCTATAAAATATTCAAAAGCACATCACAACAGTAATTAATGACTAAAATTTTTCAAATCTTTCAATAAAAATATTTACATTCCTTAAATAAAAATGTCTTAATTAAAGTCTTAAAAGATTTTAAGTTCGTTGCTTCGCCCGCGGACCTTGGCAGCTCGGAAAGGAAAGGAAAGGAGCAGCTACCTGGAAAGCTCTGTCTCCCAATGTTTTCTTGGTTTTCACACTTGGTCTTTCCAACAAACGACCATTGTCGTTGCGCCTCAAATAGTAGGACGAAGGCTGTTGAACACTAATTAAATCTGAAAGGTACTTAGGTGATAGGCCATGCAAAATTTTAATAATGTATCCTGGAGCGCACTGGTAACCAATGTAATTCTGCGAGTAGAGGTGTTATATGACAGAACTTGTGTGCACGATATATAAGTCTTGCACTCGCATTCATAACACGTTGCAATTTCAAAATCTGATATTCCGGAATTCCATACAGAGGGCTATTAGAATAATCCAATCTACTACTAATAAAAGCATGAACTAATTTCTCAGCAGATTCTCTGGATAAATATTTCCTAATATGACGTATATTGTACAAATAATAAAAAGCGCTGCTACAAGTCTTTGTAATGTGAGTTCCCCTATCTAGATGCGTATCGAACCATGTGCCTAAATTGCGCGCAGAGGCTACAGGAGAGACTTCAGTCTGCCCAATCTCGATGCTTTGGATTGAAACTTTTGAGACCTGCTGATGAGTACCTATAATCAGGAACTGAGTCTTGCCATCATTGAGCATCAGCTGATCCTCCCTCATCCATGCTCGGACATCGCAGATGCACTTCTGCAAGGCTGATACAGCTTCGACTTCACTGGAAGAGTCAGAGGGCTTAACTTTGTTAATAAACATTTCGCTTAGCATTTCAAACTTGTATCTGTTTGCTGATGGCCACTAGCTTTTTGTGACAGGAAATTCAATCCAGCGAGTGGAGCAGTCAGTAATGAAGGTGGACCAGCAATTTTTAACCCTAACCTTGAGTGTAAGTCATGGTTACTGAATTCTGTGTCAGGGTTAATTCTGTATTTTATCTTTCCAACTTGAGACCTGTAATCCTCTAATGTTTTTTATCTGTGATGTTCTCTCCTACCAGCCCCCTTCCCCCCTAATATTTATTTTCGGTTTGTTTCTCAGTTGCTAACACTCTCCTTTTAAATCCTTTTTTGAAAGAGTTCTGTTTCCTTAATATATATTTCGCTGTGTTCTGGTGACGTTAAAACCACAGGAAAAAATAACGGATTCCCATTTTTGGATATTTTAGGGTATTTAAAGAATACCCACAAAAATCCCAAATCTGGAAGAGTGAGACAAGTCCCAATCATGGAACTTGGTTGGAAATTCCCTAGTTGGGACTTGTCTCACTTTGCCAAATTTGGGATTTTTATGGGTATTCTTTAAATACCCTAAAATATCCAAAAATGGGAATCCGTTATTTTTTCCTGTGAATTAACCTGGCAAAAGCACAGCCCACCGCCGCCCTTGTTGCTTCCCGTTTTCGGATAGAGTTCTTATCTTCAGAGCTTAGAAACTATAAAGCAATATTAGTCCATGATTTTGAGTTATTCACGTTTTGCTTAAGAACTAAAAATTCCACGGTAACGCACACTCCACTACAGACTAATTATGTTAAAAATTGATTTGCGTAGTCATACTTTAGGTTGCTTTAGGAGGGGGACATTGGGGGGTACCCAATACCGCAATACCGTAAGAAAAAATGGCAAATACCGAAATACCGCGTCGAAAATCGTCTAAATACCGATACCGTATATTTTAATCACATTTATAATCGGTTGCGCATACTTATGGTTGCTTCCATCTAGCGCGTTTAATTATCTCAGGCATTTATGCACCAGATGTCCATGTTTTTTTTAATATTTTGTTAGTTCGCAATTTTCCGCAAATTTTCACTGAAAAGTAAACTACATTCGTTCAGCCTTTTGGTATTTCGACCCAACGGCTAATTAACTCCAATAAAAATAACTCTTGAAAGCGCGAAAAACAAACCAACCAAAACCCTTTCCACGCACGTCTAGTGCGAGTTTTGATATAAAGTGAGTCTAGTCTAGCACGTCAGTCTCTCAGGGGTCAGATAACACGCCGCGCCATCCTCGGAGACCCAGAGGCAGATAGTGGGGACGAGGGAAAGTCTAAACGGGCGGAAAAAATATATAATAAACAATAATGATGTTTATTTCTTATATTGAGCAGTCTAGCATGCGATAAAGATATGATCGAATGCGCTAATCCAAATAATGATAATAATAATAATAATTTACAATTTTCGGAAAACAATAAAAAGTAAAATATGAGTTAATAAAAGAACTAATAAAAAGCTAATTTAAAAAGATGTGTCTTTAGTAAAACTTTAAAAATGTTCAATGATTGACATTGTCTAATTTGTATATGGAACGAAGAAAAGTAAAGAACGGCGAGAAGAGCCCCTGGGGACAATGTCTTACCAGACCAGTTCCAAACGGTCGCCGCCGTTTTGGCTTCTGATTGGTGCCAGAAAAACACAAATTTTCTGGTACCAATCAGAAGCCAGAGCGGCGGCGACCGTTTGGAACTGGTCTGGTAAGACAATGGGCGCGATCCATTCAACCAAAATTTCCGGAAATTTCGGTCCAAAACTCAATGGATCGGTTCGATCCAACCGGAAAAGTTTCGAAAAAACGGGTCCACCTTTTGAGGTGGTCCACTTTTCCCGGTCGGACCGGTTGGAAGTTTGGGTGAATGGATCGCGCCCATTTTCCCAGGGGCTCTTCTCTCTCCGTTCTTTACTTTTCTTCGTTCCATATATATTTTTCCTCCCGTTTAGACTTTCCCTCGCCCCTTTATCTGCCCCTGGGTCTCCGAGGATGACGCCACGCTGTTAAGAGGCAAACTTACCAAATTTTCGCTTTTAACTTTACAAGGCGTTTTTCAATTCTCGAAACTCAACATCTAAACTTATTCTTGTTGCGATAATGTTCGCCTCCTTCGCCCTCTTCATACAAAATTGCCACACAGTCAATGATGACCACGCCGTCTTCAACCTCAGCGACCTCAGACATTGTGAGAAAACGTTTAAGACCTCGAACTACCGGCACAGGTACACAGATCGACAAGCCTGGTAAGGTAACTTGAGACGACTCATTATCATTGGATGCAACAACAATCACATTGTATATTATCGACCATAAACTGTCACAAAATGACCCACAAATGGTGTAATCATTTACCGTTATGTCTCAAGACTTCTAAATATTAACTTTTATTGACCTTTATGTCTTACTGTGTTTTGTTTTGCGAAAGGAAAGCGCAAATAAACGGTACCGTAATACTGTGAACAATCTTATTTCACCGTCAGCCAAAATGATGAAAAACCGCATACCGCAGAGCTAGATGATACCGCAATACCGCACGTTAAAATTAAAATTACCGAAATACCGCATGAAAAAAAGCCCAATACCGCAATACCGTAAACCCCCATGTCCCCCTCCTTTAGGTGACAATGAAGAACACTTTATTGGGGCCTGGGGCAAAGGGAAAAGTTGTTTGTCTTTCCTACGCGTCCCTTTCCTGCCTGCTCCTGCCTTGCACCATAACGCGAGGAACTTTGAAGAAGAGGCATTTTTCCATCTTTTAAAGGTATAGCACGATCGTAGTTTTTGCTTTAAACTTTCTTCAAAACTAATTGTTTATGATTTCTGGGTCAATACGTTTAACCGTGTCACGACGCTCACGGACGAAGTTAGTAGGCTCGTAAGATAACTGTGATCTTTGCCAAATATTTAATCCTGTTTTGATGACTCAGTTGCCAAGCTAAATTCATGTATGTCTTAAGTTTATTTCCTATGGAGCGTCTGGTAGATCGACGCAGCCATTTTTTTCCTAAATTAATGAATGTTGGAATCAATCCTGTAACCTATATTGTTCCATGTAATTTTCATCCCTCGGGCAACCCCCGGCGGAGGCCTTCGAACTTTTTGGGGAAGGCTCGTTCCAATTCACGCATCCTGGCACCTATAAATTTCAAATGCCTTACCTTAGTATATATTTAAACCAAAGTCAACTGTATGAAAGTAACTTGACATTTCGATGGCTTCATGTCATCATTACCAAAAGTGAAGAAATGAACATGGTTTGTGGATCATAGAAAACGAAAGCGTGAGAAGTGCAAGTAAATTGTTAAATTTAAGGGTAAAAATGGAAAAAAATGACAATTCAATGAAAAGTTCCGCTCGGATGCAGCCCACTTGAGTGTTCAGAGTCGGTCTTATATCTATTTAATTGTCATTTTTTGTCATTTTCAAGATTTGAAACAGATTACTTGCAAGTAATCTGTTTCAATTCAGAATGTTATTATTCAACTTCAGTTGATACCGTAAACAAATCAAAAACCTTTGTATATTGTTTTTAAATGTTTCACTATGCTTTTGCTTTTTAATTCTCTTTCAAACTCTGCAGACCGGCAGTGAAATCATTTTAGGGGGTGGCGGGAGTGGAGTGTGGAAGTGTCAAGTTGATTGGCACATTAAAGTCGTACATGCGTTTGCTTACTTTAGCCCATTGTTAATGAACAAGGGTTTTGAATTCATTACTTTTAATAGCCATAATGTCTCCCCTTATTTAGCCTAGAACTTAACATGAATAAATGTCATTATTATTCATTCAAAATATTTCCCCGATTCTGATTATGCTAAAAGCACACGTATAATTCACCATAACTAGCTACTGATGACCAAATTTGGAAGAATTTTGTGATTAATGAACCGATGATGTCAAAAGAGCAGCTTCCTTGCAGGTTAATGCACCGTTAACAGGGAAGACCTGGGGACGAGGTTGAGTTGTTTTGGTTGTCAAAACAAAATTGGCAGACATTTCACTTGTTTCAAGAGTAAGAACTAAGCGAAATAGTAGCTTAAAACATGGCAAGAACAGCAAGAAGACAACTTGAAGGGTGACATCTGCTAGTTGGAGAATATTTGCGGGGCTGAACAACCCTAAACCAAAACGTGCACAACCAAAGATGAACTTAACATCGATGGAGGTAAGCATGTTTTAGCTATGTTTTTAAACTAGGAATTATTTTGAATGAATAATAAAACAATTAATGAATTCAGCTTTCATATCATATGAATAATTATGGAGATCTCGGAGAGTGTTATCCACCTCGGCCTACAGCCTCGATGAATAACACCCTCCTCGATCTCCTTAATTGTTCACAAGATACTCAGCCTCATTCATTAATTGTTAAATAACCTGGAGCTTGCTGATTTTTTTCCAGCATCTGCACCCCCCCACCCCATTCACCCCGACCACCAAGCAATAACTCACTTAACCACTTTGATACTCACACTTATGAACAGACTCAGGCCCTTATCTTTCTAAATGTATCTTTCTAAGTTAGTGTATTGTTGATATAAACAGTTGCCTATATGGCTGCATACAGTAGTCAAAAACTCTAATATAAATTGGAGGGTACTAGGTATTAATAATTGTACTTCAGTTGTCAATGCCCTCACTTGGGATGAGGTACACTTTAAAGACCACAATGAGACTGTATCACAAGTTTACGGATGTTTGCAATTCACTTTTCAGTTGACTCACATCGGCATTTTAGTTTATTCACGTCTAGTTTCTGGTAAACTGATTTGCATCTGAGTATTTTAATTATTGATAATTCAGGACATAGATGTTACAGGGGCATAGCCAGGATTTTTCTAGGGGTACGCACAATTTTCTAAATATATCATTCAAGATTCAGTCCACCAATGAATCACGTCGCTTCTCTGGAAACCCACATAATTTCGGTTGTAAAAAAAAACGTATGCATGTTTCAGAATTAAATAATTGGAGAAAAAATGTGCTTTTACAAATGTTTGCTTTTTTCTTATTCCCTTTTTGATATTTTTGATTTGTTTTATATTATTCCATTTTTCTTACCCTTGACTTTTTCAGGTAATGCACGGGCATACCGTGCATACAGGTAGCTACGCCCCCAGAGTGTTTATTTCAAAAGTATGGTATTCATCTTCATCTTTCCCAGTTATATTATATGCAAACCAATATAACAACCCGCCCAAACTGGCTTGCTAGCCCAACTGAATAGAGCACTGCACCAGTATCACAGAGGCTAAGGGTTCGAAAATACCATCAAACCTGAATGATTTCATGCTTTCTTTTTGCAATTGCATAAGTTGCATCTTTAACTGGAATGTTCTTCTTTGCATTTAACACTGTAGCAATGTTGAATAATGTGATAATTGATGATACCAATAATATGATTATTAATAATGCAGTCCAGGGCCGTAGCCAGGAAGAAACTACAACCGAGGCGAACACACGGTCCGTTGTACGAAATCAGCCGTATGAAATCTTCTAATATTATCAGTCTGATAAAAAAAATAAAAATCCACAGTATTTGATAAAATTTTACCGAGGCGAGTGCCTCGGTTCGCCTCATACTGGCTACGGCAGTGATACTCATTAAGGCAATGCCATTGTAGTGATTTGATTTAATTTAACCATGTAGTTGTCACCATATTCACTCTGTGTTAAGATTAAATCAAAGTTACTAATTTTAATAATAAATGATAAAAATATAAGAGCAAACTTTCTAACCTGGTGCAATAGTCGTATGTATGGTTAGACATTATTATGATGAAATAAGGACATGCCAACACAAGTTATAGGCTAATCTAAAAACGTGCAGCATGATATCACCCTGGGCTGAGTTGCTCAAAGCATGGTTAGCTTTAACCATTGGTTAAGCAGTATCAAAACCAATACGTTGTCAAGGTATTAAACGCTGGTTAACGCTAACCATGCTTCGAGCAACTGGGCCCTGTTCTATAATGAGATGCCTATTCATGATGTCATTGGTTCCCGCTAACTAATCTTCCATATAGACAAAGTTAAGCAAAGGTATGCTAATTATCTCTGTTTGTGACTGCTGGAGTTTTAAGAGTACAGTGGCGATGGATTGTTGCATTTGCAGCTACAGCTATAACTGAGGATTTTTTCTTGTGTTCTGGAATAGGAGCTGACATTTAGTTAAGCAGTAAACAGCAGATCTGCAACGGCATTTTGATAAAGGTGATCATGCTATGAGCTTACAGATATCTAACCTTAAAGGTTTCTCAAGCTTGTCAAGTGAAATGAATTCAAGTGGAAATTTTGTTTTGTTTTTTTAATTTGCGAGAGGAATTTCTCATATTTTAAGGACATGTTTTATTTAAGGGAGGAAAGTCCTGTATCAAGATCTTTTATGTTTTCTTTATGAATGATGGACCTGTTTTATAGCTTGTGATTCTTGTGTATTTTGTTGTTTTGTTACCAGGTTTTAAATTATGGATAAAGAGGAATTAGTAGATGTTAGAATTCCAGCTCCCTCTCCTGATGAGGTTAGTGATGATGATGAAAAAGTTGCTGAAGACTTGTTACTGGAGGGAAAAAGAAGAGACAGTATCCCAGGACTCAAGCCTTCGCCTATGCCAGGAGTCAATTTATTTTCCAGATATGTTACTTATTGGTAAGTTGAGAAATGTGTTGAGTCGCCAAAATTTGAAAATATTGAGGTTGTGAATCTGGCTTTTTCTAATTTTAACTTTTTACTGCACTCCTTCTATTTTCCTGCGTCCAGTCAAAATGTAATTTTCCTTTAAAATTCCTGCCCTAAAAACTCACACATGCCTACAAAACTGAACTCTGATTACACAGTCTACGGTATGTATATAGGTATTTTTTTTAAACCTGTGGCAGGATTAGCTCAGTCACTATAGCGCTTGACTGCAGAGCGGGAGATCATGGGTATTTATTCTCTGGGCCGGACTAATACTCAGGGTTTTGCCATAAGTGAAGTAATTAGAGAGGTTAAGCATCACGTTTACGTCAAACGGCAAACGCTTATTTGTACCACGTGACCAAGTTTCCTCTTTACTTTTTGTTTACTGTTCATTATTTCTACACCTAAATTAGTAGTTTACGCAACTTTTTATCCATAAGAATTGTTTTGAGCTGTTTTTATCTGCACATTTTCTATTTTGAGAAATTCTCAACTTGAATCTGACGTTTGCCGTTTGCCGTATACGGGAAGCTTAAACTCTCCGCTTTCTTTGCCCTGCTAACGGCTTGGCTCGTATAGCAGTCCCGTCTCCAGAGGGAGTCGTAAAAATGTGTCCACAATACTGTACTTCCGTGTTAAATACATTGTCACTCAAGTACTTTTTTGTTTTTGAATTACCCATGGAATATGTTTTAGACTGAATTTGGACGCATTTACTTATACTATTCTTATTCTTTGTAGGTGGCTGAATCCACTTTTTTCTCTGGGAAGTAAGAGGCCTCTTGAAGCAGAAGACTTTTATGACCTCAGATCACAGGATAAAACTGCCGTACTTGGAGATCAACTTGAAAGGTGTTAGAAATAATAACATCGTTACCTGTAACTTTTAATCGTGTTCTATCATATTTAGTTCCGAACGCTTCATAGCTTTTACTATGACATCTCGAATAGCTTGAGGTAGTGAACGATTGACCCTTTCAGTATGCGGAAATGTTACCGTTGAGAACATTGTTCTTATCAGTGAAATCAGACAGCTGACGGAAAATCAGCCGTTGGTATGTTGTATAGGTCACTTTGTGTGAATGGAATTCGGAAGAATCCCTGAATTTTTCACTCTCGTCGCAACTGCTTAACAAATTGCAAACACAACTGAAATGAACATTTCTTTACTTAATTTCACATCCGCAGTTGGTAAACTATGGCTCGTTTCATGTAGTTTACCTTCAAGTTGCAAACCCACTAAATGAGATGCTTGTTGCGTAGAATCCTTTTTTGCACCCTATTAATTTAGATTCACAAACGTTGTCACTTGAATTGAACTGGATTAGAAAGAATGAGGTTTTCGTTGGAAAATGTAGGAACACTTGTGCTTCTTTTTCCAGATAGAGGTCAGGAAAATGGAGTATTTCTCATGCAATGAAGGGTCCTTTTTGATCATCCTAACAATATGTTATCACTGTTTTCAGGGAGTGGGAAAAAGAAATATACAGAGCGAAAGGAAAGGGAAAACCTCCCAGTTTGCCGCGTGCTATCCTGAAAACATTTGGAAAAGGCTATATAAGCCTTAGTGTTTTTCCAGTTATAACTGTGAGTTGTACTTACATGATAAATGCAATTATCTCGCGTTTACTTTGCAGTTTTTAAGGCCCCTTTCAAACGTAGAACTTCACATTTGTGGTTGGATATCTGAACCTGAAAAAACACTTTAGTTGAGGACACTTTTATGTCTCCTACTGGAGAAGGCACCTCCATTTTATGCGAACATCCAAGCCGCCGAAATCCTGGCCATTTATTGACTATTTCCGAATCCCTCATAATACACTCTATTTGCCCCTCAAATTGTGCACGCGTTATTGTCTTCAAATGCTCTTAGGAAAATGCAGTACTCCCAGGAGCATTTGAAAACAATGGTCTACGCCATTTTTTTTTTTGGGGGGCGGGGGCAAACAGTCGAAAATAGAGAATAGGGAAAACGAAATTCCTTCATTTCTCAGTTATTTAAAGGTCATTGGTATTGGTCAAAGTCGTGAACTCCCACTCTGCGGTCAAGTGTTGTACCGACTGAGCCCTCATGGTTTTCTTCAACTTTAGACATGGACAAGTTAGAGAAAATCCGTCGACAGCACTGAAGAGAGCACCTTAAGATTAGTAAAACTGCATAGTTTGAAAGTGATTTGTTAAACACTCTGAACGAAGATATAGCGCCTCAAAGTCCCGAAACTTTACAGTTGTTTGTATGGTGGAGGGAGGGCACAAACTTGTCCCCCCACCCCACCATACAAACGTCTGTAAATTTTTGCAACTTTGCGGAGCTATATCTTCGCTCTCTTAAGACGTATCACATTCATATTTGGCAATTTTACTAATAGTAAGGCGCTCTTGCCGGTGGTGTCGACGGATTTTCCCTAACTTGTCCATGTCAAAAGTTGAAAAAAAAAACCGTGAATAGGTGTATTACCATTAAATGTTGTGAACTTTAGCTTTGAATGATTTCTTCAAGAATTATGAAGCATTTGAGGAGCTATATCAAGCACTCCACTCAGTATTTCATCCGTTTACAAGATGCTTCAAAATCATTCTTGACAAAGTCGGCTGCGCCTCGCCTCGTTTTCAACTCACTTCTCAGTAAGAAAATATCGGATGAAACAGTGCGTTTCATGTTTGATATTGTATTGTTACTGTAAGCTGGGTTGGTCCCCTTTTTGAGTCTTTTGACTTCTGAAACGGCCTAAGCATCCATGAAATACCAACATCTTTGTAACATTTGTGACGTCAATGATACTGTGTTTTCCACGGTGAACTTTTTTGTGTGTACGCCTTGCTTTTCAGTACGGCGTTACCGACTATTGTTTAAGAATAATTTTCGAGCTGTACATGTTTACCGTCATTCTAAGACGCAGGGACTATTTGTTCTTGTAGACTCTCTTTTCAGTTAGCAAATTTGTCATGTTTTTACCCAGGATGCACTACGAATCATCCAGCCAGTCTTTGTTGGTTTACTGATAAATTTCTTCAACCAAGAAACCTCCACAACTCAAGAAGAAGCCTTCCTGTATGCACTGGCTGTGTGTTTATGCAGCCTTTTTTCAAGCTTTTTAATGACACCTTTTACCTTCTTGCGGCAATGCTATGGTATGAGGGTTAGGATTGCTTGCACGTCTCTTGTGTATAACAAGGTAAACAGTGCTCTTCGGTACTTTTACATTCCTGATGTCCTGTTATGCATATTTCAAACAAAATATTTGTGCAGATCATCAACTGCATACATAACTCGATTCCTGCTGGTCCTGAGCCCACCCAGTAGTTAAAGGAGATTTTCGTTGATTGGGTAAATGTGTCAAATTTCATGAATGCATTCATACAGAGACAAACCATGCACAGAGACAAACAGAGTGACCTTGATCTACCATTTTTTCCACCGGAATGAGGTACATACATTCACTGCACATTCCTTTCTCATGGTTCTCTGGATGGTCTGAGGGGCAGATGCAAAATCAAACGGTAAACCGGCCAAATTATATTAAGCAGTCTAGTCGAATTAGGCTTGATAAAGCATCCAGTGTTGTGAAAAGCTGCGTATTATACAGATTCACTGATACTTCCTCCAAAGTTCGCAAGTTTTCCCTTTGTAACCTATTTAATTTGTAGTATAGGAAACAATACGGAAAAAAACTTAACGGTATCTTGAGCGCCAACAACTCATACGCCTCTGGGCTGGTCGTTTCTCTAAGGTTGTCAGGTATTCTAATATCACGAATATATTCATAGCTACTGACTCATTGTTATTTGCATTCCTACATGCAGGTGTTGAGACTAAGCAATACTGCAATGGCTAGTACAACTACTGGAAATATTGTAAATTTGGTTTCTTCAGACACCCAGAGATTTGATGTGGTAAGTAGCTCTGCGTCCCCTGAACTTTTCTGTCATAAGTTTAACAACAAAACAACAGCATTTATTTCCTTCAAAAATGATATTACGGGAAGTGCTGACCCGCAAAATAGCAAAAAATACTAATCAAGGCGGATTGGCACCAAGACAAACAAGAACGCTCTTATCAGCGTTAAATCGAGCTTGCTTGGAGATTAGATAAGAAATGAGGAGGCGATTAATTCTACACGAAACAGGATTTCCTCGCTAAACGTTTTTTACGTCGTTCTTTATCGACCGTCGAGTAATCTTGAGGATATTTACTTTTTACATCGCATTCGACAATTTGTTTCTGAATTGACTGAGTACGCGTGTATAAATACCCGAAAATCAAGGACCTCGATTCGAAAGAAATTACATCATTGCCGAAGAGGAAAAACGTGATGAACGTGGCACGTCATTTCAATTATCGCGGAGAATTGACCGCATGCTCTTCACGAAACCTAATTGAGTTTACCACACGATTGCTTTTACCACACTCGACCAACGAACCCAGCAAGCGATTTGCTTCTTGTCGTTTGCCTCAACATGCAAGTTTTGCTCATAAAGATTCTTCTTTTTTCCAGCCACCGAAGGATTCACTTGTTTCATAGTAATAACTTCTTTCAAGTGATAGAATTGTGGACCGATCAATCTTTCCAAAGCTTTCTTCTCAAAACATGCATAGACCCAATGCGAAAATCGCTGCTGGTTGAATACCTTCGTTGGAATTTTTTGAAAAAATTAACCCGAGTAGCCTCGTTCTTCAGTACAAAATTCAAAAGAATACATTGTCTCAAGCGAGTCTAGTCAGGCTTATTTTAATTGAAACAAAAGAATTTTAATGCAGCATCCATTTCTGCATTGGGTCCATGGTGCTCTGGAAAATGTTATGTCGGTCACGTCGTGATTCTTATCCCCAGTTTCCACAGTCCCCGCTAGGAACGCCTGGTACCATGACCCGCTTTTGTATACTAAATACGAAGAAAAGAAAACAGCTTCCAGATTACGACTCTCGCTGCTATGCAAGCTCGAGTAATTAGTACATGACCTAGGTCTGAGCCTTAAGGGACCCCACATCTAGGCTTTGGAAGGTGAACGATTAGTTGTTGCGTTTTATTTAGGCTTGCTTTTTCCTCCACTACTTGGTGCTTGGCCCAATTGAAGCAGTTGCAGTACTTGGTCTCCTGTGGAGAGAGATTGGTGCCTCATCTTTAGCTGGAATGGGTCTATTGTTTCTCTTAGTGCCTGTGCAGATTAAGATGGGCCGTGTTCTGATGTTTCTTAGGTAAGCTGGTTAAGTGTAGGCAACCTCCCCTAAATGACCAACTTCTTCCAAAAAATACCTTCCTAAAAAAGTATCTTCCAAAGTTATAAGAGATTGTCGGCTACATCTAGTTTATGAAATGGTAAAGTTCAAAAAAGTGAACAAGTCAAAAAAAAAAAAACCCTGAAGAATAGGCTTTTATTTTTTTGAAATGTTTGTTCACACGCATGCGATATATTAACTGCAGCGTGAGCGGGTGAGAGATTTGATGTGAGTTAGCATTAAAGTTAACAAGGAGTTTCTGTTATATTCTTAGGCGTAAAGCTGCGCATTTCATTGACGAACGTGTTAAAGGAATGAATGAAATAATAAGTGCCATGCGGGTCATAAAGATGTACACGTGGGAGGATTCCGTCACTGAATGGATAACCAAAATACGAAAGTGAGTGCTTACTTACTGCCAACACTGAGCGTAAAGTTAACTAATGTTACTAATCCCAGCAGCATACATGATGTGCTTACATTCACAACATGTACATATGTCTCTTCCTAACTCAGTGGCAACAGAAGAGGGCAACTGGGTCCCGGGGGGGGGAGGGGGTGGGGGAGGGACTAAATTTTTTTTGTCCAACAAGACATGATCCATTTCTCTTCTTTTTTACTACGATACTTAAGCTTGCAATATTTTTATCTCGAGAATTTGCCTTTGACTTACCATAAATTGTTTGTTTGTTTGTTTTCAGATCTGAGCTCTCTTGGTTTCTGAAGCTGGCCTTTGTGCGTGGAGCATTCTTGTCATTTTTCTTCAGTTCGACTGTGCTGATTACTTTTGTGACTTTCTTGACTTATGTTTTGACAGACCACATTTTAACAGCCCAGAAGGTCTTCACTTGTTTGTCACTTTTTAACTCCATCCGTATAGTTATGACGCTGTTTTTTCCCATTGCCATTACTTTCTTGAATGAAGGAAGGGTCTCCATTGAAAGAATTCAAGTAAGTTGAAGATTGTTATTGCTGTAAAGGCTGATGACATGAAACGGTCGAGCCTTTCAGCTAGTCTGTTGTTGCTGAATGATTTTCGCCGGTGGATGTTAGTAGTCAGTGAATAATCCTATCTAAATTTAGACATTGCTGTAGTAGGGTTGGGATTTTTTGGAACCACCTAAAAAGCACATGACCTTACCGCATTTTATTCATGAGATAACTACAACATTCTATGACGTCAAGTAAAATCAACTAAGATTCCCGTGCAAATAAGGGGTCTAAAATATACTACCAAAAACTCCTTATGAGTTTCTGATACTACTCATTGCCAATTCTTTTGAAAGATCTCTTTGACAGTGAAAGTGTTTTTGGTAAAGCTGTTTGGTTATGAGTAAAGTCTGATACAAAAAGGTCCCCAAACAGGTGACGGGATCAAACTAAGTGCATGATACTAGATGTTCTTCTGACAGAGTACATGGAGTGAAAGTATTTCCCAACTGAGAGTTATAAATGCGAGATGCAACATAACGCCTGTCTTCTCTTTCCACTCATTTCCCCTGTGTTACAGTCCATTCTTTGTCTGTGTTTTAACCCCAGCCAGACAAATGTCTTCGTTAACTATAAACAAGTTTTTCCGGTAATCTTTTGTCAAGATGGTAACTTCCTCTGACTTGTTATGGTTGTAGAAGCTGCTGCTCCTTGATGAATGTCATTCAAAGGGACTGATAACATCCAATCTGAGACCTAAGCTAGAAGACTGTGGAATTAGAGCCGAAAACGTGTCTGCAAGCTGGAATGCGGTAAAACGTTTCTCCCCTTAGTTTGTTCTTGATTTTGTACGTGTAAGCCCTAACTATGACATGTAATTCCTTTAACAGTCGCGAAACAAGCCAACCCTCAACAACCTTACTTACGAGGTTTCATCGGTGAGTAATTTTCACTTCGGTAATAAATTTTTGTCTATAAATTAACACTTTCTCGAGTTCCTTTATCTAAATTTAAAAATGCGGGCATAGGTTTTATAATGGCCCCAGGAAAAGAACATATGGGTCTTGTAATTAATCAAGCAAGCTTTCTAACGTTTACGGAAGTCGCTGGTCTTCCACACTTAGAAACCCCAGGAAATTCGTCGTCTCATTCCGTCTTATAACGCTTTTAAAACCCATATCGCTTTCCCTGAGGACTCACGGACAAATGTGACCGTGTAGTTAACGAAATGCTGCAGATCAAACAATTGTCACCATCACGTCAGTTGATGGTATTATTCTCTGGTTATTGGTCTGAGTGGTCAATTACGTTGATGTTATTGGTCGTCTGTCAGTTAAGCCGTGATGTTATTGGCTATTGGCTAACCCTAACCCTAACCCTGTGTTGCACACAAACCGATAACCACTTTACGGCGACTGCTTACTAATGTCAAGGACAAAGACAAACCGGAGGACAGACAGGGAGCAGTATACAAGATCAAATGCTGCGACTGCCAGGCTTCTTACATTGGTGAAACCGGCAGAAACCTAAGCACGCGACTGACCGAACACCGAGCGACGAGGAATGGTGACGTCAACAATCACATTGCTGAGCACCATTTACAGACGAAACATCGAACTGACTGGGACTCTGCGACATGTATAACGTATTCTACAGACTACTATCAACGTCTGACTTTAGAAAGCTGGTTTACTAACTTAGAACAAACGCCACTGAATCGTAGCCGACCGTTACCAGCGCCGTACAAACGACTTATTAACGAGATCAAGCAACATTAACTACGAGAGAACGACTGGAGAACTGACAATTTGACTAACAATAGACGACTGTTTAACTGTGACAATAGTCGGATCGAAACGCACCAATTACTGATTACGAGTCTTCATAGGCAATAACATCAAGGCTTAACTGACAGACGACCAATAACATCGCGACGTAATTAACCAATCAGATCAATGACCAGAGTATAATACCATCAACTGACGTGATACAACTCACTTTGACTCTGAAGATGACTACCGCATAGGTTGTCGAAACGTCAGTCACTGTCAACAACAACAGTCCCATTCAGGACTACGTTCCCCCCTACGATCAAACTCAACCCACTTTTGAAATGACTCCTGGGCTCACACCTTTCACAAAAAAAAAATTAAGTGTCTATCTGGGAAACATCGAGATTCTCAGAATTCAAAATTTGCTGTTTTCCTCCGAACCAGTTAATTATGTAACTTGTAATTGTGGTGGTTGTTTTTTGCAGGGAAAACTACTAGCAGTCATAGGACCAGTTGGGTCTGGCAAGGTTAGTACATGTAGACCTTTACCTGATTCCCACGGCTTGACTTTAATTTTAGTGTTATTGTACTTAACTAGCATAACCTGTAATATAAGCGATATGTTAATACTCAGCATTACTGTCTTTTGTCTACAGGGATAGTACCCGCTTAATGTAGACTCCGGTATAAAACAAAGAGGCTAGTTTCGTTTGTCCCGACGAAAAGTTCATATACTTTTCTCGAAAATTAATCCGCTAATGCGGACACCGGTTAATACGGTCAACAGACATTTTCCTGGGTCCCGAGTCACAAACTCCCATATATGATACAGACACCGCTTATCTGCGCACTTTCTATCACGGAATATTTTACCACTAAAAAGAATGACCTTTGTAAGCTTCAGTCTGATATTCAGTCCACTTGGCTGAGTCGCAACTTAAAAGCGTCAGTACAAAGTCACAATTCAGTTCCACTGTCGAGTCACACGACCAATAATTACAAGTAGAGGTAAATTAAGTCCGGACACAATGGCATATGATCGTGAGGTTTCTTTAGGTTTCTTTAGGATACTTGTTACAGTTACAGATCTTGATTTTTTTTTTTTCACGTTAAAATGTCTCTTTATTATTTATATCGATAAAACGTGTCCCTGACGTTTTTCCGGACAGCCCGTATAATTCGAACACCCGGATACTATGCCATGTCTCCTTATTTATTATTCATTAAAAATCTGTGGCATTAAAAATACAATTGAAAATATAAAGGTCAAAGGATAATCTGCACAGGAGTCTAAGACCGACCCTATATATTAACAGATCAGCTTGGTGTCCGTATCAAGCGAGTTCCACTGTACTTGTAACCATTTGGCACTGGCACGTGTTATTATTCCTCAATGCTGAAGTGTAATGTTTTTGTCGTTGTTGTTGTTGTTGTTTTAATTCCACAGACGTCTCTTTTAATGTCCATTTTGGGTGAGCTGCCCCTGACTGAAGGACAAATTACTGTGAGGGGCAAAATTGGTTATGCTTCACAACAAGCATGGATTTACAACGGATCTCTAAGGCAAAATGTTGTCTTTGGAAGTGACTATGAGGAAAGTCGGTACAATGAAGTTATCAAGGCTTGTGCATTGCAGAAGGTTATTATTCATATATTCATGTAAATTTCGTAAAGGTCGGTACGCACTAGGCCACAAGTTGCAGCAACAGGTTGCGACGAGAGATCACTCCGTGTGTACAGGTCCGGCGACTAGTTGCAGCAACACGTTGCGGCGACACATCGCTTCGAGTGTACTGGAGAAATTTGTGAAAATCTTTGTCTCTGCAACAGAATTTTGTCGCCGCGATAAGTCGCACAAATTCTGTCCGATTTGATTTTTTGCAACATGTTGCTGCGACAAAATTCTGTTTCAGAGAGAAAGACTTTCACAAAAACTCTCCAGTACACACGGAGCGATTTGTCGCTGCGATGTGTCGCCGCAACATGTTGCTGCAACTAGTCGCCGGACCTGTACAGACACGGGGTGATCTGTCGCCGCAACATGTTTCTGCAACTTGTCGGCTAGTGTGTACCGACCTTAGGGTTAGAAAAAAAATTATTTGATTCGTTTTCTCAGAGGTTCTTGCCCTCGGATTGCTATACAATATGAGCGTTTACCAAGGCGAGCCCGAAGGTGATCCATTGTAAAGCCCATACAGATTAAACGCCAATTTTTTTATCGTACTTATGAAGTGAAAAAAAAACTATGAAATAACCAGTAGGCATATTGTCTAATTGAATGCGCAACTTAGTCACGCGCAAAGACCTTTAAACCTGGTAAAATTCATCTAACTGAAAAGAAGCAGTGGCGGATCCAGGAGAGGGGCCGGTGGGCCCGCCCCACCTCTTATTTTGAGACCAGACTGGGGCCCGAAGGGCCTAAAACAAAAATTTTTTGAGACCCCCCCTCTCTTATCTCAGGGTCTGGGTGAATCGCAAGCAATTCTTACCAGTTTTCAATTGTGTATGTCGCTTTGAGGTTAGATTAACTGACGCTCTCATCGAGCACATTTTTTGCAAATTGGCAAATTGACATTTTTCAATCAACGTGTATCAAAAAGAAATACATTATTTACCAATACTATAGAAAGCCTCGGAGAAGTTTTTGGAGCTGTTCAAAACACTCACAGTATGTGTTTTATGAAGTCTAAAAATTATCGCGCTTCGCGCTGGAATTATAAGACATTGTTGTTCGTATTTTAAATGTTACATAGCCAATAGCAAAACGTTGCATTCATTTTTTTGTTGTATAAAATTGTAAATAGCGGTGAAGTGCGTTCGATATTCCCTTTACCTTAAATTCAGAAACCCACTGGACAAGCCCCAACTCCTTTATGTCAGGTCCCGGATGTGACCCTTTATAATCCAGTCATCTGTTTTAGGATATTGAGCACTTGGCTGAAGGTGACATGACTCTTGTTGGTGAACGTGGAGTCTCTCTGAGTGGTGGGCAAAAAGCAAGAGTGAGTTTGGCTAGGTAATATATAAAGCAGTTTTTGTGCCGAGTTCTGTATATTTTATTGCATCCCTTTTGAACGGGTCTCATTCGTAAATGATTTCGTTGTCGACACATTATTAAAGAGTTGTGGTTAAATGGCTTTCATTTGGCTGAAATGACGATAAATGTTGATGATGGATGAAATGAGTCTAACAGGCACCGAACCTTGGTGATGTATGTAGGTGTGTGAGTGACGTCAAAGAAGGGGAGTGACATACAGCAAATGTCACAAATGAGAATGAATGTAAGCTCTTGGAAAGGGTTTTGAAAGAATGTATGGAAACCCTTAATATTAAGATGACAACCCACTAAAGTATTGAATTGGGTTTGGTTCAATTAACTGACGTTCACGTTAATGATGAAACTGATTGGCAGCTAATTATAGAAATAGCATTTTGTATGGAGCTCTTAAATTGCATTTTTTTGCCATGGTAGATTACTATGTTAACTTAAACCGTTAAAAACGTTTGAAAACAAAGTCCTGATATCAGGTTTGTTGTAATCTGACTGCAGGGCGGTGTATGCTGATGCTGATGTTTATCTTTTGGATGATCCTCTCAGTGCTGTAGATGCAGATGTTGGACGACATTTGTTTGATAAGTAAGTCCATAATCACTATAACCTTTCTCTTGCTCCCTTTTGTAAGTTAATAAGAGTAAACCCGTCCTCTTCAAATCACCAAACAAAAGTGAATGTGCGACATCAGCTCTTACTAGGCAACGAAGAAACTAATAAAATTGCTCTTTTGCATGTGCATCTCCAAGTTTTAACCCTGCACCATATCAAAACACTCTTCGGAAACATAACTCATTTGAGTTCGTGGTCGTCTTGTTGGTTTGAGCTTTTCGTTGATTTCCAAGGTATAATTGTGAATCCTAAATGAGAGCAGCCCCTTGGTTCGGCCCGGGGAAGTTTCAGTGAACCGAAGGCTCCCTCTATGGCTTAAGTGCCTTTGCTGGTTCTCGTTTCAGTGGCGTCGGGCTTAATGCTATGATAAATCAGTTGTGTAATAATTTTCGAATTTTCATCGGGGCTTGATGCGATATTTGCCAAACATTGCGAATGTTACCGAGGACGAAGACGTCTGAAGGCATACACGGAAGAATCAGATATACGCAATATATTTTTTAAAAAAATGAACTTGTGTATCCAGTCCAGACCACTAGCTAGTGTAAGTTACAATACCATCTAGAAGCCTTTTGAATTCTATCGACTGATGATGATCCATATTGCCTAAAATAAATGTAGACACCAATTAATGGTTTTATTTCTTTTCACGTTTTCGTGTGTTTGCATGTTTCCGTCTTAATTTTCGTTGAAACCTAGCATTCACCTTGTCAATTGTCATAGTGGTATATGTAACTGTTACGTAACTGTACATTGTTTTGCTATGCAGGTGTATTTGCGGTTATTTGTTGAACAAACCACGTGTGCTGGTTACCCATCAGTTGCAGTTCTTGAAGGAGGCTGATCAGCTTCTAGTGCTATCTGATGTAAGTACCAGTACCTCATTACATTCCTGTGTTCCTTAGTGATGATTCCAACATCCGGAAAATTGCCTGTCTTCTCGTAGCTTTATGTATGTTATGGTCTCATAAGCCCTTCTGGCTAATTCAGCCACAGGGGAGGATCCAGGATTTTGGTTTTTGGCAGAATACCAGTTGTATTAGAAAACCGCAGGTCATCTCAGTGGGGGAGGGGGGGGTTGCGTACCCCCTGCACCCTTCCCCTATATCCGCCCCTGAGCCAGGCCGACCACAAGCTGGCAGGGGTAGACCGCCACATTTACTTTACTTGCTTACTGGTATTGGCACTTACTGGGATCTTGGGCACTGACAATCAAAGCGATACCACCGAGAAAGTGTAATACTGACCCTTAATTCAAGGATTTACCCCTTCCTTAGGTACAACCTTTTTCCATTAAGGAAGGAACGGTTAACTTGTTGTTGTTCACCTGTTACATTTATGAATTCGCGCGTGAGTTACCGTTGATGTGTTCGTGGTTGTTCCTTTTTGTGTGTGTAGGAGGTGGGCATAGTGATATTGAATGGTTGACTGTTGTTAGGATGGTTTTCATCGGTCGGTTCGTTTTGATAAAGCTCTTTTGATGTGCAGTTTCCAGTCTGTAACATTCTAGCAAGTGTGCCGGTTGCCGTCAGCTCACCCCAGACCGGATGTCATGTCTGTAATGGCAGTTCTCTAATCAGGGTCAGTTTAAATACGTTTTTGGGTGAGATTGTGATGAAAAGCTGACATTACATAGCAACGTATGTAACGGCGGCTTTTTGTGGTAATCGACTTGAATGTTTCAGTTATTGTGTACTGGTTGATTACAAAAGTTTCACTTTTTTGTAAGGGATAAGGGCTCAGCTTGATATTGTATTGGAAACAACTGACTTGTACCTAGGTGAAAAATTGTATAATTTATTTTGCAAATGCAAATTTTCCAGTTGATTTGTAATCCTTTGTTTTGATCAGGGAGAATGTATTGGCCAAGGAACATATCAAGAGCTTTCAAAATCTGGTTTTGACTTTATGGCTTTACTAATTGAGGAAGACGAGGATGATTCAACGGCGGAGTCTGACAGCGAATTTAACATGAAACGGCTTCTAAAACGATCAGTTAGTCGCCAGCACAGTCAACTTGAAGGAAGGAGAGAACGTACCGATAGCCTCCAGTCATATCCCACCCACAGGACCAGTCTTGCCTGGGAAAGCCAACTATCAGTTGTAACCTCCGAAACTCAAGTTTCCATATTCGTAAGATTGATATTGTTGTAATAAACGATAATTAATAATTAATTGGTAAATTATCAATATACGAACTCATGTGTACAACATTACGACGTAGTCGTGCAGGAACGTAAGATCAGATAGAACGATAGAACGATTGTCGTGTAGTAAAATCCTCAGATAAATAACAACCTATCGTTTTTTTAAGTGGAAGCATTGATTTCCAGTATACCATAAAACACATGTAAGATTGAGGTGTAATGTTGACTTTGGAATTACCTCATTTCAGGTATCCAGTCGGTCCAAATCGCTGATTACAGTTTACATAAATTGGATAATACATATGAGACTGGCAATCAAATCGCCCTCGTGTTCATTACATTCTGTATTCACGAGTTATAGTCAATGATCGTAATTAAAAAACAAAATGATAAGTTCTCTGCTTGTCGATTGGTAGATAGGATAAGAACTGGTGACGTTTGTGCGACAACCAGGGTAGACCACCTTACTGATCGCGCAGACTAACACCATTAACTTTGCTATTATGAGTTGACTTAGCAAGGCTAAGTGAGAAGAGCTTTGTTTCTGTAACTGTTACCTTGCTGTATAAGAATTGAGTATAGAAATATCGTTTTTGTCTATTTTTGTATTTTAGTTGGGAATATACATGAACAATATATGAGTTTGTCATTTGTTTGGTCTTCTTTCAGGAGGAAAATATCCTCCCCAAGGAAACCAAGCAAGAGGGTGCTGTTAGCATGGACACATACCTTCGATACTTCAGATCTTTACACACTTTAACCGCTGCCCTGTTCGTGATTTTGTTGTTCGCTGTAACGCAGGTAATTTTAGTTTAGTCTATTGTCCACCTCTAGTAAGTAAGTAGTATAACGTTGCAAAAGAAACCTTGTTTTGGGGTTTGGGTTGATGTTTTTAGTAATGAGGTGTTGTTATAACTAAGCAGCTACTGCATGGCCAAAACAAGGTATAATTCAAAATAAAGTACACTACTCTTGTAGCTAGTATTAATACTGATTTGTAGGTTTCCTGCGATGTATGCAATAAACCAATAAGACAAATAATCTAGTACATATTAATTCGCCACATCAATTGGTGTTACATGCTATTTTGTTATAAAAGCTTCTGATCGTAGAGGATGATTAAAAGGTAAAGAAATGGTTTTGCTATATGTAATGGGATGAAGCGGATTATCTTTCTTTATTTCGGACATAATTTTTTAGCAGGCCAGCTCTCTGCCAGCAATCGAAAGTGAAAATGAAAATATAGCGCCATACTCCACTAATTGTCCGTGGCGCTTTACAATACCATAACTCTAATTAATTTAAAAAACTACATTATTCAATACAATTCAGGCTAGTAATTAAAACTATAAATCAAGATAATTCGTAAACAGATGTGTGTTAAGCTTAGTGTTAAATACAGTAACTGACGATGATAGCCTGATGTCCAATGGTAAGTTATTCCACAATTTTGGAGCAGCAACGGAGTATGACCTATCACCATAGGTTTTTACTTTAGCCACGGGCTCATCACGCAAATGCTTGGTTGAAGATCGTAAAACGCGGTCCGAGTTCTTATACTTCAGCAGATCTTTGATGTAGCTAGGTGCTTCACCGTTGAGAGCCTTATAAATCAGTAACAGTATTTAAAAGTAACTCTATAGCACACAGCAAGCCAGAGTAAACGACTAAGAATCGGTGTAATGTAATCATGATTTCTCGACACGGTAACAAGGCGAGCTGCTGAATTCTGGACAAGTTGAAGTCTATCAATCAGATACTTTGGAAGACCATAGTACAGGGCATTACAGTAATCTAAACTCGAGGTTATGTTAGCGTGAACAATAGTCTTGGTAGTGTCATGGGATAAATATCGCCTAATCTTGGCAATACCGCAAATGCGGAAAAACGCGATCTTGCAGGTCATTTTAACGCGCTCACTATAATCGAAATACTGATCAAATCCAACTTCTAGATTCCTAGCATTTCCGATTTGGATGTGGTTGAGGGTATGACGTGGTCAATATCTTGAACTAACAACTAAAAGTTCCGTCTTATTTTGATTCAGCTTAAGTTTATTACAAAGCATCCAATCGCCAATATCTTTAACACACAGCTCAACTGTCTCCTTCGCGTTGGATGTATGGTTAGGGCAATTAGACGTAAACGAGAGATATTTCTGTGTATCATCTGCATACAGATGAAATGGTATGCGATGCTTCCTGGGTATATCACCCAATGGACTTGTGTAAAGTGAATACAGTAAAGGACCTAACACGGATCCTTGGGGTACTCTGTGTAGAGAGGAGAAGTCTGACGTCACGTAACCATGGATGCAAAATTTCTAGTTCACAACAATAGGGCGCTTAAGAAACGACGACGGCGACGGCAACGAGAACGGCAAAAAAATCAATAGGTTTATATCAGCAAAACAAAACTTTGCACGTGCATCGCGCTTTCTTGTACATTTCTCAGCCGTCATTGCACGACTGCGGCATGAAATTTCACGTGCCTGCTGTATGGAGTAGGTGAGCACAACTTAACAATTTCTTTTCTTTTTTTGTTAACTTAGACATGATTCTTCCGGATTTAACCCCAGAAAATTTCGCCAACATTTGACAAATTAAATGAAATTGAATAAGATCGATGAAGTTTGTAACAGTGTGGATTCACTTTTTAGGGACGTTTTTGGTTTGTTGTCATCCAGAAATTTTGCTACCATGGCAACGTGACGTAACGACTTCTCCTCTCGTGACTTTAGATAGAAAATGCAAATTCGATACTGGGCGAAAATTTGAAAAGTTCTCGTGATCAGCTCCGATCTTTTTCAACAATGGCTTAATCACGCCAACTTTGACTCTATCGGGTACTTGGCCACCTTGAAGCGACAAGTTAACTATACGAGTTATTATTGGAACTAGCCGATCCTGACCCCGTTGAAATACAGACGATGGAATGGCATCAAGTGCAAAGAACTTTGTGCACAGGGTGCTAACATATCCAGAGATCACTTCTTCATCAACCGGCCTCAATTCACCAAGAAACTGACTGGCCAAACAGGACTCGGTTCTAGTACTATAGGGTGTTACAGGGCTGTCTGTCAAGATCATTGCGAATTCTGACAATTTTGTTGGTAAAGAAATGTACAAATGATTTAGACAAATTGTCAGTGGCAGATGGATAACGTTGGGCGGGACTGGAGTTTAGAAGTTTCTCTGCCGTCTTGAAAATAATTCCTGTGTTTCCAGAGTTCTCCTGGATCTTGATGAACAATAATCGTGCTTAACTGAGGCTATCGTGTTGTTAACAACACTGTTCTGGAAAAAATAACGTTCTCTGTCTGCATGTAATTTTTAAGATCGCCATTTGCGCTCAAGCTTCCTCCTAATATTCTTTTGTACACTAATGTCATCAGAGTACCAGGGCACACATAGACGGTGAACTACGAGACGCGTCTTTTTAGGAGCGTAGGCATCAAGGGTAAATTTCAAAACAGAATGATATGAATCAACCAATGAATCAAGATTAGTACGAAATTCATCAACTAAGGGAGAGTTTCCAAGAGTAATATTAAGTTCTTCACAATCAATCGAACGCAGCTTCCTATAGCGAATAGTTTTCCTTTGAAAGAAGAGCTTTTGTCGGTGCCTCTTGGTACTCAACGCCACGGATAATAATGCAAAGCACGTTTTTCTATGTGTTTCAGGGTTTCGGATAAAAATGACGGAATATTTGCAACTATTCTAACACGGATCTAACTAGGAACCAGTACGCTCTTGCCACATCGTTAACAGAGACTCCGCATTTCCTTAAGGTCTTCAGAGATTATAGCCTCGGATTGACTTTCTTTATTACTTGATCGCAGTGAGCATTGCTGTCAAATCGATGGATAAGATAACTCTGAGTAGTTTATATTACTGCGACTTGACACACTTGACAGAAGCGCTTCCGGTGGAAAAAGGATGCCAAAGGCAACTATTGTAATAAAGAACGTTAATAGCCATGGGCCTGCATTTTACAGGATATTGACCCATTTTTTTTTACTGAAAAGCAAATGATTGGTTGTCATCAACGATAAAATTTAGGACAGATACAATAGACCAATTGCGATATATTAAAATTCATACTTGGCTGCGAGGCTTGAGGGAACAAAACTAAAGAAATAGTCTTGAGGCTCAGCAATGAATAATTCATTTCAGTATTACAACACTTATTTTCTTTAATTTGTTTTTAATTTTTTTTTGTCTGAAAGGTTGTTTTTATGGTGTCAGATGTTTGGTTATCGCTTTGGTAAGTTTTCGAATATCCGTGTCAGGTATTTTTATCTGTAGCTTATTTTGTCGATGAATTAAAGTTGAACCTGCGTAACTGAAGACGTTTTCCGGGAAAAAAAAAGAAGTGTTTCACCGAAATGGTTACTTTGCGTGCTTTTTGTTTTCTGATAACTTTTGTGACCAGCACTGAATATCTTTTCATCAAAACTGATGTAGTGACCCTTACGCTGCTCCCATCCTACCCGGCATTCCAAAGGTGCTTTGCATCATTCAGCACATCACATAAAAGCGCTTTGAAGGCCGAGGATTTTTAAACATTAATTAAAGTGTCCCCATAGCTTGCTTTCAGACTTACGGTAAACAAAATCCTACAGAGCAAACATACCGTAAACAAGTCAGCAAGGTTAATTTTCTTTTGACTGTAGTCAGTACTTTCTATCATCATTTTTTTGGGTTTAAGGTGCAACGAGGAGGAGAAGTATCTTCTGGCAACATTGCGCAACAATTCCTCTGGTGAAGTAGATGAGCTGGACCGTAGTCTTTATCTTGGCATATACTCAGTGTTTGTTTTTGGTCTTTTGTTCTTTACATTGCTGCGAACGCAGCTTTTCTTCAAACTCACTATTGTCGCCTCGAGAAACCTTCACATGAAGATGTTTTCTGCTCTCTTGATGGCACCATGTTATTTTTTCGACACAAATTCCATAGGTAAGAGATGAGTAATTTGTGGCATGTCACTAACTTCCTCAGTTCCCGGTGCTCTACTACTCAGCTTCAGAAGACTCGTGAGAGGGAAGGCCATTAAACTGGGTTCATGTGGCAAATATCCTGCATACTCATACTCGACATTCCAATCCTAGCGGCTAGGATTGGAAGGGAAAATATGGGACATGCGCAATGATTTAACTGTGATTCTGAGTTGTTTTCAGAGGTTACTAGCTGTTTTGATACATTTCCAAGTTAATCTTTTCAGATTGATAGATCCATTTTCATTTCGACGTTACCTCGTAATTATGACCAAATTTAAGAAGGATGAAGATGCAGGTGGTGTTGACGACGTTCCACTTATTTATATGGATTGCATTCAATTATTTTACTTTCGCTGGCAGTTCGGGATGATGAGGCTTAAATTACCAGCCCGAATATAATAAAACATGGTCGCGTCACTCAGTTTTTTCATGTCATAACGGGAATGATGTTAGGTATTTTTCGCTGCTGTTTTCCGAAAGTAAGCTGCGGCCAATTTTCTGACCAGAGATATAGATAGCTTCAATAATAATAATTTATTCATCGGATAACCACCAAAAGTGGCAGGGCAGCCCGGATAGAAAGCCATGGGGCTTATCACTTTCAGGCTACCCATTTACAAACAAATTCAAAGTTATTTAAGTATATGTAGATGACAAGAATAAGCTATTAGGGTACGATGACTGTGACAGACGGTTCCATACCGCTGCTTCAAGACACAACCTGTGATGGTTACGTTGTGGTTCAAATTTTTTCTTTGGTTTGAATTTTTTTAAACTAAAGGATTTTACTTGCAGGTCGAATTTTAAACAGATTTTCCAAAGACTTGGGATTCATTGATGATATGATGCCATTCACATACTGCGACTTTCTACAGGTACGTAGGGGTAGAAGGGGTGGGAGGGTGGAGGGTTACAACATTTTAACCCTCTTACCCTCTCTACCTTACTAAATTGTTTTTTAAGTTGTTGCATGCGTTGAAGGTTCTATAAGTATACAAATTTTTTCTGGAAAATTTGTTTTTTGATATTCTGGAGTTTAAGATTTGCTTTTATCAGCGTAGTTGATAAGGTAGATTGGCGATGGTAGGGGCTAGCTCTCGAAACGAGACTTTCTTTATCTCAGTCCCTACTGTGGCCAGTCTACCCTATCAACATAGTTAATAATTTCACTGCCAAGGTCTTAGGCCCGGTTCGGACGCCGAACTTTTCATGAGCCGAACCTAGTTTGAATTGAGGCCGACCCAAACTATTTAGACCGGCCGAATTGATTCAGACGCCGATCTTAATTCCAGCCGAACTAAATTCAAACGAAGAAAAATGCTCATTTTGGTCAAACTGCATGCAAAATACGTTATTATTAGTCTCGCTTGCGTAAGCAGCGAGACTCATAATCTGCAACGCGTTTTTCGTCGCATTTTGTACACAAATGGGAGGTCATTGTGCCAGGCGTTCCTTGCGGAGACCGTGAGAACTGGGACTAAGAATCTTTGCGTGATCGAAGCCACGTATGTTTTTGCAAAGAAAGCTTAGGAAAGATTAAATTAGGAGCTTTTCCAACACGTGTTGGTCCACGAATTCTATCGCTTGAAAGCGATGATTACTTTGGAACAAGTGAACACTACTGATTGGTCGAAAAAAATAATCATCTTAAATAGCAAAACTGCGATGGTCGGGTGTTGTAAACTTTCATTGTATGCAAATGAATCTTGTGATAAGCATGCGATTTATTTTCGGCGATGATTGAAATTACGTGCCATGTAAATCACTCTTTTGATCTTTGGCAATGATGTAATTAATTTCTCTGTAATCGAGGCCCTTGAATTTCGTGTATTTATACACGCGTATAGCCTGCGACCTCAGACGTATTACGTTCGTCGCTAACACGCGTACTAAATCAGTTCAGAAACAAATAAAAAGTATCGACCTCGATAAAGTAGGAAGTAAAAACCCTTCAGCGAGTAAATCCTGTTTCGTGTAGAATTAATCGCCTCCTCATTTCTCTATCTAATCTCCAAGCAAGCGAGACCGACGGCCGCTGTAAGAGCGCTCTTTTTATTTATGTATTAGTTTCGGTACATGAATCAAAGCCGTTCCAAAGTCGTTCCACAGTCAAAATTCCCGGCTGGGCTAGGCGTGAAGAACGGCTGAGCCGTTCCAAATTGAAATAGGCTTTTCTAATTGATTCAGATGCCGAACTTTTCATGTACTTAATTCAATGTATTAGGATCGGCTCATGAAAAGAATGGCGTCTCTATCTCAGTCCCTACTGTGGCCAATCTACCGTATCAACACAGTTAATAAATTCTCTGCCAAGGTGTTAATTTTCTCAAGTCTTGTATTCTCCATGTATTTTGCTGTTTTCAGACCTTGTTTGTTGTTGTTGGGATTTTGGCATTGGTGGCGGGCAACAACCCCATCACATTTGTTGTTGTTGTCCCTGTTGTTTTTATCTTCTGGATCTTAAGAACTTATTACATGAAGACATCACGAGAAGTTAAGAGAATTGAGGGAATAAGTAAGTGGTAATTACCGAATTGTTTCTGATTATTTTTCTTTAACCTGCAAATACTTTATATTTTCTGTGGAATTATGAATAATGTTAATCCTTATTAATTTGTGGGTCTTTCTTGGAAAAGGGGACTGGGGGATCTCGAACCCGTGGCGACCGAGATCATTCGGCGTTAGGGTTTTATGCCACTGATCGCATTAGGCCGGGGCCTTCTGAACTTGTTGGAAATCATAAGCAGGTGCGTTTATAAGGGTATATAAAATAAAGACTGTCGTGGTGGTGTTGGTGGTGGTGGTGGTTTACCTTTGCTATTTGTATTTCTTTTTAATCACCCCTGGGTTTTGCATTTTATTTTACTTTGTATGTGAACAAGTTGGTAGAATATTTAACCTCTTTTGGAAGAGGGTTTGCGCTTTTGTCACCTCTTGGTGAAAATGCTACTTTTGTTAATTGTTAAACCGTTTTCTTATCATGCACGAAGACATGTCCGTAAACGTCTTTTCGTAACATAATTTTTCAGAAAAAAATAGTTTTAAACCAGAAAAGCTAACGTATTGTATCATGAAGTTGCTATGCGAAAGGGCACAGTACATACCTGCTATTACCACGATCGGCCGGTATGTCAAAAAGTGGGGGAAAAGAATTTTGTTTGACATTGCTTAGCTTTCCCAACTCTAATTAATTGCAAACGGTAGGAATATTCAACGTTCACCACATGCGGGTATGATTGTATTGCAGGTCGCAGTCCTTTGTTTGGTCATTTTTCTACTACCCTGTTAGGTCTTGACACTATCCGTGCATTTGGAGCGCAGGAAGTGTTTGTAGATCAGATGAATGCTTATCAAGATGCACATACCAGAGCCTGGTTCACATTCATCTCTACCACAGCCTGGCTTGCCTACAGGCTCGATCTACTTTGTGTCGTCTTTATCTGCTTTGTGGCTTTAGTTTCTCCTGCTTTAAAGTCATGTAAGTTACTTTGTCGTGGAACAGTGGAGATGTAATCTTCTTCGTTGTAGTCGAAACAGGCCTTGTTTCTCAACTTTTAAAGTTGAAATACATCGAACAATTTTAACAAAGTTAAAGTGGATTTGGTCCCTTTCTCGTTGTTTATTGGCTGAGTCACTGTGGCGACTCTCCTGAAAGCCTGGTGAAATCTGATCGTCCCGTTGCGTGTAGTCCTGAATAAGACTGTTGTTGACGGTACTGTAACTGACCCTTAGAAAACCTTTGCGAAATTCGTCACCAGCGTCGAACTGAGCCAATGATAATATCATCATCATTCACTTTATTTCTGCGTCAGTAGGTAAATGGGGCATTTGATTCAGGTGTCGACTTTTAACTCCATTAGCTGTCAAAACCTCCTCTAAAAGCAACTTGTGATCAGCGTAGTTGGTGAAGTGGACTTATTCAACTTAACGCAACCCATGTCAATTAAACGATCAAATATAGTTAGCAGAGGAGACTGTAAGAGCCCGCAAAATCAAACATGAAATCAACGGTGCTGCAGTTTATATGAGGAGCGTTCTATTGCGTTTGCATGAATTGTTTGAATAAATTAGTGGTCGTTTCTATTGGTCAGTTAATTCAAAATAATATCAATTTTGTTGAACGATGTGCACGGACAAAAACTAACAGTAAAGACATAGAAATACAAGTCTGACGGGGGCTTCATAATATTTATTAGTTCACGAACTATGAATCGAAAGTCAAGTACATTCCTAGGCGAGGATCTACATAGCCCTTGTTCAATTTCTCTGCTGATGTTGACTTGTCGAAAACTGAACAACTCATACAAAAGTAATGACATTAAACAAGTAAAGTTTGTCTCCAAGAAGCAAGAAGAATACAAACCTTCTTCTTAGGCCATTTTACCAAGCGTTGTTTAGACTTTTCTGTGTATGATGTTCGCGGAAATCCCGTACGTGGGTTATAAATGAACTATAATAATTATTTTGACACGTCAAACGCGGCGTCTGAATCAAATGTCGAAGCTAAGTCAAAATTTCGACTGTGTCAGTCGCAGATTCTGCAAACGTCGCATATGATTTTAAGCTATCAAATTTCGGCGTGTTTGATTGACCGTATTTCGGAATAAGAGTAAGTGGAAGGAACTAAAGAAATCAGTTGTATTGGTATTGAGCGCATTGCAATATCTAGAAGTCTGTGTGAAATAAAATATTCCGATCGATGTAATGTTTAATTGGCCCAAAAATCACGGTAGAAGAGATTTGAAAAAAAAAAAACATTTGCGTATTCTTATTCTGGAATACGATTAATCGAACGCACTCTTATTGATTCAGATGTCGCATTTCACATGTATTCAATTCTCGGTCGCTCGGTTCATGTGAAATACGACGTTTGAAACGGGCTTGAGTACAATTTGTTTATTTATTCATTTGCGATATTTGCACAGACAGGTCCAGTTGAGCCCTAGCCGGTTTAAAATGAAGGCCCGTAAAACTAATGAATCTGCCTCCACTTCAGTAAATTATACACTAAACAAATGACAAATAGAGAGTATACAAGCGTACCGAACTTTCAGTCAATCAATCAATTTTTTTTTTCAGCATTTTTCAGTACGTATGTATTTAATGCGGTAAATCCCGTTTTTCCTGACCTCGTGGTATTTACAGCCAAGAACTCGCAATCAAAAAAGTGTATTATTTCAATGTTATCTCCTTTTGTAGTACAAAGAGATGGCAAAGTTCTATTCCTGACAAGACTCAAATGTATTTAACAGTCATTCAAAATTGTTGTAGTTCTCGGCTTAGATCTATCCTTTATCCAATTCATTTGTATTTAGTAGAATAAAAAGAAGTGCGTTCTAGAAAATGGTTCACCACACAAGGAAAACACTTACATTTTATTCCGCATTGTTATCTGCTTTTAGCCTTAAGTGCTGGTTTGGTTGGTCTTACATTAAGCTATGCAATCAAGATACCAGGCGTATTCCAGCAGTGTGTCAAACAAAGTGCAGAAGTTGAAAACTTGGTGAGTATTCCTCAGGATATTTAAGTGCGTAACATTGTTTACTGTACATTTTCAACTTAACAAGGTATTCTTTTTTGAATATTTCACACAATACTTATGGTTGAGAGTAGAATTAAACAGACTACAGAGAGCTTCAATCCTGGAGAAGATTTAGAACCCCTCCCCTGCCCCTCCCCCTCCCCCCAAATCATGGATGAGACAACGCATCGATACAGTCGACTCCTGATAACTCGAATCTTCAAGGGAAATCGAAAAAAGTTCGAGTTGTCGGGAGGTCGAAGAACATAGCCGGGAGAAAGCAAAAAAACAGTTTTTAATCACCCATTTAAATCGGGAGGTCGAAGAAAGGTTATGTGACAATTGAAATATCCGAAAAGATACTTTAGATTATAAATCAGAACGTAACGTAACAAAACATTGCCTAAATAGAGCATACGATTTACTGTTTTGAGAAGTAAAGCTGTTTCACGATAGATTTGTGACAAACAACATCAGCCCCCGGGGGGGGGGGGCACTTGGGTATTTTTTGGGTGGGTATGTGCCGCCTGGGACTCCAAATTGGCACCCCGCTCTAAAAAAAATTTGCCCTAAAATTGATACCCCGTTCTAGAATTCGCCCTATAACTGAGCCCCGTTCTAGAAATGTGCCAGTTTTTTATACTCCGTTCTAGGGTGCAACAAGAGTATAACAGTTTGCTTGTTAACGCATTGAACCGTATTTTTAAAAGCAATCTGTCCTTCAATAATTTCAAATAGCTGCTTACAAAACTGAAGCTTTCGTGCATTCGAAATATTATACCCCGTTCTAGAAAACGCCTCTGAAATGGATACCCCGTTCTAATCCGGGAGCTTCAAAATCACGACCCCGTTGGGCGGCACATACCTGTATAGGTAATGTATGGGAGTACCCCCGATCAGCCTACACTGGTAAACAATGCCTAGAACACGTCAATGGGAAATTCAAAATTCAATGTTTCAGACGCCAGGACACTGTTTTATTCCGACTTTTTAAGGGCTCAAAACATGGTTCGAGTTATCGACGGTAAAATTATATATAAATGACCTGAGGGGAAACAAAAATTTCTTCGAGTTAGCGGGAGGTTCGAGTTATCAAGGGTTCAAGTTACCGAGGGTAAAATTACAGTAAATGTATGACGGAAATCCAGGGGAAATCGATTTTGGTTCGAGTTAGGGCGAGGTTCGAGTTAGCGAGGGTTCGAGTTATCGGGAGTCAACTGTAGATGTTTTTTATTTGGAGTCTTATATAATAAATAATATATCAACTATTTCCAAATAACTTAAATTACAAACAACAAAAATTTCTAACCATATATTTCTAATAAGTCATCAATTAATTAAGTCCTAGAGTATTTTTAGATTGTTGCTTGTGACGTTATTTGAGTAGGAGGTCATGGTTAGAAAATGTTTTAGCCTTAAGTTACACCCCGTTTCATTCATTCAGTTATTTTCTTCCACCCTTAGATGACCTCTGTTGAGCGTGTATTAGAATATTGTGATCTGCAATCAGAAGCACCAAACGAGACTGACACCAAGCCTCCTAAATCTTGGCCATCCAAGGGAAGAATTGAATTTGATAACATGAGCTTTAGGTATCACAAGAGTTTACCACGAGTCCTTCACAGCATCAAGTGTTCAATTGAGCCTACGGAAAAGGTAGATTACGATATCTTTGTGTGGACTGAGTCAGTGTAATAGTGTTGACACGAGAGTCATACAAAGACGACCAACTTTCAACCCACTTTTGCCCATGAATCTGATTTGGACGCAATAACGAAAAAAAACATTAAACCATTAACCCATCTTCATGAAAACAAATAGATTATCTAAGTCAAGAGAGAAACTGTTGATTGCGTTAGAATCTTATGAGGGCTTCTGACGAAGGAAACGCGGATCTGTTTAACCTGGACCGCAAGGTCTCTACTTTGTTTGATTCTGTAAATATGTTCCTCTTGATGAGGTTAAAAAGCTTACACTGGAACATATTACAATTTACATGAGCAGCCTCTCGTGTTTAACATTCAAATAACATAAGGTTTAACTTTTAAAAAAATTTAAAAGAAAGTGCCTCAGTTGAAAGTGCTTCAGTTGAATTTTGAATTTTTGCTCTCTACGTCTCCCGCCTCTTTAACATTATTTTTCAGCACCTCCCTTCCGTCCATGGCTATGCTGACGACACCCAGATTTACCTCTCCGACCTTGTTCTATCCATTCGGAAATTAACGCTGTCTCTGTGATGAAAAGTGCATCGCTGATGTTCTCTCTTGGTTTATTGGAAATCCTTTAATGATCAATGACGCGAAAACTGACTTTCTAATTATTGGCACCCGTCAACAACTTGAAAAAACATCTATTGAATCTATTATCATTGGTGACACTGTCATTAAACCTTTAGAAAGCGTCCGGAACCTTGGATCCTGGTTCGATGCTCATATGCGAATGGATGTTCACGTAGGCAAGATTTGTAGCAAGGCTTTTCGCGGACTATACAACATAAGACAGATCAGAAAGTTCCTTACCGTGCAATCCACAAAGACATTGATCCATGCCTTTGTATCTTAGCACCTTGATTACTATAACGCACTTCTATTTGGTCTACCTAAATATCGGCTTGATCGTCTACAGAAAGTCCAGAATGCCGCGGCACGAGTGACTTTTCAGATTGCGAAATTTGATCATATCACACCCGCTCTTATGGACTTACATTGGCTTCCAGTGACGGTTAGAGTTCAGTTCAAATTGTTCCTTTTTGTTTACAAGTCACTACACAACCAAAGTCCATCCTACATTAAAGATCTTTTATCCATGAAACCAGCTGCTAATTATGCTCTTCGTTCGTCCGCACAATCTCTTCTGTTCGTTCCAACAGTCAACTGCTCTACACTTGGGGATCGGGCCTTTGCTCATGCTGCACCTGTTTTATGGAACTCGCTGCCATTAACTACAAGAACAAGTAGCAGCCGCGCCATTTTTAAAAAGCAACTTAAAACATTTCTTTTTAAGAAAGCTTTTAATTTGTTGGAGTAGTTCTAATGTTTGATTTTAATTTGGTTTGGAATTTTCGAATTTCATTTGTTTTTAGATTTTACCATAGCATAACATATCATTGTTATTATTATAGCTTTCAGGGATTTTTAAATTGTTTATTTATAATTTATTCATTAATTTTAACTTAATGTAAAGCGCTTTTGAATATTCTTCTATAGTTTTAGCGCTATACAAATTCATTATCATTATCATTAACTTTTAAAGAGCCACGTATATAATTGTACTCTTTTTAATTTCTGGTTGTAGATTGGTGTAGTAGGTCGCACTGGTGCCGGCAAGTCGTCCTTACTCTCTACCTTGTTTCGCTTGGCTGAACCCACTGGTACAATCAACATCGATGATATCGACATACGGGAACTTGGGCTAAAAGATCTGAGGAGTAAACTGTCCATCATCCCCCAGGTGATACAAGAATTAACAAAATGACTTGAAATCCGCGTAATGTTACTATCCCGTAAACAAACTTTCTCTTTTTTAATAGCTTTTGTTAACCACTTTATGGTGTATTATTTTCACGTCAAAGGAACCTGTCCTGTTCAGTGGCACCATGAGAAGAAATCTGGATCCTTTCAATCAACACAGCGACTTGGAACTATGGAGTGTCCTTGACGAGGTTAATGAATTAATCACCTGTATATTAAGCATAATGTTTCTACTTTAAATTCTGGTGCCTCACCGTGTATAGCCGGAATATCGCAAAATTGTTTCACATCTCTATTGAACAAGCGAAGAGGAGCACGCTTGAAGGGAAAGCTGGTTTCGCTGCATTCTCGGATTGAACGTCAATTCAGCAATGCAACTCCGTGGCAACAGGATTGTTGAATTTGTGGAGTATACTGAAACTGGAACTGATGTCATTCCATGTCTTCATTGATGTTCGAAGTTAATTTAAGTTATTTTGCAGGCTTCAGACATTTTCGGAAGTTGCCTTGAACTCGAATTTAAACTGATTTAACTTAAATTCAGCTTTCGCACTTGTTATAAACACTTGAGGGGTTCTTGAGGGGTAGACAATTTTGGTGAACGATCTATAGATGCCAAAAATGAGCAAAGAAATGCGTAATTTCTCAGAGCTTTTGAAATTGTGAAAATGTGTACTTTATAAGAATGAGAATAATGGTGATGATAATAATAATAACAATAATTCATTCTTTCGTGTTTGAGTGTCTCGACTCTTTGAACGTAGAGGATTTTTAACAGTTTTTTGTTGTGGTAACTCTAGGTGCAACTGAAGCAAGCTGTTGATAGCATGCAAGGAAAGATGGACACCGTGTTAGCTGAGGCAGGCTCCAACTTTAGCGTGGGTCAGCGGCAGCTTGTCTGCTTAGCTCGTGCCATTTTAAAGCATAATAAAATTCTTGTGATCGATGAAGCCACAGCAAACGTGGACCCGAGGTTTGTAAAAGTCCTTTTTTGCGCGAAAACAAAACATATACACAACATTAAACAACCTCGTTGCCAGTGTTTTCTCTTACCCGTAGGGAGAGAGAGACAGGGAGACAGCAGGGAGATGGGTCTCTCAGGTCTCTCGACGGGTAGGAGAGAGAACCTGGGAACGAGGTGTAACATTAAAACCTGGTAATAACCAAGTTAGACACGATTTCAACAATCTTGCAACAATTCTTACTTGTACGTGGACTACTTGCTTTGATAATACCGGCTGCCAGAATAGGAAAGACTGGTTCTAAGTTTTAGCGTATTGAATTAAAATAAATACAGCACACCCCCCTTCCCCCACCCTCTTTACGTGGTAACCTGTCGGGTTTTTTGTTGTGTTTTTACTTTAGGACAGATATGCTAATCCAGGCCACCATTCGTGAGAAGTTCAAGAATTGCACTGTATTGACGATAGCTCACCGTCTTCACACCATCATGGATTCAGACAGAGTCATGGTACTCATTTTATTCAGATCTTTTCCTGCTTTCTTTACTCATGTTTACTTGCGCGTGCTCATCTTACATAACACATTTTTAAAAAACTAAACTTGTTAATGTAATCTTTATAGCAAAATCGACAGTAGTATACTCCTTGAAGTTAGTACTTTAGATTTAAAGTACATGTAAACTTAACAGACGTACGTATCAGACCGTCCAATTTACGAGACTGTCAATGCAAACTTAGTACGTACAGTATCAAATTAAACCCAACATTCGCAACTGTCTTATTATTCCGCCTTCCCGGCATCCTTGGTTTAAGTAGAAGGACCGTTACATTGCAGGGTTCATTTTGCAGTAGAGTAACAAGAAAAAAAAATAGCTTGTTAAAGCCGCTTTTTCTCTCGTAACAATCAACGACACATGGCACGAAAAGCGAGGAAGATTGATCTAGCTCTGTCCAATTGTGTTACATCCTCGGAGACCCAGGGGCGGTCAGTTGGGCCGCGAGAAAAGGCGCGACGAAAGATTTCAAGTATGGGCGGAAGAGCCCCTGTGTACTGACTCTCACCGGACCATTTCCAAACGGTCAAGCGAATGCTGGCTCCTGATTGGGCACAAAAAATGCTTTGTATTATTGTGCCCAGTCGGCGAACAGCATCTCCTGTGTTCTTTTCGTGAGTTCGTACACAACGGCTATTGACTCGATCACGGCTTATCTGGCTCATGCACCAAAGAAATGCACGCAGTCAGGAAACTTTCAGCTTGATATAAACTGTCCATTTCAAACTACTGTCTACCCGAAACCTAAAGACGCTTTTCCAAAAATACAGTCTTGAGCTTACAACAGGTATTTACGCTTTCATCGATCACGCCTTCGTAAATATTAGGGAGTTTTAAAAGACGCCACGATAGCTGAAAGCCACGAAAAACGTCGCATAAAAAGTGAATTCACTATTTTTAGTCTCTATCGTGGTTATTCCAACTCGCTTACTTTGTCAAATGCAAGCGAACTCTTCTGGAGCTGAATTTCTATCAACCATATCCAAGTTCATAAAGAGAAAGAAAATTTTGACATAGCTTGTTTACGTTCTTCACAAAACGTGAAATTAGGCATTTTCACGTGGTAGTCGTGCAGTGACGGCAAACAAATGTACAAAGTTTTTGTTTTGCCTTGTTAAGCTATTGCTTTTTTCTCACTTCTCGTCGCTGCTGCATCTTAAACTTCCTGTTATTTACGATACATTGTGATCCGTCAGACACAGAATTTTCTCAGTGCAAATTGAATTGCTCCTGCTGATAGAATCCGGAACGTTTTTCAAGTCATCGGTAGTTCCTTCGTTTCTGGATAGGAAAGCTTGGTGAACGAACCGGGCAACTGTGGCGAGATAATAGCCGTCGTGTACGAACTCACGAAAAGAACTCAAAAGAAACTGTTTGCCGATTGGGCACAATAATACAAAGCAATGTAACCGGTGAGAGTCGGTACCCAGGGGCTCTTCCGCCCATGACAGCACTGACAGCAAATAACGTTGAAGCAACTACGAATTTGAACAGCTCTGATGAGATGACGTGAATATCGCACACTTTTGTAAATCAAGGCTACAAAGATTTTGAACTATTATTAGGAATACCCTCTAAAATTCGCTGAAACAACTCGTCTACTCCTAGTCCTTTGAACATTCATTTCTGTTTTCCTGAAGAAATTTTTACTGCAAATTGCTTTCGGAGTGACAAAGGATTTCATTTCCTTTGTTTATTCTTCTTACCAGCGTACTACAACTACGTTATTTGTTATTGTCATTATCTTGCAGGTGTTAGAAGCAGGAAGACTGAAGGAATTTGACGCTCCTTATTCCCTCCTTAAAAATCCAGCCACGATCTTTGCGCAGCTAGTTGCACAGACAGGACCAGTGGAATCAAGAAGGTTACTTGAAATAGCTCGTAACAAGTATTATGCAGATAAAACCATTCCAGAGGCCGAAGATGATTTACCTGATGCAGAATCAAAGAGGGAGTCTGTGGATGGTTCCCAGTCTTCCGCTGCTTTGAATATTATTGTACCTGATGATCAGTCCCCCGCCGGCGCTTTTCAGTTCGAATCAACTGTTTAGCTGCTGCTGAGTCTAAATCAAACCTCATAGCTCTACTCTAGTATCTTTAGTAATCGCACTTGGTTATCAATTTCGTAAGAATTCCTTAGAAAAACGAGTGCGAGGAAACAAACAAACAAAAAACGTGCATGGACTGATAGCCTGGAATGTTTTTATGTAGAATGAATACAACCTGCAGTAAATCGAAACAAAAAAATTCCCTATCTTCCAGTACTATGCCAACTCTTATGCAGAGAAATTGTAATCCGCAATTTATTGTATGATTATTTGATTCCATGGATTGATTTTTAAGGTATCTCGATAAAGTTTTTGGGAGATCATTAAAGTGATTTTATCCCTGTCAGTTTTAGTAAAATCGATATCACTATGACAAATTAAAATAAACAAAAGACTTTGAAATCGATAAGATCCGAATTTTGCGCGATCTAGACCTGCTACTGAAAATCCGACACCAGGAACTTATAGTGTGGTGTTTAGCAAATAACCTCCGTGAGAGGCTAAAAAATCTGTATGTTTGAATTCAAATAAAACGAAAATATATTTCAAACCTTATATTTTCAATAGCTGTGATAAAATGTTTAATAAAAAAGTTCTAAATAACTCACATTAATCTTAAGTAGCGTCAAAACGCTGCTTAATATCATTTTTCGATGCCACGAAATTTTGGTATATTTTCTTTCTTGGGATCTTGGAAACTAACCTGTTTTCTCACCACCTGTCTGAGTGCAACTATATTCTAAATTTTGACTTTTAGCGCGTTTCTGTATTATCTCTAAAACGGCTCGACAGAATTCTTTTTAAACCTCATCACATTATCTTAATGATGTATATAGCAATGTCTGAAACTTTCATTAACTTATTGATTCACTGCAACACCTTGAAATTTCAAGAGAAACGTCCTAGCCTACGAACCGGCCAAAAGTCCGCATTACAACATTCACTGTTTTGACGTTATGTTAGTTTTTTCCAAATTGATGCCCATCGTACATACCTCCATGGCCAGTACTTTTAGTATGAATTTTATTGTATATTTTGAATGTAAACCATTGACAATATTCACATTGAAATGTACTAGCCATGGACGTATGTATGTATGGTGGGCCTAATTAATTTGGTAAATTAGCATAACTTCAAGGCAGTGAATGTTGTAACGCGGATTTTTGGCCTGTCGGTTAGCGATCGGACAAGGACAAAATCACTTTTTAAGACGATTGAAAAACATCGGTATTGTCTGCGGAAAACTGTATCGAAACACCTTAAGTTCAAACAAATTTGTTAGCAAAAAAAGGAACAAAACAAAAACTTTTTATAGAAACCAAAGCAAGCTTTCATCGAAAATAGACTCGGGGACAGTGCAAACTTTTCTTAGCGAGTACACAGACAACATACACAAACGCATCATATTATTACCAGAAGTAATATGAAAAGCGGCCTTATTATTCATAACAACCGCCTTCGATGGAGATCATTTAGCTGATTGTTTGTAGTTTTTATATCTTCATACTCGAACTTGGTTACCTGTAATTTGCGCTGGTGATATAATTGAAGGTCATGTATTTTTGCAAGCTGTATGTCCCCGTTTATTTCATCAAATTATTCCTAAAAAAATTCATTTGCGAAATTTCTGCTACTGTCCGATTCGCATTCAAGTAAAACTATCTCGTGCTGTTTTCTCTCTCTCTCTCTCTCTCTCTCTCTAAAAAGGGACACAGCTAAAGGATCAACGAAAAAAATATCTGTTTCATTCTTATGTACACAAGAACTGTTCTAGATAATCAGCTGTTCTTATCGACAATGTTTTAGGTTTCCATACAAGTTTGTGATTTTAATATCAAATGAAAATGAGAAATGTAAGAAAGTATGATATTTTACAACTTCAATTAGTATAATGAACGGATGTATTAAATTATATTCTTTAAAAGATGTGTTCCTTTCCTTATGATGGACAAACGCTAATAGTAGTAGCAGCAAAGCTGAAAGCCTGAAGTGCTGAGCGCTAACCAATTGAGCAATTAACCCAGCTGGGAGCTAGACGTTACATTGGTTCGTAATATACCCGAGAAAAATAAAGATGACATGATATGCATCTCATATATTTGAATTCCAGAATTAAGAAATAAAGTAGTCAAGACCATCCATCGAAGTTAGAGACGCAACCAACTACTGTATTTTTTTTTTTTTTTTTTGACAAGGCTATCCCAATAAAATGTTACGTTTCCCATAGCCCGATCGACCCAATTTTTTCGAAAAGTAAAAAAAAAAAAAATTCCAGATTCACTAGTCAAAGAAGCAAGTACTTTAATTTACAAGCACACGATCTTGTTTTGTTAACAACAATTGATATGATGTGATGTCCTTGTCTTTCACTGACATTTAAAGGTTGTTTAGACATTTGATAGCAGAAAAGACCACGTTTTCGAGTTGACTTTGTAACCAGGCTTCCTTACTTAGCATCCCAGCCTTCTCTGGAACCCAGTCCCCTTCAAGTACTCATTCGTTTTTTTTCTTTTTACCCGACCGACCGACCCACCATCGCAAGAGACGGGGCGATGGGAAACGAAACATTTTATTGGGATGGCCCAAAAAGACAAACGCAACTTATGCAGTTGCGAAAAGAACGCCTGTAAACATTCAGGATTGCCGGGATTCGAACCCTGACCTCAGCAACCCAACTGAGAGCTGGTTATTTAAATTGGTTTGTAAGTGTACCAAAGACTGGTGAAGATGAACATGACGTAAAATAAACACTCTAGCGTTACATTTTGTAGTATACGGTTGACTATAATCTGATAGATACCGTGTTTGCAGTGAATGCTTGCTACTGAGTCATCACCATCATATCCTTAAGCTCAAAGCTTGTGGGTCGTGCCGGTCGTGAATATGAAGATATGTTTATTTGGGATAACTCCTTCCGTTCTTCGCAAAGCCTCAACTGTGATAACTTGACGTTTTGTTACTTTCTGAGAACAGCACAGAAATGTTCAGAAGAGCAAAATGCACAATACAATCATTTTAGCAAGTTATTCTCAACAGAGGAGGGAAAAGAGAAGATACAAACATGAAAGATGTCAAATCATTTTATTGAGTTAAAACATTTTTTATGTCCCTGATAATGTTGCCATTTTACTAAAATAATGTTATTGGTAGCCAAATCGGTTCCTGATAATGACTTAAAATCATTATAAGAGACTGATATGGCTACCAATAACATTATTCTTAGTAAACTGGCAACATGGTTCTGTAATAATAGTTACAGAAAAACCACAAAGTTCTACCCTGTCTGGAATGCAAAATGTTGGACAAAGAGGCTTGATCTTGAGCAAATACAGGGAGCCGTTTAAGTACTAAGTTGAGAGAGGCGGCTATACAGTGAAACCCTGAAAAAACAATTCTTTTACATGTGAACAAAATTGAACAAAAGTCTGTTTAGCGGCACTAGGATTGAAAACAAGGTTTTTCGTACCTCTACTTTTTTAGAGAATAGTATGTTCCAAGTGATTAATATGAATTATTGTATACAATTGTCATCAGATATATCTAGTTATCCTTGTCCAGTTCCTTCAAGCTGAGCAACCTTCTGTGCAAAGAGCTTGATTTCTTTTTCCACTTCACTTTTTAACTGTGCTTCAGTGGCTCTTGGATGATTCTTCACATAGTCGCTGATACGCATTATAGTTTCAGCCTAAAAGTAAGAGCAAATTGTCCTCAAATTACTCAAGGCCCATAGATGAAGGTAACAACTAGAAAAAGAGCAAACTAGTGGAGGCCTATACAGTGAATACAATAGTTTTAATTTGTGCATGGACAGACGGCAGAAAAACATGTTCCTATTGGGTACAAACACTGCTTTGAAGTTTGAGCCAAAGGTAGAAGTTGTTGTCATGTTTTTGCTCAAATTACTTGGTGTGTCCTGCTCATTCCTGGTATAATTAAGTAATGACTTTCCTTACTCAGCAAGGATAAATGAAAATCATTCCAAAAGTCAAAAGCCACTCTTGAAGTGGAAGATTGAGATCTTCAGATTTTGGCTCATCTGAAGTAAGCAATATTGATTGGGTTATTACTAACATGCATGTACCATATGCCAAATGGAAAAAGTGCACGTTTTAACCACTGCTGACCGTAGCTTATAGTTGGTTGGTTTTCAAAGAAAATTTTTCTTAATTGCAAGAAACAGTTCTTTCTTTGTTTCCCTTATTTAGAAACAGCATACACTGTAAATGCTTTTAAGAATTCTTTTTCAGGTACCTGTAAATTATAACCGCAGAGTTTCTTCTTGTGTTCTAAAAATACTTGCTCTAATGAATTGCCGCCTTCAAATGTTTGTCAAAGAAATACGTCATGTTTGTACCCTATCAACCCTTTAAATCAAAATTTGAATTCGCATTTGTTGCCCCTATTCATTTCCTACAGACGAAGTGGGGAGAAGTTGATAAAATATCAAGCAAATTCATCTTCTGTGATCATGTTCGTAATTCTCATGAGCACTCTGTCTTACAAAGCATTGATATTACAAGGAAAAATTTGATGTTGATCACTCTTAGGGTTTAAAGGGTTAAAAAATGTTTTTTTCATCCTGTGTTAATGTCAGTTGAAAACAACCAAATGATTTTGTACACTCCACTTCTCCTTTACAGGTAGATACCTGCTTTTTTACAGCTCGATTTGTTTAGTGCCAGTGTCATTGGCGGAGGTTACAAGAGGTATGGCTAAACTAGCCACATTGTAACCTTGAACCCTGTGGGCGCACTTGGGTATTTTTTGGGTGGGTACGTGCCGCCCGGGACTCCAAATTGGCACCCCGTTCTAAAAAAAACCCCTAAAAGTGATGCCCCGTTCTAGAAATGGACCAATTTTTGTATACCCCGTTCTAGAATTTGCCCTAAAACTGATACCCCGTTCTGGAAATGGTCCTGTTTATCCAAGACAGCGGAGTCAGCGCTCGCGGCTCGCGCCAAAATACGCCCGCCCTACACGCTAAAACACAGGGTGCAACAGGAGCACAACAGTTTGCTTGCTAACGCATTGAACCGTAGTTTTAAAAGCAATCTGTTCTTGAATAATTTCAAATGGCTGCTTACAAAACTGGAGCTTTCGCGCGTTCGAAATATTATACCCCGTTCTAGAAAACCCCTCTCAAATGGATACCCCGTTCTAAATCAGGAGCTTCAAAATCACGACCCCGTTGGGCGGTAGGCCTTTCCAGATTCTGCTCGGCAACTTTTTAGCAACTTTTAGGATTTTGAGCAACTTTTTTGTCAGAGAGCAACTTCTAGCAACTTTTCGGAAAACTAGCACTTCTTTGGTAATTTTTGGGCTATTTTGAACCAAAATGCTGAATAACCCCTTTTTATAACATAAACAAGTTAAAATTCTCATCTTGGTTAAAATTCTAAACATCTTTCTAGTAAAACTCATATTTTTACCCTCTGAATGGGTATCATGTGGACGTAGCCCCAACCTCGTTCCCAGGGCTTTTCCCTTCTAGTGGGGGGCGCCCCCCACGAGAAGGGAAAAGCCCCGGGAACGAGGTTGGGGTAGCCTGTGGACTGTGTGTAAACAAAATGGCGGACGCCAGATTGTTACACTTACTGTCTAACCTTTTGTAACTAGCTACTTTGATTCAAATAAAGGTTGCCTAATTTGTTGTAACTAGTTACTTAGTTGTACCTCAATGTTGATTAAAAAGCAATTGTTTATATTAAAATTAGACATGCTGTCTTAAAAACATTCGAGCAACTTTACAAAATTTTTGAGCAACTTTTTCAATTTTGAGCAACTTTCAAGCAACTTTTTGGCATATTTGTGAGCAACTTTTTAGCTTTTTCGGAGCAGAATCTGGAAAGGCCTATTGGGTGGCACATACCCGTATAGGTAATGTATGGGAGTACCCTCCCTGGGCCTTGAACTGACACAAAGCAAAACCTACCCTGAGAACATCAGCTTGAGAGACTGTAAGTCTTTTGTAAACTTCATAACAAACTTGTCCGGTGACAAATGCGTTATAAAGAGTTCTTCCTTCTTCTCCACCATTTAGGAAGGCCAGCACCCCTATCTGTTTAGTATCAAGGAGAAAATCATCCTTTACACAGCTACATGCAGCAAAGAGAAGTAAACCAAACTATTAATCTGGTCTATAAAACCAGCTGACCTCTACATGTACATCTGGCTGAGACACTAACTTCACAAGACTAACTGTAGAATGTAACAGCAGTGGCAGATCTAGGGGGGGGGGTAAGGGGTCCAGACCCCCCTGTCATACCTGACACTTGTTTGAGGCTGAAATTCTTACATCAATAGGTTTGTAACCAGCTGATTTTTTTTAATGAAACACGCACTGCATTTTGTCACTAAACTGAATTCCGGGGATATTAAAAAATGTAATTGTTTTTGGGTACCCTCCTATGATCTGTTTGCCTCTGCTCACAAAGCAGTATTTCTCGCACCAAAGGCAACTGGTGTTCACAGATTGAGAAACATGTGGTGGTCTTTATGAGAAGTAATTTGCCACAAAAAAGTTCAACAGTCTTTACAGAACCAAAGTTTGGACCTCCCAATCAAAAATTCCTGGATCTGCCCCTGAACAGTTCCAAAATTAATTTTTGTTTACAGTGCTGGCTCCATCATGGAAGCTCATAAATGACCATAGTTTTGGGACAAATTACAATTGAAGTGTAGAACAGGGGTTAACTAAGAAAAAACTCTCTTGCTCATTGTCTAAAAAGATCAAGTAAAATATTGTGATGATTAACTTGTGCAGGAGACAGACATGCTTAAATAAGTGGTTGTTATGGCATGGAATCATAAAGTATCAGGTTGTTTTGACAATGGCAGTTCACCCAGACTTAAGTCAATTCATGCAAGGAGTATTTGTCGTCGTTTATCCCTGAAAAAACGACAAGGTGTGAAAAGATAGTGACTGCACATGTGGATGGGTCAACGACTTTTTCTAGTGGAAAAAAAACTCAAATCCCCAATGAAAGGTCCCTTGAACGATTTTGGAAGGACAGTTCCCAGTGCCAAGAAATACAGCTTCAAGTAGTTATGTCATTGCTATGACAAAGGCTTAACTGCAGAATACCCTGCCATTCGAAGAATATTCTGCGTAGCCAGCTACATGGACTAAGTGAGGAATAAAGTAAAAACTGCAGCCTTTGTTACATGCTGGCTACGCTGTACGCAGAAACATGTGTCATAGTCCTCGTTCTTTAAGTCCTAAAGTGAAAAAAGTACCGCATACCGTGTAGCCAGTTTCTAAGATAGCTTGCCATCTTGAATTAATTTCTTTCCGCGGAATGTATAGGTCCGCGTACCACTTAGCCAGCTTCTAAGTTAGCTTTCCGTCTTGAATTAATGTCATTATTTTCCACATACTGCATAGCCTTTATTTTTCAGTACTGCTGTCCAAGTGGCAGGGTATTCTAAAGCAGTTACTCCCAAATTTTCATCTTTATATTATACAACAGTGCTTTGGTGGTAACTTTTCCAAATGTTTGTTAAAGGCATCTTAGTTTATGCTAAAACTTGGAAGATGTTGACCCTGAAAAACCCTATCAGTCCACCTTAAGTACAATCGAAACGCCACATCTAAAGGGCCCCAAGTAAATAACAAAACGATACGAATAACAAATACATGTAGATATGAAAAAGGGAAAATTACAAAAGGATCCTCTGCACTGAGAGGATATTTCAGTATTTTAATATTGACTACTGGTATGACCAAAGTGTCAAAGAACGCCACTGAGTACAGCTATACATGTATAAACAGTGATATGAATGTATAATTCTCAATTTGAGTTTCCCACACTGATCTACAAAAAAGATTATGACAGTTTACTTGTACAAACATCGCTATTTTTTCTTCAAATATCCCACACAATATTATGTCAGATCCAAAAATGGGATATTTCAACCCATCAGTACAAAATGCAGACTAGGCACAAAATGCAGGTCTAATGCAGATTGAGGACTAAGAACAAAACACAGGCTGAGAAGAAGGTCACCTTCCGCAGAAATTCGGGAAATATATTTTTGTTCTTGAAATGGGCCAAAAATATCATATATAAAAGTAGCAGGTTGAAGTCCCTACATCATTGCAAGAAATGCAATCAAGTCAAAGAAGGCTAATTAAAATGTGATTTAAATGGCAGTAAAATCCCCATCATTTCACTGGTGGCCCAACCTCAACTTGTAGTATACAATAGACCTTGTCACAGATTTGGAAGCCATCTTGATGAGTAGGCAACCGTGTGAGAAATTACTGTGTTTGTATGAGAATCTAATGTCGCCTAATTTCCATAAAACGGCTGTTCTGAAATGAATTGAATAATTATTGTAAACTAAAGTTTCACTCTTAAGGGTTCTACAGAAAAAAATTGAGGGTGCTACATGTGCTAGAAGACATAGAAGCAAAATTTTTTATACATTTCTCTGTAAGAAAGTCCTGCGAAAAATTACCGACAAATACTACGGAAAATCTAAAGCAAGCCTCTGGAGAAATTTAAGCACAGGTACCGGTGCGCCCCAAAATAAACAGACAAGGGAACCACATCTGTCATGACGAGCAGAGAAAATAAGATAAAAAAGAGTTTAGCTTTGCTTAATGAGAGAAATAATTATCAACCCCTCACTCAACCTATGGTTGAAAACACAACCAAAAAAGTTAAGTTTCCTCCCATTCTATTTTCTTGTTAGATTCAACAAGGAATCAAGAGGTGGGGAGAAGCTTAATTACGTAACGCCATGATCGACCATTTTTAAATCGTGATTGAAGTGCACTGCATGAAAATCCTTGATTGTTTACATGTACATTGAAGATCAATCAAAGAAAATAATCGTTAATTTGGCAAAATGACCTTAACTACCATCTGGTGCTTGATTTAATGTCACTTTCGAGTCTTTTGAAGTAACTTGACACTTCAGTGTGCTCAGACCCACCTAGGGAATTTATAGCTGCGCAGTGTTTTTGATAAGGCTCATATTATAAAACCTCTCGTTAACTTGCTAAAATTAATATAATTGAAGGACTCTGTTTTATAACAATAAAAATGTGACTAACGTAACATTTTTCACATTCGTACGACCTCTATATTTTTTGAGAAGCGTGAAAACTTAAATATTTGTTTTGTGACTTGTGAAACGCAAAATTGTTGTTCATACACTTGTGATGAGACCCCCTCTTGCCCTCCTCGACAATCTTAGACCAAAGTATAAACAGAAACCTTCCAGTACATGAACTTCTACTTGTGACACCCACCAGGCATGAAGAAAGGCCTTGTAAAAGGAGAAGCGCTCCGGCTTGTAAGGACTAATTCCTCTCAAACCACATTTGAGGGAAATAAAATGTTTTTCGCCCACTTCAAGAACACAAACATGTTTCCTGAATATTGTCCGTGGAAGATGACCTTGGAATGGCGATGGCGTGACAATACGTAAGTTATCATACTGGGCCGAGTTGTTCAAAGCTCGATTAAAACAACCTAGGGTTAGTGCGAGATTTGAATTCAGATTTGAAAGCTAAAAAAGCATTTCAGTTTTAATTCTTTTTGTCTACAAGCTTATGATTGGACGCTCTAAAAATAACAGAGAAAATTATCCAAGAAAATGCTTTTGATCATAAGAAAAAGAAACCCGGGTTAAGCGCTAATCGGCCTTCGAGCGAAAAAAAAAAAAGAAAACTATTTTTCTCCTGAGTCTGCGTTTTGCACTGCAGACTGCATAATCTGCATTTTGTACCTAGTCTGCATTTTGTATTGACCGATATTTTAACCCAATACTTTATCCAAATTGTTGTAGTCTTAGTTGTATATGGTACTATCCACCTAAAGTGAGCTTAATCTCATAAATATAAACTCACATACGAAGCTTTTTTTTTTGTCCGCATTTAAACAATCCATCAAGGAAATAGGTATCGCCAAAACCAACTTGGCGTACTTGTAGCTTCGAATCAATTCGCCTTTCTCCTCTTAACACCAATCGACACTACAGTGATTTGAAACTTACCTGGTTCAGAAGTCCCACCGTGCTAAGTCGGAAATTGTCCGCCATGTTGTTGTTGTACAGGTGCGTCTTCGTTATCGACTCTATCGCCATATTTGGGCGTTGTTTCCACTCCCACGCACACGTCACTTGTGAGAAGGCCGGCAGCCTGGACCCGAACGTCTTTTTCAAAATGGCAGAAAGAAGGGACAACAAAGGTGCTTGCGGTTTCTTTTACTATGACTGGGCTCAGTCACGATACAGGTGGTCGTCTGAAAATCATCTGACTAACTTTAAAGTCGGAAAATCTGTGTGTTCCCCATCTGAAGCCAAGGTAGGTGGTAATCATAAAAAAGTGATCCTTTGGAAATTCTATATTGCAGATATTGAAGGGCGGGAAGAACAAATGTTAAACTGACGTCCGTTTCTGTCCTTGAACAGTTTTCCAGAATTATCGAAATAGTATTGGAGTAGATTTAAGTTCAGGACTATATAACAAATGTCTAACTGTTTTTAAACACTTGGGATGGCTGGGGTCTTCATTGGCTAGATATCGAAAAGCAACCCTTGGCTTCGAACTAAGATTAAGGCATTTGCATAAATCTGCTCACGCCTAAACAAAAGTGCTCAATAGAACGGATACATATGCACATATTTGAATTCAAGGCTTTTGATTTTATATTTTATCACTTTGCAGTGAAACTGCTTGCCTCCCCTTTAGTTTTTAATGTCTTATCCATTAGGTCTAATTTTTTGGATCAAACTTTAATATAAATTGTAGGGTGTTATTTGGGATTTCTTAAGGCTGAATCCATGAGCAAGACGAAGCCAATCTTGTGTTCTGGGCAGAGTTTTTCAAAGCTGGGTTAACATAACCCAGGGTTAGTGTGAGATTTGAATAGACCCTGTCACGGTTTTTGACACCATCTTGACGAGTAGGCAAACGTGTGAGAAATTACATTGTTTGTATGAGAATCTAATGTCAAATAATATCTGTAAAACGACTGTTCTGAAAAAAAAAAAGGATTTTAAACTAAAGCTTCACTCCTAAGGATTCTACTGGAAAAAATTGAGGGCGTTACTTGATTGTGCTAGAAGACCTAGAACCACTTTTTTAAATTTTCTATATATTATTTGTCTGTGAGAAAGTTCCGAGAAAAATTACAGACAAATATATGGAAAATCTAGAGCAAGCCGCTGGAGAAATTTAAGCACAGGTACGCCCCCCAAATTTTTTAGTACAATCCTTTGCTTTGTAGCTTTTGTTTACAATTCATATTTTTTCAGAACAGCCGTTTTATGGAAATTATTGGACATTAGATTCTCATAAAAACACTTAATTTCTCACACATTTGCCTACTCGTCAAGGTGGCATCAAAAACTGTGACAAGGTCTTTTCAGATTTGAAAGCTTGGAAAGCATTTCAGTGTTAATTCTTTTTGTCTACAAGTTGATGATTGGAAGCTCTAAAAATAACAGAGAAAATTATCCAAGAAAATGCTTTTGAACACAAGAAAAAGAAACCTGGGTTAAATTTAACCCCTGGGTAAGCACTAATCGCCCTTCGAACAACAGTAAACTGGGCCCTGATCTGATTGGCTATATGAACAAGCAAGATGGGTCAGTGACTTAGGATGGCCTGCTGTACAGGTCCCACAATGCATTATTGATCAAGGTTGTTTGGTCAAAATGTACAGGCTATACAATAATACTAGGGTAAACATGATTGGGAAAACAGGATATACAGGGGCATACATGGTATACAATAATACTAGACTAAACAAGGGTAAACAGTAACAGTAGATCTTTATTATGCCTTACTCCTTAAGAAGGTATCAGTCTGTTTACAGTATATAAAGTAATAACGGCGAAGGGTATACAGTAATACTACGGCGTACCTTTATTATTTGTGAATTATCTGTTTGCTTATAAGAGTGAGGCCAGCCTGGATGATCATAATTTGTCCAAAGTTGTGAATAAAACACCGGCTGAATGGTAGGTTGGATAAAGAACAGTGAAATGTGTGTTAAGTGAGTGACGATAGAGTCCTGCCTCATTAGTATTTTGCTTTACAGAGTTGTTGGCTATTTTACAGATAAAGAAAAAGAGGCGTAAAAGTCAGAGGCCCACCATGAAGGGAATCAATTTAAGATTGTTTGTCATCAGTGGATCAGTAGAATCAATTTTTGCAAACAGAGTCTATTTTTGTCTCTCTCCCTCCCTTCTTTGTAGTTTGGGACCAGGCTCCTTAGTGGGCTAAGAGGGCAAATTATGGGATGAACACTCAGCTCACTTCATTTGCTGATTTTTTTTCTCTGTTTCCTTTTTTGCCTCCCTCTTATTTGTCTTTTTCTCACCAAGTACAGTCAACTCTCGCCTTGTGGACACCCCGCTATAACGGACACCCCGATAATACAGACAGCAGCTAAATCCCCAGCAAAAACAACACTCACAAATGAGGACACTAACTCGAGGTCTCCACAGTGTCCACTATAAAGGGAGTTGACTGTAGCCTATTAAATCCCAGGCTAGCATACACTGTTGTGTATGTGCAGTGTAATAAATTAATTTTTGTACTTTAACTACAAATTTCCCAATATTTCCCACTTTCAATGTCTTTTTTCAACAATGATGTTGGAGTACTTGGCGTGTGGTGATTTTACCTTCCAGCCAGCTGTCTCAGTAGCTTAGGACTTTCAACTCTTTCTTATAGGAAAGACCCCATTATTGGCAACATGAAAAATCCATTGCAGGACAAAGATGTCAACCAGATTCTTCAATGCAACAAGGTCAGATTCTTTATAGAAGCAGATTTTGCATGACAATTTAAGCCATGAAAAGTGCTTTGCACGGGCCACTCGTTGAGGGTTTTGGTAGCCAAAATTTCAAAACTACAGTGTACTTGTAGTCACCATGAGGCAAGTAAAAGTTGTTTTCCAGTTAGAGAAACTGGATATACATCTGCATTTGCAGGGTACCAGCATGGACTTTATCACCTGCTCTTTTAAAATACTAGTGTGGGTTCTTTTACATTGACTTTAAGTGGATCAGATCCAACCAGCAACACTTTAATCATCTGAACTGAGACAAGGTCTAAAATCATGGCAGGTTTGTCATTAGTAGCTAGTAGCCAATAGCCAGGTTTTTTAGCAGGCTGCTGCAGTAAAATCAACCGGCTACTTAAGGTTTCTAAACAAGTCAAACATTACAAATATAGGAGAATTTGTGGGATAAATGGCTGTGCCAAATTGTTTAAGACCACTGATGATGATCTGTCTGGGGTTTAAACCTGTGACCTCCTGCTCAGCAAATTAGTTTTTCGCCCATTCAGCTGACTAGGTGTCAAACTATGAGTAAGTGAGGAAAAAGTAATTATACGCTGATATTTTCTTCATAATCTAATATCAACTAATTATTCCTTTTAGTTTCCCTTCAGAAGACATTCACAAGAAGATTTACTTGCTCAAGTTATCATTTCAAAGAAAGGTGAAGGACAAACTTTGTAATTAAAGTTACCAGGATGCACTGTTGAACAGTTGGGTGTTGAATGCAGGTTCTTTTTTTTGTATTGTTTTGTTGAGCTTGTTTTAAATTCAGGGGTGTGTGTGTGTGGGGGGGGGGAGTCAATGTTTTATACATTGAAATGTGTCCCCTGTTGGCTGCTTGTGAAAGGTATTATGCTTTTAACAAACTGATTTACATTTTCCTTAGAGTGGATTTATGCTGTGGTGATTGAAAGTAAATTATTTAGTTGCTGCAGGACACTAGTACACGTATTTAATATTCCATCTAAATTAATGCAACTGAGGTGCGCTTGGAGAAAAACATCCACTTTGAAATTTAAACCTTGATTGGATGCTGTGTTGGCATTAACTAAGACAAGAATAATGGTAATAAAAAATCAGGAAAGTCACTTAAACAGTTATTTACATTTAACTATACATGTCAGGATGCTATTACTTCTTTGTCACTAATATATTGTCAGAAAAAAAAAATAAAGGTTGCATGATCTACTGAACGTGCAGTGTTTGCTTTGATTATTTTTGACCCTTGTGTATAATATAAGTTTTAACTTTCACTAAATAAGGCTGTTAATTCAATTTGGGAAAGCATCAAAAGAGTGTTTCACATTTATCATTTGACATCATTAGGTATGTATTACTACTTGTGATAACAATTGAATAGCATGTCATAAAACATTATTTATTAATTTTTAGCTGTCTCTTCATTTTCTTTAGGACCTACTGTTGTTAAAAGTCAAAGTCTCTGCTCCTTGCAACCCAAAAATGAGGCTCAAGAGGTACAAATGTAGGAATTGAATTAGTGGTAATAGATAATAAATTGCACTTCAGATGAATGGGTTAACAGTACTAACTCCAATTTAGAATGTGAATGACTATTTCGGTGAAATTAGACATCTATGTGTCTGCTGTTCAATACATACTCCTCAACCTGACCATTGATTTGATTAACTCATTGGGTAGCCTGCACATACGTACACCATACATGCAGGCTATACCACAGGGAACTATTTCCCCTGGTCATGCTTTTCAAACTGCAGTATGGGTTTTTTACTTCCCCTTTCAGCAACACAAGGAGACAGGACCAATAGCTTTATAGTGTCATTCCATAGTGATGCAAGATTTATCCTAAAGGGCAGCTTCATTAAAGCCAACATAAACTCATCAGTTTTTCTTATCTAATGAATTCTCTCCTACCCGTCCCTACAGAGCGAGAGAGAGAGACAGGTAGGAGAGAGAACCTGGGAGCAAGGTTGATGAATGACATTGGTTTATAATAATTATATTATACATTTGTAATGTCTAGGACTCAAACCCACATCCTACAAAGCTATGATACTACTACCAGTAATGAGATCCAGTTAAACCCTCATTTTGTATTGTTTTTGTATTGCTTACCGCCATGTATGTTTTCTGAAAAGTAAAAACAGAGAAGTTAGTTACATGCTGTATGTCACCTCTGGATGTACACTTTAAACAAAATATTCTCCTTAAATAATCCATATGCCTCCAGCAAATCATCACAACTTTTGTAGCAAGTCTTTTTATGCTCATAATGCTGGGTAGCCTTAATTAACTTATGCTGCCTGCTCAATTTGAGCAGGCATTTATCTGACTGAGCAACATTGGAAAACCACATGTCCAGCAGTCCTTTTTGGGGACGAGCACAAGCTCTTTTCTGAACAGCCACGGGTAATTGAATCTATACATAAGGAGAAGTGAATGTTACATTTCCTCTCTCTTTCTCTCTCTCTTTCACATAAAATGAAGATTACTAAAGGTCATGGAACAATGATTAGTGTTCTACAAACAAGGTTGCTCAGATTACGAGCTGCACAAACACTCTGGCATAAGGTATGTTTTTCTTAAATGGTCGCTAACTAATACCAGGCAACACTCTGATGTGAAAGTGTTCAAGATTTTGCAGTTTTGTCAATGATTACTTGGCACAAAAAAGATTTGGATGGTTTTTAATTGACTTCAGACAAAAATGATGTCTGTAATTAAAACTGCCTGAAATGTTAAATTCAAAGTATCCCAGTATTTATCTTTTTTCATCCAAGCCCAGCCGGAATAAATTGGTGTTCTTTTCTCATCTGTGTAGTGTAAGTGTATCTCTAAAACCTTGAGGACTGCACAGCAAACTATCACAATTTTCACAAATATTGTTTTAATGCAAGTCATGTTTTGTAGGCATACATTTTTTGGAAGTAGTACACGGTAGCAGTGCTAAAAATTTTTGTCCAGAATTTGTCCAGAATTGTTCTAAGTTCTTTCACAAGTAATGAACAGCAGCTACAATATCCTTCTTTATATGAACAGTTACATTACTGTTGTTTGTTCGCAGGATACAAATGCCTTAATCGAGTATCTCCTACGGTAAGCAATAATCTTTTTAATTCTTTGATATTAGATTTCTGGGAAACTGCCTACCTACCCCTCCCCTAAGCTAACATTAACACTTAATTCTCACTTTGGGCAAAATGATGGGTTAGGGGAGGGGTTGGTGGGCAGTTTCTCAGAAACCTAAATTGATCCATTGTTTCTATATAGTTCACCAGTAATAATAATGATAATAATCGTCATTATCACTTTTTGCTCTTGGCGCTGTACAATGAAAAGTATATACAAAAGTATAAAAGTATATGTAAGTATAAACAATCAAAAGTTTAAAGGTTAAAATGTAAAGAAAAATAAAATAATTACAAGTCAAAATCCATTTTAAAAAGGTACCGTAGGTTTATAAACGATTCTTAATGTCAATTACTCACTCTTAAATCTAACGAGAGAGTATTCCATAGTTTTGGGGCAGGTACAGCAAAAGCCAATCCCCATATGTTTTCAGGCGAGCTGAAAAGTCTCTGTGATGATGACCGCAACTTGCGTGATTTTGTCTTACACTAAAAGCAGGTCTGAGATGTTATCAGGTGGTGCGCCATTAAGGGATTTAAAAACTAGCAGAAGAATTTAAAACATTGATCGAAAACGCGAAAACGACACCAAGATTACGAGGTGGAGGTGTCTGAACCACAGGGAGCCCACACAATCTGTTTGTGTAGCCGATTGTTATTTTATAGTAAATGTACTGGATTTACCGTTTGCTTCACCTATAGCGATATATCGCTAACTATGTATATAAATCAATGATAAATAAACGTTGAATTACTTTACCTGTGGTATATAGTCGTCGTTTTACCTCAAAAGCGGTTTTTTGAGCGATTTTGAAGGAGTTTGATTTCGCCGTTGACTGTTCCTTATAATAGAAGGACAAGGGTGGAATCCATGTTTTGAAAGGGCTCCAGTGCCGGAGCGTTTGTTTTTCCCAAAATGGCATTGCTCCGCTTTCAAACTCCGCAGCAAAAAGGTAGAAGGATTCACGTTTCTCCTCGTACCTTTCGATCGAAAATCCATCCAAACAGCCCGGAGCTAGCCGTCGAAGAAAATTAAAATCCCACAGTATTTGAGCGGCTGGAATGCGTAGCAAGATTCGTACGTGCCGGCCATAAACCGTCCCGCTGATTGCTTTTTTTATGGGCCTCACTATTTCATGTCTCCTTGGACGGTGTCCATATTAATTGGTTTCCACTGTACCCGCCAAACTGGTACTAGAATGAAGTGCCTGGTGTAAAGTGGCACAATTAATTTGTGCTCGTTCTTCTCTGCAAGAGGTCCTGAGTTTGAGTTCCAGATGTGACCTCAAAGCATCAGTATGACATCTTTTTTGTTTTTCGTAAAACGGAGGACTAGTGGAGAGAGGGGGTAAAATAAACGCACTTTCAGCCTTAGCTGTGTTCGTCAGGTGACGAATATTTCGAGCCACCAAAGTATAATAAGGACGCGATACCTCTAACTTTTCTGTTGGTAAAGGGTCAAACTTAGCCTTTTACCCTGAAGGTGAGAAGCTGGCTTATGTCTGGTTTACACCCTGTACTGAAAGGATCCCTGCACAGTCTGTCGCTCAGGTTGCTGACAAGAAACCGAATGTTTTATGTTTACCCAGGTTAAAAGATGAGTCTGTTTTGGTTGATGTCATGCCATTTCTAACTATCAGGTATCAGTACCATTTTAATGTAAATGAATAATAGAAGACTTCTATCTATGATCCTCATGGATTGCAGCACTGTTTCACACATTATCCTACTTTTGCAGATTTACTTACAAAACGTTTGCTAAAACCACACTAAAGTAAGATTTTAGTCATGCCCCATGACAAAGCTGAAACCTAAAAGTGATGGATTTTTCATTTATGGGGTGTTAAACTGCTTATTCACAAGTAAAACTCAATTATTCTTTTACAGTAAATTATCAAACATGTCCTCATCGTAAGTTTGCATGTAAGCGAAGGAAAGAGATTTAAACTGAATGAGGAAATTTTAATTTCTATTAGAGAAATTTTATTAGGCTGAAGTCTTTTGTTTTTTTCGTTTTAACTATGTTAGTCAGATTCCTGGTCGTTTTTGTTCATAGTACTGAGTAGGGTTCTGCACGTTATTAAACTTGACACTTTGCTTGCAGAGTTCGTGAAGTGTCCCCTGAAGGGCACGCCTTGTCCATGGGAGCCTGCTTGGAAATGTTACCAGCGCTGGAAAAACTTCTCACTTCTAAATTCGAGGAGTAAGTTACACTATAGACCAACAATAAAATTTGATAACTGTATTGTGGATAGAGTTGTTGTTTTTTCTAAGTCCTTGATACACAAAAATTTGGTTTTACCAGCTGGGTTAATTTACTGGATTTTAAAGAGTGTTATAAACGCCCTACAAACGTTGTCTTTTGGAATAAACTAATTTACCAATATTTTTCTTATATGGACACAAAAAGATAGAAAGGATTGTCTACAACTGGCATTAGTAGAGGTTGCCGAGATTCAGCGTTAAATAATGCTCGTTATGACAGCTTTTCATGTACACCAAACACTGGGAAAGTCTCACCGGGGGAAGTTTCTGTTACTGCTGAATTCTTGGAGGGTATTTTGCTCGACAACGATTATTCAAGTCATTAAGAGACGTGTCCTACCCCTTAGCACTCTTGAGAGAAAGTATGGGTTGTAGTAATACTATGTGTCACGGTTTTCCCGAGCTGTATACTGTCCTTGCCCCGGTTGTTCAAAAGACGGAGTATAAGTTGTTACGTTATCTTAAAGCTTTTGCAATACTGTAACTACATATAGTCATGCAAATAAAGCTTATGTTGTTGTTGTTATACCGCTCAAAATCGAATCGAGTTTCAATTTTCGAGTCGAGAAATATTTTAAGAACTTGTCGTGAGAGCGCACTCTTTAAAAGTGTACACTTACCTTTCATTCTAAAAATTACTGCTCCCTGATTGGGTGATAGACTCGTTCGCTATCGTATAAACGAGGCTTGCTTTTTGGAGGCGAAAACGTTCACGTATTTTTTCCTGTTAATAGTCCTTTTGAAACTTGCTTGAAAATAAATGAAACTAGAAGTGAAGGCATAAGTGATATACATGTAATTGCGGTGAAAATTGCGCCTCCATTTGAAAGTGAACAATAACGAAACAACTTGTGGAAGAAACGACCGACATAAATAAACAATACAGCAACCCCTCATTAATGAGGTCATTAATTTACCGTGCAATGTAAGGCTGTAATTCTTTTTTACTTCCATCGTTCGCATGTCAGATTAGCGGAGAAAAATGAGCCTCCGTTTGAAAGTAAGCAATAACGAAACAACTCGTAGAAGAAATGACCGATATAAATAAACAATACAGTAACCCCTCAAAAAGAGGATTATTAGCTAGCGTGGTAAAAAAAAGTTTAGTTACAGTTGTTACTGTAACTAAACTAAAAAGTAGTTAAGGCAAGGTTTGTCGGAAACATTGGTGCTATCAAGGGAGCTTTGTCACCAAATTTATCAAATTCAAACCGTGGGGACTGCCAACAAATTAAGTGAAGCATAAAAATAACCGCTCAATACATTAAAAGAAGGTATAAATAACACTCAATTCTAAATCAGGCGCGGATGGACAAACTTGAAGAAGATTCAGATCTACCAAATTGTTTGAATGCGGGCTCTCCTAGAATGTTTGCCGACGACACTAATGTTACCTTTTCTGCAGCTACTATACCTGATCTTGAATCCCAAATCAATAGTGACCTGAAAGATATTGATTGCTGGCGTTTATGGTTTTCTGATCAGTACTCCCACACGGCAAATATGTAAAACAGTTTTGAGAATTCAAATTAATTTTCTATGTCTGACTGATGTTTTTAACCGTGTACAAATCAAGTTATCGTTCATTCAAACTGATTGCAATTGTGGTTTTTGAAAACTTGTTAGCTTGACAGTTTTTCAAAGATTGTTTTTGATTGTTTGAAACGTTTGATATGGTTTGATGTACAGTGGAACGTCGATATAACGAGCCTCTGTGTAGCGAACTCGCGGTATAACATACAATTTTCTTTACCCCAGTAATTTAAGTATACGAAAAAAAACTCGTCATAGAGAACAAACTTTGCCAGTCCCTTGGCCCGTCGTTATATCGAGGTTCCACTGTAATGGTTGGTAGACATATTTGACACGAAGATGTGGATTTGTCATTTACAAGTGAATTCGTAAGTTCCGTAGCGAGCAAGGATGCGTAGTTGGCATTCTTAACAAAATGAACACACAGCCGGCTGTGATGCAGCCCCTTTAAATTGACTAACGAAGATTGTATTCCTTGGTTACAGTTACATTATTGCTGCCCTGAACATGATCAGGGAAATGATAAAACGGTGGTGGATGCAGCTTAAAGTTGTCACAAACAAGAAAGTTTCACCCGAGTGGCAGCGATGTAGCAGGTACGTTATCAACAGGATCCACGTGAGGGGGTCGTGTTGTTAATTTCATGACTGGGGTCTGCGTCGTTGTGTGACTCGTCTCTATTTTTCATTTCTTACGTTTACCTTCCTCTTCACGTAGGTGACCAGTTAGAGAACCTTGCTGTAATCACTGTGAAAAATGTTTCTTATGTTTTTGTAACACGATGCTGGAGGACAGACAACCCGGCATAGTAAATCGAACCCAATCGAACTAAATTTCAATCGAACTCAATCGAACGAAATCGAACTCACCGAAAAGAAAAAAAATCAATCGAACCCAATCGAACGTTCGATTTTCGAACTCGTGATTTATGTAAAACAGACGTTGAAAATCCAGTACCAGATCTTAGAAGCTCGAGTTACTTCAGCCCTGAGTGTAGCGCACGTGTTTTTCGTAAACGAAGAAATTCCGCAGAAATGGCTTCAGATGCGTTGTGGATCGTAAGCTTCAAATGTAAAGTCAAAGGCAATAAAAGGGGGTGGTAGGCCTACACGACTTTTACCTCATGCCAAAATGCTGCTTATTCCAATAAAGTTGTTTTTATCTGCTGGGTAGATTATGCTCTGGAAGGTTCTGCATTTTACTGAGCAACTGTGGTTTTAGCCTCATGTTTCACACTAAGAGGGCATGACATATATATCGATTGACTGTAGTTATTGTTTTCTGGTCGGCAGGATTTGCACTCTGATGCAAGCGCATTTTCTTTGACCTCTTTTGAAGAGTAAAGCTTTTTTATTACGGCTGAATAAGGGTTCCAGTTTTCTCCAAAGTGTCTTCTGGATCTGATCTAAGCGATTTTCTTTAGTCCGTGAGTGTAATTTTTTTCTGCAATGCTGTATCACGCTGGGCCCAGCTCGTCAGTTTTCTTTTCACTGAAAGTGTGGTGTTCCCCCGCAGTCATCTCTTTGAAAAGTGCCAGTAATATTAGAATAAGAAATTAAACTACTCATAAGGAAACGAAACCACAGCTACCTTTGTCGCGACTGCTCATATTCAAACTTATGCTTATGTTAACGTTATAATCACAGAAAGAGCGCAGCTGGGGCCTACGTTTTGACTCTGAGTACAATCAATGAAAGGAGAGTCATCCTATAATCCCTCGAACGAAATCCATTTAATTGTGTTCGATTGAGTTCGGTTTCCGAACTCAATCGAACACAATCAGACGGATTGAGTTCGATTGAGTTCGATTTGTTCGATTGAATTCGATTTGTTCGGAAATCGAACTCACTGAAAGTGTGGTGTTCGATTTCGTTCGATTGCCGAACTCAATCGAACTCAATCCACAGATTGAGTTCGATTGAGTTCGATTGAGTTCGATTTTCGAACGTTCGATTTACTATGCCGGGAGACAAGGAGCAGTATATAAGATCCTAGGGGATAAGATCGAATACTGCAACTGCCTGGCCACGTGCATTGATGAGACCGGCAGAAACAGACGAAACAGACAGAAGCACGCGACTGACTGACCACAAACAAGCGACAGGAAATGGTAACGTCAACAATTACATTGCTGAATACTATTTATGGACGAAACATCAAATCGACTTGGACTCTGCGACATGTATTACGTATTCTACAGATTGTTATCAACGACTTACTTTAGAAAGCTGGTTACTAAATTAGAACAAACGCCACTGAATCATAGTCATAAGTCACCGGCACCGTACAAAAGACTTATTGACGGAATCACGCAAAACTAACTACTAGAGAATGACTGGACAACCGACAATTTGACTAACAATCAACGACTGTTAAACTTCGACAATAGACGGATCGAAATCCACCAGTGACATTTTGGGTGTGTTCCTTTCGGCGAATCCAAAAACGGATTTTGGATCCTAGATTTGCCAGATTTCGCGGTCGAAAGGAACGTGAAATCCGAAATTGGATTTGTAACCTTGGTAACCTTTCGCCAACGCGTGCAATATGCACGACAGCCTCTCAAGAAATGACGTGTTTTCTACTGTTTGACAAATTATGCGATTATACCGTGCAGAATATAGTGGTCGGCAGTTCGAATAGCGACGATGGAACATATAAAACAGACAAAGAAAGAAGCGCATTAAAATTGAAAATTATCTAAAGAATGTCGGCCAGTTTGATCCAGTTCCATAGCTCGAATATTTTTATGTAACACGATCGAGTGCCTGTCGCGTCTACAAGCGAGTTTGTAGTTAGAGAGCAGTTCATTTGTTACTTGTACTTATTTCGTATTTCAAGCAATTTTTAGAGACAAATGGTTAGTATATGGATATTTTAACGTACCAGGAACAATCTTCTAGTGTTTTCAGATGTTTTGCGACAAATGACAGCAACGAGGAAACTCTACGGCCTCTATGGGAATACTTCAACTGGAAATACCGCTGGATCATCCGACTAATTTCGGATCCACTGTGAATGGAACAGCGTAGATCACTAATCCGTTAATCTGGATTTGGATTCTTCGGATTTCAAATCCAATGAATCCTTTTTCAAAAAGGATTCACCAGATCAAAAATCCGGATTTGGATTTGCCGAAAGGAACACGAAATCCGTTCTTAGATCTAAAATCCGTTTTTGGATTCACCGAAAGGAACACACCCTTTGAGTCTTTATAGCCAATAACATCACGGCTTAAATGACAGACGACCAATGACATCGCGACTTAATTTACCATGATCAGGTCAATTACCAGAGTTAAAATACCATCAACTGACGTGATACAACTCACTCTGACTCTGAAGGTGATTACCGCACAGGTTGTCAAAACGTCAGTCACTGTCAACAACAGTCTAATTTAGGAACACGTTCACCCGCCGGGCGATCATGCGCAACCTACTTATGAAATGATTTCTGGGTTCAAACCTTTCACACTATAGTCGTTTTCTGTTGTTCTTTTATAGGAGTGTCAATGGCCTATACATGGCAATACTTTCTCTTTCTGCAATTATTGTCAAATTGTCAAAAAGAAAAGGAAGAGTTGGCGAGAAAGCTATTGTAAGTTATATTTAATCAGTGTTTGATGCAGATAACTGGTAAAAGAGGTTGACAAGGCATCAGGGTGGCAGTGCCAAATATAAGTAATCTATAAACAGGCATCTGCAGGCCTAGGGGCCTCGTGCTCTGCATGGTACCTCGCCAAACCCTACTGCGAGTGTATGTCAGGCTTTAGTCCTTCCCTACCTGCATTACTGCTCAGCGGTCTGGGGATGCATGGGGCAAAGGCAAAACAAGGCCGGGAGAATTCCATCATTTAATGTTTACAATCGAAGATCTGCAGATATTCCCCAGGACCTAGGATGAGATAGCCTTAAGCAAAGATGCTATATATAAGTGTATTGCAATCTCATCTTTATCCTGAAGGTGTGACAAATATGTTCAAACCAATTTTCATGGTTCATTCATATAACGTGCTAGGTTCCTCAAATAATGCTTTTGTGCCCATGGCATGTACTAAAGCTACTTAGGGGGTGTTTAGCTATAGTGGGTTTGGTGTGGAATAGCCTTGGTAACAAATGCAAAGATGAGACAAGATCTCATGCAACTCTTACAAGCCTGCTCTGACTTTGTCTTGAACTAAAGCGGACTTGAGAGAGTTTCTATAGCACTTACTTAGCTATATAGTGTACATTAATTTTCGTGCAATTCTAGAATGTTTTCTTTTAGTAGTTTACATCTTTAGTGTCTTTCTATGGTCATGCATATGTTTGAACTTGGGACTACCGAAAACAAATCCAGCTAGCGGTCAGAGCGGGACTTGAACGCGGGGCCTCAGAATTTCAAGTCCAGCGCTCTAACCACTCGGCCACGCTGGCTCCCAGGGAGGCATTACTGGCCTTTTAATACTATGCTAAGTGGCGGGGACGACTCAAAGAACCCCAGAGAACAAATGAGTTTGTAGCTGCGATTTTGCGCGTACATCCACCATGGAGTTGATAAACGCTAAGTCAGTATTGTTACTACTATTACGCTAGTTTTAAATGCGAACGCCACTTGTAGAAGTTAATGCTATTGAGGAAATTCTATTGTTGTCGCTAATTTGCATTTGATTCTGTACATGTGAATCTCGACGTTGACAACATGTCTTACTTATGCTAAACCTGTTTCTTGCAGGTCGTTACAAAGCTGCTGGATCTCCTATGACAACTTCTAACAAATTTCTAGTGGCTGTTATATTTCTTACTTAGCTGTTGAAGAATCAACCCCGATATCTAAAGTCCCAGACACAATAAAGACACCGTTACTAAACTTTGGATAGAAACTCGTGACCTTTGACTATGTGCTAGGGAAGTACGGACAGTATCACGAATCAAAAGGTCACCTAGTTTCTCTCTTTTCTAATTCGAAGTTCCAACGTTAGCGAAAAACAATTTTGAACGAATTTGCCAGGTACAGTGACGTCAAAAGTATTCCTTCAAGGTGTACAATTAATTTATCGTCGCTGTTTAAATCATCTTAACAGAAGTAGACCATTGTAAAACTTGATTTTCGTCTAACCAGTACTGAACGTGATAAACGTGACATCGAGAATTTCAGTTTCTTAAGTACCGGTAGGTTTAGTATGATCGTCCGGGTGAACGTAGTCCTGAATAGGACTGTTGTTGACAGTGACTGACGTGTCTACAACTTGTGTGGTAGTCATCTTCAGAGTCAAAGTGAATTGTATGACGTCAGTTGATGGTATTCAACAGTCCTAATCAGGACTACTTTCGCTAGGACGATCATACTCAACCTACTTAGGAAATGACTCTTGAGTTCCAACCTTTCACACTCTTCAGTTTCTGTTTAGCGTTTCAACGGAATTGGACGCATATTGTAGCCGAAACTAATATAAAACGAGGCTACTCAGCAAATACTTTGGATATTTTATCACTCAATTGTGTGATTCCCCCATGCAGAGGGATTTTACTTAACCGGCGAAACCGGCAGTATATAACCTTTAGTGTTAAATAGTTACAAGTAAACAAAAAAACAACAAAGAAACTAGGGTGTATTGAAAAGGTATTAGTCTACTATCCATTTTACGCTTATTTAGAATCAATATATTTGCCCTAAGTATTGCTATCTATTTAAGTTATTTATTTCTTTACCCTTAAAGAAAGTATATTTTTGTGGGTAGTAGTGGTTTACCCAGTCATTATAGATATATTCTGTCTTCATTGTCATTGTTTAATAAAGTGCGTTTTCGCCTTTGTCCAAATTCCTTCAATCGGTTACTGCTTTCCATAGACAAAAATAGTTAACCCCTACTGCCAATGTTATCAACCCCGATTTATTTGGTAATGTTACAATAATGTGGGAGTTTACGAGCAACTCCCTCGCTTAGCTTAGGCTGCGTGCAAACGGGCGCAGCAACTGCCAACATTGTTATTGTTGCGCCAAAAATGTTGGGAGTTGTTGCGTGCATGTTGGCAGTGGTGTGCAAACGGATACAACAACTCCCAACAAGTTTGGGACCTGCAGTGCATCGTGGGAAGAATACAACCCATAAGTCTTTGTAATCCATGCGTAATGAGCATGCGTGGCCCCAACAATGTTGGAAGAGCTGTGCAAACGGATCCAACATTGTTGCGCTACGCTTCGGCGATCACGGAACAAAAGAAATGTTGGGAGTTGGCTGAAAAGTTTGACCGGTATCAAACTTTGCGCAACAACATCCAACAACATGTAACAGGGTGTGCAAAGGGACGCAACATGTAACATCAAACAATGTTGGGAGCTGTTGGCCAGCAATGTTGCGTCCGTTTGCACGGGGCTTTAAAGGTACCAGGTATCTGAGTTTACATCTTGGTGTTCTTTATTCTTCGCAACGGCTTATATGTTTTGTCTACACCATCATTTAACGAGTACACCTCAACTACTAACTGCACACCCTACAACCACCAATTACCATCTACGCCAAATGTACTTACGTTCGGGCTTACTGATCATGAGAATTACAAATGCTTTTCCGAATTTCCTGCTAATAACCAAAGTGGAATAAACAAACCTATAAGGTTAATAATGTCAAGTACAAGATAACCAATTTAAGCGTGACGGCTAAACCCACGAGACTCTACCTTAAGCCAAAACAGGAACTCTGATGTAGGTGACAATCAAGGTCAGCGATGGTTGCAAAACATGCCGACTTCCACTTACACTAAAATTTAATAAATGACGTTCATGTTGAAAAACTACTTAAAAAGGTAATAGAATTTGAAAACCTGTTGCTACAAATACGGAGTGACCTTGATCTACAAACTGATCATAACAAAACTCTAGGCACGAGTAAAACGTCAACCTAAAATATGAAATAAACTAAACATAACTTACAAAATACTTCACAACATTCCTCCCTCCTTAGATGGCGCCTCGTCCTCGATGCAATTAGATGTATATTATAAAAAAAGTACTAAGAATTAAAGTAGTATATAAGGTAGCGGTTCTGTGACAACGACCACAAGTGGGCACGCCTCGCCCGCTCGGCGTGGTGGGCTTGATACTCGTTGTCGGCTGTCACTTAGAACCGCTATCTTCTAGATCCTTCTATACTACTCTGGGTTTGGAGCACAATCTTACCGTCAGCAGAAACGCAATAGAAGCAGAAAGCAGTCGAAACCGGAACCCCAGACGAGTGCCGGCACACTACTTCCGAAGAATGAAGAAGGGGAGATGATCACATTTGATCATTACATGAAAACGTGAGCACAAAAAGTGAGGGACTTCATGGACGTAGTCAACAACAAAATTGAGACTTACATCCGAAACTGGTCGGAGGTAGAATTCGAAGAAGCTGAAAAAGCCTACGTGAACGTGGCAAGATATGAACCACTTCTTGTTAGAACGTACATGCCACTCCCCACACAGCTACAAGACAAGAAAGCAGTCATCAACGTGCAAGACAAAAAGGAAAATGAGTGTCTGAAATGGTTAATACGAGCGCCGCCTTTCCCCGCGCCACAGGGGAAAAACCCCTGCAGAAGGAGCACTAATTCCGCAAAGGATGGGATCAACTATTCCTGAATAACCTTTCCAACCCCTTAAAAGATCTTTTGGTTGGAACAGAGGGTGGTTGTGCCTACGGACTGCGTTAGCGGCTATCTGATCTTTGAATGGAAGAACTATTCTGATCGTGAAAGGAACTTGATGCCGGCCGTTTAGCTGGTCCTTTCGTTGCTCGTCCCTTTCACTCTTTCCGCATTTCTCCCCTAGCAGTTGTGCCGAGGAAGACTCCTAGGGATTTTCGTCCTATACACTATCCATCTGACCATAGTAGTGACTTTGTAGTGTGTGTTATGCCACTATTGAGGATGATATTCGCCATATTAAGACCTTAGGTCCGGGATGTTTTTTGGCTAAGACGGACATAAAGAATGCTTTTCGGATTATTCCTGTGCTATAGTCTTCTGGGTATGAGATGGCACGAGGCATATTTCTATGATCGCTGTCTGCCCATGGGTTTGCTCTAGCAGTTGTAAAACTTTTGAGACTTTTAGTACAGCTTTGTAGTGCATTGCCACTTCACAGCTGAGTATTAGCCACATCATTCATTTACTTGATGACGCTCTCATTATTGCCCCCACTAATGCCTTATGCCAAAATCAACTGAATTTATTCCTGGACTTTTGCTCTTATCTTGGCGTTCCCATAGCACCGTACGAAACACTTGGCCCCTCTACTACACTCTCATTTGCAGGTATAGAATTAGATTCTGTTTCATTAGAAACCCGTTTGCCCAAGGACAAAGTTGACAAGTGCCTAAGCACGATATCCAGTTTCATTGCCCGAAACAAGGTGACCCTGCGGGACATTCAATCCTTAAAAGGCATGCTCAACTTTGCTTGTGCTGTCGTAGTACCCGGCAGGGCATTTTGACGCCGATTAATTGATCTCACTTTGGGGCTTAAATCCCCCACACATTTTGTGCGGATTACGCATGAGGTTAGATCTGATTTGAGTGTTTGGCAAACCTTTTTGGCTAGTTTCAATGGCAGGTCCTTCTTTCTTGAGGACAGCTGGTACAGTTCTGAAAA